TGTAACAAAGTCTAATATTTCTTACGAGATACCATAGTTGATTCAAGAATTAATACTGTTGATATTTACATGTTACCCTGCGCATTCAGTTAAACTAGTTTAAACATCGGAAACAGCCGAGGGTATCTTTACGCTAAAACGAGCTAAAAAATAAAACATTGAACAATGTATCTATCTACTCAACCTCCAAGTGAGACAACTCAAATAAAATCTTACAGTCGATGAATGAACCGATTGGAAATATTTCAATATGTGGCGTGGTTTATTTATAGGACCAATCGCACATTCGACACTGTGTAGTAACAATGCAACTGAAATAAGTTAGGCGTGACTTGAGCTAGTTCTATCGAGTGTTCACGGCCGAGATGATACAGCTATCGAGACAGGTACAGGAGGGAATTTTACATTAAAAAGTTTAATGAGCTCGCAGTGGCTTTGACATGAAGTCTCTAACAGTTTAGTATCACAACTAAATTAATTGGCCTGTGACGATAGGAAAGATTGTTAGAATGCCTGGCATTAAACACAAAAAAAATGTATTAAATAAGTTATCACTAAAACATTTGTGCTACGTTATGCCATTGATCACACGGTACTCCCGTAGTGTGTATAGGTTAGGCCATAATTTTATTCCGATTTTCTTTATTTTAGTTCTATTACGAGTTCGGGGACAGTCTGTGTTAGCCAAGTGAATATACCCCCTGCCCATAGGCTTCCGTCCCTTTACATAACTTGATGTAAAGTGGCGAACAGAATTAGTTACCTCCATATTGGTACACACACTTCCAGAGCGCCGATCACACTACGTTGCCGAATTAAAACTGCACATTGCTGAACCGATACGACAATAGCCAATATAGCTGAATAGAACAATAATCTAAATATAGCCTAGTCTCTTTTTTGATTTATTTCTATCGCTCGATAATTCGTTCGAACCCCACTCAAATTTATCGATTTCGAGGTAAAAAGCTAGTAAAATTGTGAATGTGGTGTCTAACGTTTGCAATACAAGTCTGATATCGAGATCAAAATAATTATTTCATCGAATGAAACGTTTCATCATACAAAAAAAAAACGATGTCTGAATTCAGCGCGATTTCGCATGACGCAATTCCAAGATCAACCCGGCAACTCGAATACAAGTCCCGTCAAAACATTGTCGCCAGTGATTTCAAAAAGAGAGGCAAACGCCAATGGCTTTATGCCAGGCTGCTTTTGGAGCAGGTGGTTGTTACTTATCGATCTTAAGATCGGTAAGTATATTGATAGGTATTTGTCTGTCTGTGTGTCTGTTAGATGCACGCGATATCTCACGAAAGCGAGATTGAATCTGCTCCAGATTTTGCATGTGCATTCATCTTATCTCGGACCAGAAGCCTATTGATTTTGGGCGAATTATGTCGTATAATTAGCGAGTTATCAATCAATTCTTGATATAGTGATCTAGATTTTTGTAAAACGAGAGAATTTTGAAACCCGCCGAGTGTGTGTGCGCGATGCGCAGTGCGCAAGTTACAAGAGCGGATGAATCGAAACTGCAGTTTCTGTTTTGGGGGATCCCCTAACTATCGATCGATAAGTCTTCGGTTTCCAACCGATATTCTCGTTTTGTCAGTTGTCACCGCACCAAAATCAACTGGCATTTCACAAGAGGTATATTGTTAATCTTGCCATTCAAAGCGAAATATTGTTTTTAGAAAGAGTTTAAATTCAATATATACATTCGTCATTAGACACATTAAATTAAATATAACAATTCAAATTACTTAGGGGTAATATAAAATTAAACAGGAAACACGATACGTGTACTGTATTATCAGTCACATCAGTTTTCGAAACAAGCGAGCGTGGTTATCGATACATTATAATATTTATACCATTCATAAAATAAATAACGTGTTTCAGGCCACTCGGACAACATAACTTATTATAAGCAGCGGAAATTGAGCTGAAATACCGGTGAATAATCTCAGAAGAGATACTGCTGCTGCGTTTAGACGATTTGCCTTAGCCTCGTCGATGTGTTTCGTTGTTCACGATACCTTCTACATCATAATTCGAAAAATGGACGACCTATCCCGGTTAATTAAAGTTTATTTACCTCAAACACTCTGCCATGTTATCTTCGTTCTTCACAGCATAATGATTCTATTCTGGCTGTCAAACGTGGCAATTAAGCAGTGTTGCCAGATCCCAGTGATAAAAAAAGCCAAATCAAGACGAAGAAAAAGCCAACAATTTCACCAAGTACGAAAGCCCTATGATTTGATGTCCTTAGCACAATAATGGGTTTGCAATATGCTGATGTAGAGCCATCAGTTTATTTAGGCTCGGCGGTGTGGCGCATCGTGCTAAGCGTTAGAAATACGCTCGCCATGGCATCTCTGATTACCCTTCGTGCGATCGCAGGTTCGAATCTCATGCGGGGATGATCATGTGCGAGAGGATTGCCGGACTCCTCGCCGCCGTAGGGTGGTTCACGTAACCGCTGATCGGTTACGGACCGCTTCCTCCACCATCAAGTCCATGCTTCCGAAAACAAATAAATGGCTAACTAATCCCATACCTGACCTGGACTGGTAACCGGACGAGAGGCCGTGGTTCGCCATATGATTAAGCCGTCTCATCGACTTTTCTCTCCCCCGGGATAAACATGTAAATCCTATCCTGGTGAGCCACACAAATGTCTTTTCCCATTGAAACAATTCAGTACTGGTAAGGAGTAAGACCGTTTTTATTCCATAGTTTTGTAGGAAAAGCACTGTTGTGTTACACATACACGTCTCAATTTAATTTAAAAGTCGTGCCCGATTTTATATCGTGTTTTTGTTTTATCGTGTTTTGACTGTTTTGGGTGGACGGCACGTACTTGTACGTTTTTAACTTTTTTTTATTAAGTTATGTGGTTATGCCCGTCCTCCAGGTCCTCTGTATTTTGTTTGTCCGTTTGTTGTTGTTTTGTGTTTTGTTTCTATCAGAGTGACTAAATAAAATTGGCGATTCTCACTTCACCGGGATGAAGGGGTTAAAAGTAAAAAGGATTAATTGAATGGCAGCACCAGAATCTACATTCGATCTAATACATTTAAGCTGACATCTACATTGGAAAGCTGGAAAAATATCAAGCGGACAACATTATTCAACAATTCAATATGTATACAGAGTGTCGTTTTAGTATATGATATAGCAATGAGCATATATATGCTCATTGGATATAGCCTAGGCCTACATCAAAACATTCTCCCCAAACTTTTCGAAACCATCCTGTGTATTAAAAAAAAAATTATCTAACCACGTGCCGCTTTTTGGTGGACTACTGATAGCTAATTTTAGCGTAGTTAATCCGTAAATATATACTACTACGGTTAATCACATCGTTGGTGAGACTAAATTTTGATTACTGCAACTAAACGTATATATTTACGACTAAAATAAAGCTCTTGGGAAAGCACAATGACAATTAGGATATAAAATTATTTTTTGGAAACATATCTAAAAAATGACAAATAACACGCAAAGCCAAAAACGAGGTAATGTTTACAACTTCTTGAACATCTGTCTGAGGGGCTGCAGAAACTGCACTTATTTCTGATTGGTTATGGTTAAGCGTTAATGTAATAAACAATTGGGATTCGATGATCGGAGAAATCTAAATGTTAATTAGATAAGCAATAGGTTATTGTTACACACTAAATATTGTATTAAATATGATTTTAAGAGACTTAACAAAGCCAAGAAGCCAAACAAAAATTCCGACGCCAAACGTGTTTGAAAAAAGTCCAAAATGGCAAATTTGGCGTTTAAAAAGCCAATATGGCAACCCTGCGATTAAGATGCCAGAAATGCGATCCTTCGAAATTCCAATGGTCAAGTGCGCCAGTAGGGGGCGTTTCATGCAGGGAATTCCCCAAGTATAACCGGATAAAACTGGCCAAAACAGAGTACGGTATATTAGAATGTTATTTTTCGTCTGATTTCTGAGAGAAAAATGGAGGCAATATTGTTAATATGGGTTCCATTACGTTTGAACCAACGACAATTGCACCTGCATACTATTGCACCTATGGAAATTTTTTTGTTTTACGGATATTTGAACCTATACTAACCCTAACACATGGGTTTTAGCACCCGCATATAGCCTAGTTTGAACCGCGTTAATATGATATCCAGGTTAGGATTATTTTACAGAATTGAATTTGAAATACAATCCCAATATTGCAAGAAGAGATTTTGATATTGCCATATTATTATGTTTATACTTACAATTAAGGCTGGAAGGTATAAAATAAGGTTACAAAAAAACTCTGCTATATTTGGAGTGAGTACCCTTGATAACTGTACACTCATAGTAATCAAACAAATAAAAACAGCAATCACTTATAGACGTAACATTGAAAAAATAAAAAATCGCCTAACTTTGTCAAAGAATTAGAAACACTTAGAAATTGTATTGAACTAGTGGACATTTTTTTCTCTCATTTTACATGTTATGTCTGGGCCTCCACATCGGCACAAATATGAAAACTGGCACTCTGCGCAATAAATTGAAAGGAAGCGCAATCTAAAAATCATCACCATTGGATTCCTTGAAAAAAAATAATCTGATTTACTGAAGAAGGAAAAAATTTACCGTAGCATTTAAAAGTTTATAGAAAAAGAAAGCAATTTTGGTCATGTTTTCATATTTTATGGGGATAAACAGTTTTTTTTTGGCTTTTTTTTCCTAATGACTTTCAACTCTGTTAGTGTTACTTATGTCATGGATCATCCTGGCAAAGGAAAGAGAATTATTTAATCGGAACTTAACATTTTAAGTGCTCCCTTTTTTCACTTTATTATTTGACTTGAGCTGCATATAAATAATTTTTCATATGAATTGTGGAAAGATATAATCAGATTTGTAAACTGTTTACTTGAATGCTTTCACTCTCATACATCTCATACAACTGAGTTTTTTCATTGTAATATTCAGTCTGTTATATTAAATATTATTATCTTAACGTAAAGATACGATTATTCAAAATTCCTATTGATTCATATCGTAATGATGGCCGACAGAGTTAAAATATTGCTGGGGAGATGTCTTTCAAGAAAAGTGGGTAATGTTCTAAATCGATCATCTTCCATACAGAAAGAGAGAACGTTTGCGTCTCTATGCCAATCTTGCAATTATAAAAGACATGCTGTGGTAAGAATATTTTGATAATGTTGCTTCGATTTGTATGATACTAAGCAGAGTCATGTTATTAGTAAAAGTTTATATCCGACTATGATTTCAAACTCCTAGTCAAAAATTGAATCTATCTCTGGGTTGTCAAGAACTCCGGCTCATGACTAGGTTGAAGGGTTAAAAAAATTCTGACTTTTGATAACAAAAACCTTTCTCAATTGAGTGTTCAGAATGCTCAGACAACTTACTTTTTGAGTTTGATTGGGAATTTTCATTTGATAATCACTAATGAAAGTGTGAAAAGTCAACTGCTGTGCGCGAACGACTACAAAATTGAAAAATATGACACGCTGGCTCTAACTTCACAGCCCTGATAATAAGCATGTTGATTATATTAGGAAATCCCATTATCATTTTTATGCATCAACATACAAACGAGAATATCGGTCAGAGCCGAAGACTTATCGATCGAAAGTTAGGGGATCGCCCCAAACAGCGCTCTTACTCCATAGTGACACCTTGTGTTCCATTACTAATTAATTAATAACTTCATAATTCATCCAAATTCAATAGGCTTCTGGTACAACATATAATGAATGCACATGCAAAATCTTGAGCAGATTCAATCTCGCTTTCGTGAGATATCGCGTGCATCTAACAAGCAAACAGACAGACAAATACCTTACGATATGATTAAAATCGATGAGTAATAATGTAAAAATGATTTTTCCATTTAGAAGCAACCTCATACGCAGCCGCTGAGAGATTACCATGAGTATTATTCTCCATATTCTCCTGATGAAGTCTATGATATTCATGAATTTGGTGATGCAGGGCCTTTAATATGCCACAGTAAGTTTTTTTGTGCTTTTCGTATTTAAAACTAAAATGAATTGGGGATTGCAAGCACTGATTTTTTAGTGATAAGATAATACTATTTTAGTGTAGCATATGGTGTGGGTAACTTTATAACACTGAGATAAAATTAGAAAGATATTGTTGGCAATATTTGAATTTTGTCTTGCTTTTTTTTTTCAATTCCAATTATTTTTATTGGTCAGTGTTTTTCCTAAAGATTTTTCATATAAAATTTTGGTTTTCCTATATATATTTTTTTCTGTTTATTTTCAGCATGATAAAAAAGAAAATTTTGATAACTGACTGATTACAATAAATTATCCCTTTTGACATGGAATAAATTGTGTGCCATTGAGTGTATAACTAGATTTTGTGGGTAGGAAGGCCATGTTTGATTCCATAGATTCTGTTATCTCATTATGATTTATAGACCTAAACTTAATGTTTTCTTTACATTATCACTCACAAATATCAATGAGATTAATTGCCTGATGCACAATTGAAATAGTATTATTGATTTCTAGCAATGTCAGCAATTTTGTGGTATGTGTATAATACTGTATAGCAATAAAACATGGTGATCTATCATGGTGTTGTTTTTGTTATCATTCAAATTGTACTTGTTTGAGTTTTCGATGATGAGTACTTAATGATTTATTATGTTTTGAAACACTATGAAGTATTATATTTTATGGCATTTGATATATTCCATTCATATCGAAAGAAAATGATCAGAATTAATAAACATGAAACAAATGAGAGAAAAATGATCAATTTATATTATTTTATATCACACCAAATGCTTGCTTCAAAATTCAATAAAAATTTTCGGCATAATTGGTGTTGTGCAACTTTTTGATTCATATAAATACATGGGACTATGAGCGGCCATATGAATCACTTTGTTTGATATACATCTGTACTTGAACTTTAAAAGGATGATATTTTCAAACTAATAATGGTTATTGCCATAATTTTATTTGCTATATGGTGGCAACCCCTAATTAAAATGCTTAGGACACCACTGTTCTACACTTCTATTGTATCGTCACTCGGTATTCATGAGCCAAGTGTTGTTTGTCGGCCAAGCTGTTTCTGTGTCCAGTTTGTCCGCCTACAATATATTTCCAGTTAAATTTATCTAATGATCATTTTTCTTAATTTTCAGATAATGAAGTTGAATATTTGATAGTGGGTGGAGGCGTGATGGGACTTTCTATGGCATTTAATTTATGGAGAGAAACAGAAAATTTTACCTTGTTGAAAGCGTCTAAATATATGGCACCTATCACTGCAGTCGTAGAACGTGATCCTACAGTAAGTCCACAACATTTTTATATAGAGTACAAATATGTATACATATATGGTGTAAATCTTAAGGTAGGAAATTAAAATTTAAATGTAGTAATGACATTTAAAAATGTTGAGTACAGTAGCTGATAATGGTAAGTTTTTGTGAATGTGAAATGTTGGAATACCTCTTCATTTTTTATCATTTGGAAGAGAAAACTGTTAAAATGACATGATCATATCACTAATTATGATACCTCTACCCCCAAATTCTGAACAATTTGAAAAACCACTATAGCTCTACTTGTTGTCAAAATTATCTTTTCTCTGTCTCCAAAATCCAGGTTGAAGGAAATTTTAAATCTCGATCTTTTTTATTGAGAATGAGTAACCAAATTTATGATAGTTTAGTTTTGACAGAAGATCTGATAATCTTTTTACTCATGATTATTCCGAATGGCATTCAAACTCGGGGTCATTTGAAATGTATTTCGAGCGCTTCAAGACAAAAGGGCGAAGACTGAACTTTAAAAAAGGGTTTTGTTTACAGATATTACAAACAAATTGGTGCTTTTTAAGCTGGCATATAATTATAGTTCGAACTGAAGCGAATTCCACTAAATTATTTCGATGAAAAGTTACAAGAGTTTAAAAGTTAAGTTTCGCGCTAGAGTCCTCAGTCTTCTAACTCAGTGATCACCAAAGTGTGGGTCGCGACCCCAAGTGGGGTCGCCTTAAATATTTCCGGGGTCGTCGAGTGCCCATCGTTGTCTTTTCTTTTATTATTTTTATTATGTGTGTGACTTCTCGGCTTAACGCTAGATACTTCAAACAAAAGAATGAATAACAAGCACGCAGACAGGTAATATCAAGAGCAATTACGATAAATCAATTATGACATCATAATCACAAATTTAGTCCGTGTGAAAAACAGCGTTCTATGACCCAAATACACAACAGTGTGCAGTCTGCACTGTTAAGTTGAATAACGCTACATAGGCTAGCAAGTTTCGATATTTCGAATTGGAGTGACTTCTTTTATAATAAGGCTATTACGTAACGACAGTAATTTATATTTTAAAGTAAATCGTTATTGTTTCTTGAATGAACTGTACAGTGGCTGTTGCTTTTACTGCAAAGCCTCATTTTCCCGGCTACCGTCATATTGATAATTACAATTTGTTAAATGGCTGATGAACATAAACGAAAAATATCGTATTTTTGAAGGTTGACTTTTAGTGCTATGAGTCTGCTAAAATCAAAGCACCGAAGTCGATTAAACGTAGAACACGATTTGCATTTGAGCTTAAGCAACATTAAGCCACGGATGCAAGATCTCGTTGGAAGGAAGCAGTCGCATTCTTCACACTGATTTAATATGGTTGTTGTTGGGTTCTTTTAATAAATTTCCTAATTTGATGAATATTTTTTTCGTGTCTGTAGGTGAATATATATATATAACTTGGGGTCGCGAGTGCTTATCATACGTAATAATATTGTAGATGGGGTCGGGTCTCAAAAAGTTTGAAGACCACTGTTCTAACTCATATAGGCATCACAAATGAGACTGTTCCTAAGGTTTTACATATCAAGACATATAGCAAAAATTGAGGTATATTGTAATGTGATCCATTTCCTTTTAATTCATGTCTAAAATTATATTAACAATACAAAAATAATTTTCAGATGACAAAAGCATCAACTGGACTTTCTTTAGGTGGTGTCAGACAACAATTTTCCCATCCTGCAAATGTGAGACTTTCAATGAAAAGTGCTGAGTATCTTCGTGACATTAAATATGTAGGTATATCGATAGTATTGGCAATGTCATTCATTCTCTGATATTGATTCGACTACTGTAACTAAGAAACACACAGACATCATGTTCTCATTGATCAGCTGTCAGACTATATTGAACAGTTTGTGACCCCTCGTCCATTGCAGTTTGAATATTTTTTTTTAATATTTTTTAAGTATTTTTTTTTTCAAGGAATTAATCTAGTTTTTACTTTTTGTTCAAATGTACAATGTTTTTTGCACAACCAAAATAAATATCTGAATCTGAATCTAGGACGCAAAGATGTGAACACACTCCATGACAAAAACTCTTGTTATATTGAATACAGCTCATTTCAAATATACTTGAATACTGCATTGGTTATGAAATCACCTGTATATGCTATCCACATTCTATATACGGAATTACTTTGCACATATGACTCCATGGAATGAAATCTCACAAAAATTCTGATATTTCCATTTTAGCATCTTGGGCTTGCTGGGCACGATGTCCCTGATATTCAATTTCAACCTCAGGGATATTTGTTTCTTGCAACAAAAGATGGAGCTGACAAACTCATGAAAAAATTATGAAACACAGATGTGAGTGGATTGATTTGTCTTACTAATGAAATGCATAAAAATGAGTCCTTGTTCCGAAGGTCAGACATCAAAACCCATAAGTTGTTGAAATAGGGGAACGCTGATAATCTAGAGATCTTTTTTAACAAAGAAAAATGCTCAAGTAAATGGACACGAGGTTTGAATGACCGGTGTGGTCACCACACAATGCTAAATATCAGAAGAAGTGTACTAATTTCCATATGACGGTTTGCCCAAGAATTATTTAAACCATCAAATTTGGGTGAAATATTTCGCATAGCGGGATTTAGACAATTTCAAAAAAGTAATAACATTCTCTTAACATGTTCACTCTTCAAGTACTGAAAATTTGAAGTCGATTGGCACTTAATTTTTTAAATACCAACCCCAGCGAAAACAACAACTTACAAAAACTAAGTCCACTTTGTGTCCAAAAATAGTAATGCATTGGCAGTCGCATAGATAACTAGATACCTTTTGTGTGAAAAAGATAAAAAAGTTAGCTAGCATGTGTGGAATTGAAAATGTTAAACCATGCTTTGCAATGGGCTCGTTCAGTGCATTGAAAGTATATATATTTTAATGAATGAAAGAACTTTTTTCGGTATTTAATTTATTATTTTACATTGATATCTTTAAGTGATATTAAATCGAAGCTTCAATTGTAAAGATAAACTTGCTCATAATATCATTTTGTTTATGTACAATCAAGTGTGATTTATAGATGAAGCATTTCGTTGAAACATGAGCCATCCATTGTCAATACCAACATATATTCACTTCACGTCATGCAATGAAATTTAATTTTAGTGCACAAGGTGCCAAAGTAATGGTAATGACGCAAAATAAATTAAAGGAGTTGTTTCCTTGGATTAATGTTGAAGGAATCGAACTTGCAACCTATGGACTTGAAAATGAGGGATGGTTCGATCCTTGGTCTCTACTGACAGCTTTAAAGGTAACAGTTGTAATGATAGATAAAGGCTAAAGGCATATAAGCAGTGATTCAAAATTTTAAGAACGGGTTCTCTGGTGTATCTAGCTCACTAACATCAGGTTCCCTCATTTCAGAAAATCTATGCATCTCGCTACGTAATATGCATTAACATGTTGTGCTTTGCATGAATCCAATGCATCATTTTCGAAACGCCAAATATAATGCTAATCATCAGCTGCGGTGCATATTACCCCTTTGCTGTCGCGGCCTAATGTCCGCCCATGTCTTTGCAATCTTGCAACTATCCATTCTGAGTGCTAGCCCATCGCTGCGGAGTCGAAAAATTCTCGCTTGGCTCTAAGCTTCGAACAATTTAAAAACGATACCAAGTACCAACTCCAGGTTAAAGGAAATTTCAACTCCCACTCCAGCGCCCATATATAAGAAAACCGAGTTTTCTTAGATGAAACAAGTCTTCTTTAACTATTCCTCTTGACTTGTCTTATTTTATCTTGATCTATATTAGTGGACTTGATTCTGTTTAAGTTTCAGTCAGAAATTTTGACTTTGAGTACCACCCTGACAAGTACAGGGAGTTCTCGGGTTCCGACAGTCGCGACTTGCGCTGTTCCGAGGTTATGAACTCGCACTCCATAACGCTGTTTCGAGGTTACGAACGCACTCCATAAAAATATAAAAGATAATACTGTACTGTAATATCTAAGCCCTTAAACTGGATCATTGTGATCAAGAAAATCAGTGCTTTGGGCTCATTGGTTTTCATCATTTACATCGTTAATGACGTGGACAATTGCGAACTATTACGATTATGAACGAATATTCACTAAGTTTCAGTCACATGGTACATAGTTTCAGTGATACTGTACGCCATTTTGGTTGTTCCGACTAACTTTGGAATTCGGGTTACACCGCGTCTCAAGAACGGAACAACGTCGTAAGTCGAGGACTCCTTGAATTAAATTCCAAATTCGAATTTTTTATTTTGATTAGAATCTTTGTTTTTTAAGTATACTACAAAGTAACCCACTCAGTCTTTTATTGTTCAGTCAAAACTCACCAGCTTTGGAACTGAGTATATACACGGAGAAGTTGTTGGTTTCAAGAAAGAGATCCTTAGAAATTCAGCTGTATTTTTGCCACATGGATCACCAGCAGATCTCACTGATAACATAGATGGAGTATATGTAGGTTATCAATTTGTAATTGTTATTCAGTAACAAATTATGCTGTCGCTCGAAGGTTTCCACTCAAATTTTTCTGATAATTGTCTGAAGTTTTTTCAAGTTGACGATAGCTGAAGTGACTATAATAGAGTGTAGTGTACCTTCTGCCTGTTTTACTTCAGTATCTATTTGGTCCATTTTATTGATATATTCATTGCTATTGTCATATTTTACTCATTTATTTTCAGTAGTTATGACAATGTCGATGTATAACATGGACATGGATAATATAGGCTAGTAATTATCAAAATTCTATGATTTTAGCCCTCTCCTGAAAACTCTCGACACTTGTGGCCCACTTCTTTCTATATAAATAATGAGACTTCAATTCCTTGTGACTATAATTTTTCTAGTGAAACTATTATAGCTCACTTTTGAAATTGAGAATTAGAAACATCCAATGTAAAAAACTGGTGACCGTACATTTGAACCCACGTATATTTGATACCATGCAGGTTCAATCTATATGCGGGTGCTAAAACCGATGAGTTAGGGTTAGTATGGGTTCAAATATCCATGAAACAAAAAAAATTTCCATAGGTGCCATAGTATGCAGGTGCAATTGTCATGGGTTCAAATGTACGAGGTGTGGCTAAAAAGAAACGAGACTGACGTCACAGATTGCGCAACACGATTAACCATTGGTAATCAACACTTTTACAGTGTGGTGTAATATGTGTTCTTTGTTCAACAGCTTTTTTGACACAATATCGCAATTATTTTTGCTCTTTAGGAGCCATAGGTGAATGTGATTAATTGCTTGTTGAAAAAAAAATTGCCGTGCAGGATCTGATTGAGTTTTTTGGCGATAGGGGGTTCAATTGCAGAATGACGATTGAGCAATGAATTAACATTAAATTTTGTGTCAAACTTGGAAAAACGGCGACTGCGACTTTGAAGAAATTGTGTGATGTTTATGGAGATTCTTCCATGTCCAGAACAAGAGTTTTTGAATGGCACAAGCGATTTGTGGGATGCAGGGAGGATGTGGAGGATGATTCGAAGTCAGGAAGGCCTTGCACTTCCACAACTGATACCAACATCGAAAAGGTATCAGTTGTGAGTTCAGTTGTGAAAGGCAGTTGATTCGCAGCGACCGTCGCTCAACAATTCGCGTCATTGCGAAGTTGGAAAAGACAAAAAAAAACGGTTCGCACCAGTTTGGTTGACACTTTTGGCTTGTGAAAGGTGAGTGCCAAAATGGTGCCAAGGCTGTTGACTGAGGAGCAGAAAGCTCAACGATTAAATGTTGCCCAGTTGACATGCATTTTTCCAAGTTTGACACAAAATTTAATGTTAACTCTTTGCCCAATCGTCATTCTGCAATTGAACCCCCTATCGCCAAAAAACTCAATCAGATCTCGCACGGCAATTTTTTTTTCAACAAGCAATTAATCACATTCACCTACGACTCCTAAAGAGCAAAAATAATTGCGATATTGTGTCAAAAAAGCTGTTGAACAAAGAACACATATTACACCACACTGTAAAAGTGTTGATTACCAATGGTTAATCGTGTTGCGCAATCTGTGACGTCAGTCTCGTTTCTTTTTAGCCACACCTCGTATGTGGGTTCAAATGTAATGGAACCTAAAAATCTATCTAGTATCTCATAGTCTGTATTTCACCTATATGAGAGTTTATGAAACATCATATTGATGAGTTGTTCTCTTCCTCATTGCAAATTCATAGTTAATATAATTCCTATTTAAATACATTTATATTTGGAAACAGATAAAGGTTCCTCATGTTGATAAACCTGTTTTTGTGAAAGCAAGAATTGTTATTAATTGTGCCGGTGCGTGGTCAAAGAAAATTGCTGAACTTGCAGGTATTGGTGCAAAGAATCCATTATGTGATCACGAGATTATGGATACACCGGTAAGCACATTTAGATTACCAAGCAAAAATGTGAAATCTGATTGCTGATTGCTGATAGTTTTTGAAAAACTCATTGTTTTTATGACTCGGCAGTGCGGCGCATCATGCTGAGTCTTAGGAATGCGCTCGTCACCGCACCTCTGATTACTTTGCTTAAGTTCGCAGGTTCGAATCCAATGGAGGATAATAATGTGCGAAAGAGTTGTTGGACTTCTTTTGTCGTAGGGTGGTTCACGTAACCGCTGGTTGGTCAAGGCTTCTTCTACCATTAGGTTCATGTATCAGAAACAAATAACTGGCTAACTATTCCTATACCTGGCATGGACTGGAAACCAGTGAAAGGCAAGGATTCGCCATATGATTAAGCTGTCTTAGTTGTTTTCCTCTCCCCCGGGATAAATATGTATATCCTGTGATCCTGTCCTGCTTTTACAAATGTATCATCGTCATTTATCACCGTGTAATTTGTTCAAAATGGAGTTGAGAAAATGCCTCATAATAGAGAAAAAAATATTGTATATTTGGTTTGCAATATTTTAAACTTCACAAATTTTGTCTACTTAGATTGCCACAATCATATGATATAACTACCACACTCGCCAGAGTAATAGTTAAAATTTTGAATTTTAGGACTCTGAATTCCATACGTATCAATGACAATGATGAAAGTGAAAATTTTATTTAGAAATTCAAAAACATTAACTAAGCATTTTTAACAAGCTATTAAAAAAGGCTTGCATTCATCATTGTTTTTTTTGTCAGAGTTCAGAGTTGAATTCAGAAGTCGATATTTATTTTTTTTGTGCATCTCTGGTTTTATTGGTCTATCGAATTTTGTCTTGTTCTTATTCTAGTTGCCAGTTGAACCCCGAAAACGTTGGGTTTATAATTTTCATTGTCCAGATGGCCCCGTATTTGACTGCCCTATGTTGATTGACCCTTCGGGAGCTTATTTTAGGAGAGAAGGATTTGGTGGAAATTACTTATGTGGGATGTCACCTCCTGATGATGTGAGTAGAAATGCAAATATATTTTATTGACGTTTTTATACATGGTTTGCTTCGAACAAGGCTTTGGACTATTGGCTATAAATTAGAACAGGGTCGTCCAACCTTTTTGGCCGAAAGGCCACATGTAGTTCACTGATAATTGCGTCGGTCACTTATTATTGTAGTTATGTCCTAGTTTTGCTACACTGACTACAGGTTAATGAGAATACAAACAATACCCTCACACCAAACTTTCACAATTATTAAAACAATAAAACTGTTGTTTCCAAACCATTGATGGGGCGCCATCAGTGGTTAATCCTGAAAGTTTCGCCAAAGTCAAGCCAAGACGCTTGATCATTTTTATCCCAGCTCCCAACAAATCAATGCCTCTAGTCGCCGTAATAGGGAAAATGGCTGCAAGCTTGTCGGTAATTCCAAATCATCATTAAATCCCCGCAAAAAGATCGCCGAAGTCACCAACTGAGCAGTAAACATGATGTCAATGCTTTCGTCAAACGCCAAGAAATACGATGAAATTTTCCCGCTTTTGCAATTAAAGTTTCCGCTATAGAGTTCCCAAGCTCTTCTACGACAGGTTATGGTCTGTCTTGACAGGATATTTTTGCAAACACCTCTTTTATTTCCGGACGTAAAACGTTGGCAACTCGAACAACACATAATATACATTCCTTAACGAATTCTCAATCTGAGAATAGCTTCAATTGTTTTGCAATAACATCATATAAAGTAATAAAATACCAAGTGTGTAAGCGACTATGTATCAATATCTCCTCCCAGTTGGTTTCGAATCGAAATGGCACTCATGGCTCGTTTGAAAGGGCTGGCAGAGCGCATTTCAGGAATATAAACAAATCATATGTATCCCATCTTTGTATACTACATCACTTGAAAAATAGTTTTACTTATTTTTTTACTCTAAAAATGCTTCCGCAGGCCACGGATTGGATGACCCTGAATTAGAAGGACCAGGAACTTACCAGTTCGGCATTACCCACCAAATTCATTACAACCTGAGTTATGTGGTGGGCATGGGATTTTAACCTGCGATGCCATTATAGATAAGTCTAACACTCTAACCCAGGGGTCGGGAACCTTTTTGGTCAAGAGAGCCATAAAATATACATATTCTCAATTGCATTTCCATGCGAGCCATATAACATTTCTTCAATTAATCAGACCTGAAATGTTTACTCGAAAGTCAACACATACAATGTCAATATACATTTAATGTGATTTCTGATGCTGTATGTAGTCGCTGCGGGCCTTGAACGGTTGCTCACTTGCAGCCCAAGTTGAAATCTACGATACTCATCACCCTTTTTCGTTTAGGTTACTCCGTAGTGTTTTTAAAACTATATCGCTTTGTGATGTCACAATATATGTTCCAGAATCCCCTTGTTTGTCACAATGCCTGTCTAGTAAATATCTTACATAACATAGACATGTGCTGGGCGCGCGTTCTCAAACGTATTGGGAATTTCCTGCCAAATTTGGCTATAAAAGAGTTTGAAATCTCGAAATAATAGTAAGCCTAGTCTTAGAATATTAGATTTTTCTGGGAGCCATATGCCGTCGCCAAAAGAGCCATATATGGCTCGCGAGCCATGGGTTCCCGACCCCTGCTCTAACCCAAGGGTGAGCAAGGTTTTCGAACCAGGGGCCAAAAATTTTGCCAATCTTGATCTCGGCCATGTAAGTGTGATGTAAAAACTTACATTTTATGAACAATATTCACAGTGTTACAAAAGCAACCGTGGAAAACAATAGGCCTCGTGACAAAAGTAAATTCAAACGCAATCTCAACAAATTCCATGAGCTATTTTCAAAATTTGATTTCAGCTTGGTTGTGGCAGCATCAGGCGGGCCAGATTGAATCACCCAACGGGCAGGATTTGGCCCGCGGGCCGTACTTTGCCCATGTCTGCTCTAACCACTAGACCATTACGTCCACAAAATATTATTTGAAATCAAGTTTTCCTGTATGAGTTGTATACATTGCCCCAATACTGAATCTGTATTATTTGATACACAAAGATCATTGTATTTCATCTTCAGGGAATTTGAGTAATATTGAAATGAAAAGTATGGTAAATATTTACATATTAATTGGTTTGGGTGGAATTCATAATCAATGGCAATTCAAGGGTAATTCTGGTCAGAAACCAACGGTAATTTTAAAATACTTTATCATAGGGTAAAGACAACCTGAATGACAATTACAGAATAATATATAGCGGAGATATGTGCTATTAATGGAGTATAATATGGAGTTTTAATACAAATTTGACCCTCAATTAACACAGAATAAAAGTTTACACATCCAGAAATACTCTTGCCATCACATCTCTGAATATACTGCAGCAGGTTCAAATCCCATGGAAGAAAAATATGTGCGAGGGGACTGGGCTCCATGCTGGTGTAAAGGGGTTTGTGGCTTTCTTCACCATCAGTCCATGCATCTGAAACAAGCAATTGGTTGACTATTCCAACGCCCGACATAACTGGTAACCAGACGACAGGCCATGCTCCACCATTAGGTCATCTTGTCGGCTTTCCTCTCCCTCAGTATAAATATGAAAACTCGTATCTTTTTTACAGGATTCTATTGATCATTCAAACTTGGACGTTAATTATGAATTTTTTCATGAAGAAGTTTGGCCAAGACTTGCTCATAGAGTTCCTGTGTTTGAAAAATTGAAAGTAAGTACGATATACAGTGCAGTAGAAACTCTACTTAAGAAAAATAATTTATTCCGGAAGCCGTTTCGTAAGTAGGAACGCATTTCACTCTATAAATGCCAGATGCATTCTAAGCCTTCACAATACTCGGACATAATATTTGTATAAATTTTCGTTAGTTAATTCGAATTCCCCTAATCTGTAGTTCGCCATATAGAAAGTACACGCCACACTGTACATACAGGGGTAGGCAAGGTTGTTGAGCCACGGGCCAAAAATTTTGGGTGCTCCCGAAGTATGCGAACCAAGATGGCGGACATCGGAACGTAACATGGGTAACAGGTTAGGGTTAGGCGATAATTTTTTTTTCAATTTTCCTTATTTTAGTCCTATTATCAGTTCGAAGACTAGCCAAGAGCCTCCCGTAGTATTTATACCTAAAATTATGGCCTAACCCTAACCTAGTACACATATTACATTCCGATGTCCGCCATCTTGGTTCGCATACTTCGGGAGCCCCAAATTTTGCCTAACTAGACTGGCAGGCCATGTAAGTGTGACGTAAAAAGTTACATTTAATGAACAATATTTACAGTGTTACAAAAGCAAAAGTGGAAAACAATATGCCTTGTGCTAAAACTAAATTTAATTTAGCTGAAACATCAAAGTTTGGTTGTGGCAGCGTTGAATTACCCAATGGGCCAGATTTGGCCCGCGGGCCGTAGTTTGCCCATGTCAGGCCCAGTGTCTAGTTTGAATGCATTCAATTATTCTCCAGAAAAACTGCTTGCCTAATTATATTTAATTACCACTTTCATACTTCCTGTAATTATTTGATGCATAGACTATATGCATTAATTGTGGGTTCTTTTTCACACCAAGTCAAATTATACTTTCAATATGAAAAAAATGTTTTTTATTTTTAGTTAAAGTCTGCCTGGGCAGGATATTATGAATATAATACATTTGACCAAAATGCTGTTATCGGACCTCATCCATATTATAAAGGACTCCATTTTCTAACTGGATTCAGGTTTGTCATATCCACCTTTGTAAAGTAAAAATATCTATCTCAATTTTTTAAAGATTTTTTTATAATACAGAGCAGGGCAAAGAAACTCCTCACTTCCAATTTTGAATAAAATGAAGGGTTTCTTTGCCTCACCCTGTACCTTACCTTTGCCGCACTGAACAAGGCCTGATGCATGAATCCAGATTTCTAGGTGGAGTTTTTTCACCTTACCTTGTATCCAATGTTCCCTCTAATTTTTTGTAGTATGTGTGCGCAGAAATTCTGGTGTGAGCGCACTTTTTTGGAAATGACTAATATTTGTGCAAAAACCAATGAAGAAATTTTGGCGTTCTAACCGGGTAATAAGTGGGCCAACAACAAACTTTCTCAACCTGCCAACCGGGCACATTGTTACATTACATCGAAATACGTCTGTGCGCAGTAAATCTATGCACACCTTAGAGCAGGGGTCGGGAACCTTTTTGGTCAAGAGAGCCCTAAAATATACATATTTTCAATTGCATTACCGTGCGAGCCATATAGCATTTCTTCACTTAATCAGGCCTGAAATTTTTACTCAAAAATCAACACATACAATGTCAATATACATTTAACGTGACTTCTGATGCTGCATGTTGTCGCTGCGGGCCTTGAACGGTTGCTCACATGCAGCCCAAGTTGAAATCTACGATACTCATCACCCTTTTTCGTTTAGACTAGACATCTCCGTAGTATTTTAAAACTCTATCGCTTTGTGATGTCACAATATATGTTCCAGAATCCCCATGTTTTGTCACAATGCCTGTCTGGCAATTCTCTTAAATAACATAGACATGCGCTGGGCCGCGTTGTCAAACGTATAGGGAAACTTTTTGCCAAATTTGGCCATAAAATAGTTTGAAGTCTAGTAACAATAGTAAGCTTAATCTTAGAATAATAGATTTTTCTGGGAGCCATATGCCGTCACCAAAAGAGCCATATATGGCTCGCGAGCCATGGGTTCCCGACCCCTGCCTTAGAGGGAACACTGCTTGTATCCTTGCTTATTCGTGTCTTTCCGCTCTGAAAACAAGGCCCTGCACAAGCATCTACTGATATTTAACAGTATGTAAAGAGCTACCATTTTTAGAAAGGACCGCAGTTCGGCGTTGCCCTCCCAATTCATTACACCCCTGGATGAAAGCCGATATGTGTAACTTGCTAAGCCAACACAGCTAATTCTTGCGCTTCAACTGCTTAGTGGCCTTTACACCCACCACCAAAAGAGACCAAAATCATTCCTGTTTTTTGATTGAGTGAAAGTTTTAACTTCATTCATTTTGATGCGCTTTTTTCAATTTAGTGGTCATGGAATTCAGCAGGCAATGGGAGCATCTGCATGTCTTGCAGAGCTAATCACCACTGGACCCGGCGATCTATGCAATCAAATTGATATTTCAACTTTTTCTTTTGACCGTTTTGTTATCAATCGACCAATTAAAGAGATAAACATTGTGTGATTTACCTAACTCATTAGAAGAGTTGTTGGTTCAAGTAGGAGCCAAAGACATCAGAGGCAAATTTGACTTGTTATAGTTAAATTAAAATGAGCAAATTTTATCTTTGTATAGCTATGTGCAGCAGGTTTTTTTAGGAGCTTTTGTGCTGTATTTAAGTGGTGATTGCATGGGACATAGGTTTATTTACCTCAAGGACAATTATTTGTTACATCTACCAATATTTGTATGTGTCTGAATTTATTTTAATACACCAAACTGCCAAATAATTTACTGATTTATTATGGCTATATTGTCTGTTTTTATACCATTATATAATTGTAATTTTTGAGCCACTTTACCATCAATGTTTAATGCACAATTCGAAATAATGTTCAATGAATTTAGCCAATGATCGTGCTTGTTTCCGAGCATGTTTTACAAAATTGTAGATAACTGAGAACAGAGCTGTGGATTCGTTTGCCATGTGAGTCGTATCCTCCCTGAAGTCCAATTTTACCTGTTTAATTGTGATAATAGGCGTCAAAATCTTCTACAAAAAACGATCAATTTTCAAAGTGTTCTTATCATCCTATTAAAGCTGGAGTTAGGATAGGATTTACATATTTATCCCATGGAAGAGGAAAGGCAGTAGTACGACTTGATCATATGGCGAACCACAGCCTCTCGTCCAGTTACCAGTCCATGTCGAATATGGGATTAGTTAAGCCAGTTATTTGTTTTCGTTTTTCCCTGACTAGGAGGCCCTTTGTTAACAATGTGAAAAACCGCTGCGGTTCCTGTCAAGCTTTTCATTACCTTTCTATTTGGTGTTTCATATGATTTCTTAAAACAAAAAAATGGGTGTTATTTGAAATATACAATATGTAAAAAAATTGGGAGCTCCAGAAGTATGTGCACCAAGATGGCGCACATCTTGAACATAGTATGTGTACCAGGTTGTTCGCCATCTAGGTGCACATACTTCAGGAGCACCAAAAGTTTATGTGGTTTTCACTTTTATTGACAATTTTCTTCTATTATTTATGTAAATATATTATTATTAGTTTCTTGTATGTGCGCCACATATGATACAAACTTAAGATTAAGTGTGTCTATAACTAAATAGTTTGTTCAAATGTACATCTAGGGTTTCATGTTCAGTATCAGCTTTAGTGTGAAATATTAAATCTTCCTGAGTAACCAATGACCGTGACCTATTGTAAAAATCGCTTTTTCCGCTAATACTGACCAATTATTTCAAGACTTGAAGATAGAATAAGTCTCTAAAATAGCGTAAGTAGCTCAAAGTCAAGAGTCCATAAAATTTTACTGTTTTATTTTTTTTTAATTCATGTGAACACCTTTATATATAAACTTTGACCTCAGTATCTATATATTTTAGCACTGATCTCATTCCATTCAGGCCAGTGAATACATTCTAGTCAAGTGCTTCGGTTCTTAACCTACAGGGCACCATCTAAAACCACACTGGATCGTGACAGTATCACAAGTAGTTACACAATGCCTGATATTGATGCAAATGGTGGGACAAGCTCCAAATGTTAAATTTTACTCCCTTCTGATAAGGCTAAATACAAACACGTTTTGACAGCTGACGTTTTCGTTTACGGAGTTTTAAGAAATGATGGTAATTGGAAAAGACCAGGCCTGCATTTCTTCAATAATTCTTTGCGTTTCCAACTTGTATAATTACGCAATCTTTAATTCTGCAAATGCTGTGAACTACTACTGGTACAAGTTCTTTCTGAATTATGTGTGTGAACACACTGTTACAATTTATCATTGCGTTAATTGTTGGTGATACAATCCACGTGATTGCTGGTATGCTGCAATAAAATATTTATTCTTACAATTTATACCTGATGAAGATTTAGATAGATTTAATGTAAGTTGGTTACAGGTACCGTATATAGGCAGTGAGTGACTGGTTTCAACTTTTTCAAACTGCAGTTTCTTTTTGTATCGATCTTGCTAACAACAGGTTCCCTCTAATAAAATGCATGCATGCCACACCGCACATAAATTTTAAAACACCATATATAATATTTAGTTTCCCAATTGCTGCGTAAATGTTCATCTGACATCTAAAACAAGGAACAAGTTGACACAAACTCTCTGGATACTACCACTGGTATGAAGACAACAGCCATTTGCAGCGTTTCTCAAACCTTTTTTGCCCGGAATACCGTACCTTCGCTTTTTATCTCGCCTCCTGAAACACCAGGTAAAATTTAAAAAAAATTGTGTGACGGATTCACTTTGTGCATCCACCGGCTTATCTTGACATGTTTTGAGGCTTCCAGTTTTAAGCTAACAACTATTGAGAAGGGTAGTATTCAGAAAATTACGTCGACGATATGGAATGGTTAATGAAAACGCCATGGGCATGAGGCTTTGTCTGTTTAGATAGCAAGGCCTGTTTGTCACCAGTTGAGAGACAAATTTATGACCCAGAAGCGCCGAAGTACAGCTGAGATTGTCATGGCGACAGATTTAGTCGCAATTCACAATTTCGATGCCTGTCTCGGGGAACACTCCAAAGAACCTCGCGGGACACAGTTTGAGAAAAACGCTGCTCTATCCTACTCGAACAGTCATCCATGGGTGATTGCAAGGTTAAAGCTGCCAGAAGAAGTTAATGTTTTTACTTAACGAGGTGCATTTGATAATCATGGCTATGAATTTTTTTTCTGTGTGTATTTTTCAAGTCTTGCTATCAAGTCAACACTACTAATTTGTTCTGTTAAACTACCTGATTAAAGTTTCCTACACAAATAAACTTTTGAACTGCATTCGCTAGATTACTATCAGTAAGCCAGTATCTGCTGTTGAATGTGATAAAACTACAAAATTATTTTGAAAACGGTTACTGCTGCTTATAATTCCAAAACAAATAAAAAGCAACGAGTTTTTTGAACTGAACAATGAACAAATTCTTGTAGTATATGATTTTTATTTTGCTTGTTGTGGAGGTTGAAATAAACCACCAGACTGTTTACTTGCAGCTCTTGAAGGTGCAAATCCAAGGAGCTTCTGAATATTCTGAAACAAATAATGAAATGTCAAGTATTTCATTGAACTTTGTGAATATGTAAAAACTTGGCAGTTAGATTTATCTGTACTGTGGAATAGGTTTCAGAAGACATGAACTTTTTATAAAAAGCACCAGAAATCAAATTTGATCTAAATTAGGTGTGACAATGAAGCTGTACCAACAATTAATTGGTTCACCATTCCCATTCTTGTACACCTGTAACTGGTAACTATAATTTACCTATTTTTTCCCAGGGGAGACGAAAATCGATAATACGGCTTGACCATATGGTGAACCACGGCCTCTCGTCAGGTTTCCAGTTCATGTCGGGTATAGGATTAGCTTGCCAATTATTTGTTTTTAGATGCATGGCTTGATAATGGAGAAAGCCCTAACCGAACAACGGTTACACAAACCACTCTACAGTGGCGAGGACTCCATAATGCGCCACACAGCCAAAATGGGGGAGTTTTGTCATAGAGCGTTAGACTTGACTGGGATGGCATTGCAGGTTAAAATTTCTCAGGATCCCATGTAACCAACTCAACCAAGGTGTATTAAATTGGGTAGGCAATGCCAAATTATTACGACAACGCTTGATTCCACTATATGTAATTTTCTCACCTGCCTGATTGACATTGTGCATAAAATATATAAAAATATAAATGAACAATCAGTGTAATCTTCTCCAGCTAAATTTCTATGAGATAATCCTTGGAGGAGTCCAATTGGAACAAATGGTAGTTTGGCTACTATCCGACCTTCAAATCTAAAAATGAAAATATTTTATGAATATATATGCTAACTTGGATAATATTTGTTATTTCCTAATACAATGATACAAGTGGGGCATGTTTATGGCAAATTATTGGTATGAATCTTAATTAGGAGTAATAAAATTAAAATTAATTTATATTCGTAAAAAACTGATACAAGTAGGCCAGATCTGGCCCGCGGGCCGTAATTTTCTCGCCCATTTTTTAGAGTATGGCTTGATTTTGCCCAAAACCACCCTATACAGTGTTAGGTAGGATATGATAAGACAGGGGTGCACAACTCAAAGGAGGGTACGTGCCAAATTTTTCAAAATAATCTTGTCGCGTGCCACACACAATTGTGGTATTGTAAATTAACTCCGTAAAACAAACAAATTGCAATAACAATACATGATAACGGATATCTATTTATTGAGACAATTTATTGTCCTGAAAAAAACTGCTGTTTTTGATATAAACGTGATATTTTAATGTATATCATAAATATTTCTTTATTTTCCAAAACCGTTCGCGTGCCACGTTTGAGCGTTTGGCGTGCCAAATTTGGCACGCGTGCCTCGTGTTGTGCACCCCTGTGATAAGATACCCATATAACATAGCTATATATTATCATATCAAACCGATTTTACAGAACACAAAAGCAACGACTAGTAACAAATATAATAATAGGATAGGGTTATTTGATTTCATCGTTGATTATTTATTCCATTGCATTTGAAGTGCTAACACTAAAGCAGGTATTTTTACTTCTGGATGATCATAATTCAGAACACCCTATAGGCCTACAATTTATTACATCCAACTATCGACTGAAGCTTGCCATTACGATTCCCAACTATAGGTTCTGATTACAAAACAAACTACCATAATATGCAAGACAATATGAAACTATTTTAATAAATGAAACCTACACAGAATTTAAAGTTCCAAGTAATGCTGTGAAACAGAATCCAATCGCGAACATCGATTTCATTCTGACTGCAGAAAGATCTCTGTTGTTATTTTTAAGTCTCTCTTCCTCACGTTCAAGTCTTCGTTTCTGGCTTTTGTCACTGTGCTCTCCCACAGCTTCCTTTCGTTTTTCAACTGTAACATGAAAAAATAGAAATATTGGATACAACCTGTCTTTGTCGCTAAGTAAAAACAATAAAAAATTGTGAAAACTATTCCATGGTCCCAGCAGAGACTACTCACTGCACTCAGCAAAGGCATTTACCCCTTTAAAGGGGCTAATAAATTTCCCTAGAGTTAAGTATCCTTGACTGATAAATACCGTAGATGCCATAATCGCAGGTACAACATGATCTGAAGCGTAGGAGGCATCTTGTCTATTCTATCTAAATATAACATCATAGAAAGCAGAAGATTTTACGTTTTTTGCATTGTTTGTCAACTTCAGACTTCAGTTTCTGATATTTTTCAGTCTTGTAGACTAGCAGCCATGTTAAACCTGTAAATTAAAAAAGGTAAGACAGTAAGAGGTAAAACATATTCCTTTTACAGTTTTATTTATGCACAATCAATTTTATTTTCTATTAAATTTTTATCAGACAGAGTCCATGTACTCAAGTATGCGTAATGTTATCATATTCCCAAGGACTCGACTAATATTATTTCGAAAATTTATAACAAATTAGTTGATTTTCGAGCCCCAATCACCCCCCAAACAAACAGCATAAAATCCTAAAATATATTTCATTGTTTTCGAGTCACTTTAATTAGGCACATTGCCAATAACTTAATAATGTAATTAACACAATTAAAATCTCTTTAAAATGTAGAAGAAAAGTAGAACAACACAGGAAAGTAACGGTACCCAGTTTTGTTAGAGAACTTGATATATTGCGTAACTGTGTATAGATTATGTTATTTATGAAGTAAAAACACGGCAGGTAGTAAAAATATTAATAATCGAATAGGTTATGAAAACAAACCTTCTGCCACCAATGCAGTGAATATTGATATGAAGACAATCAGCAAACTATCTCCTAACATGGACATTTCGCAGCGCTAATGACAGAGAATTGCAAAATATCACAGAAATCAACAAGAAAAAGAACTACTGAACTAAGAAACTCTTTCTCAGCGGATTGTGGGGAAATTCCTGGCAAATTCTTATTGCTGAATGGATAATATATTCGCACTGAAGCATATCCATATAGGTTAAAATCGATAACCAGCATAATACAATCGTTTTCTTTTCTAGAATGAAATTGTACAAAAATTATGCAACAATGATTCAAAATTATTTTAAAAGTGAAATAAATCTTAGATTGATATTAATTAAAGTGTTTTCATCTAATATAATATCACCAAACTATTGATCCATGACGAAACCAACTAATTATAAAAGCTTGCGTTCTCGGCGTGGAACGCAGTTGAGCTGGGAGCCTCGACGCGTAATGGACTCTTCTTCTCTTGTAGACATGGTTCAATCTCCTTGTCCGTTTATAATTGGAGTTTCTGGAGGGACATCATCAGGAAAAGTTAGTTTTATTATTTCATTTGTATATATATATATATTTTTTCATAATTCGATAACAAACGCGAGTGGTGGTAAAGCGATGACGTAACCGTGCGAACATAGTGCATGACTAGCTTGTGACGTATACTACGTATGGTAAACAAAGCCGTCGCCACGTGGTTTCGCAACGAGACCAGACAGGAACGAGCGTACAGACGGTGATGCCACTTCTCCCTACCGCTTTACGTTGCGTGTCATATTATTTAGAGACAAGATATGTTTTGATTTTTCGATGCTCGTTTCACCATATAATGATTAATAAAAGCATTCTAAGCATAATAAAATTTTCTGGTGAAAGTCCACACTTTATAAGATAACTCTTAGTCAAACTAACTGGAATTATTAATTAAACAGGAAATAGAGTTCAACATTGCAATTAAGGATTTTTTATTGACCAATGAGATGTTGTTTTCATTCACATTCCAGCTACCTAATACTGTAATCTTCAAATGAGCTGTAATATACTGTGGAACCTGTTCCTCAATGTAAAATAAAAAACTTAAAATCTTCTCGAAATATTTTGAATTTAAGAAAACCCCAACGTCATGTATTGCGGCAATATATTTGGTTGTTGTATATCCATATTATAGGTTATTTTGCAATACAGGCTTTGATATGGGACAAATGTTATATGGCTAGATAAAACTTCTAATATTCCATTGATTCTCAATATCTGGAATTGTTGTCTTGTCTGCTTATGCACTGCTTCCATGTTTGACTGGTAATCAAACAAGAGGCCGTGGTTTGCCATATAATTAAGCCGTGTAATCGACTTTCCTCTCCCCCAGGGTTGTCCAAAAATAAATGAAACCCACAAAATTGGTAATCGAATTAACGGGTTTCATTTATTTTGGGATACCATGTATATTCGCTGACTGGCACACTCATTTTTATAAGATGCTTCATCATGCCTTTGCTCTAAACAAGGCATTGTATAAGCAGCCACTTATATCCAACAATATGTAAGAAGCTACTACATTCATTTAATGCCATATCTCAATTTCAACTTCTAATAAATGTAATTTTACATTACAGACTTCAGTTTGCCAGAAGATCATACAATGTCTAAAAGAAACATCTATGAGCAAATGGGGAAAGGTTGCAATCATAAGTCAAGATGACTTTTACAGAGAACTCACATCGGAACAGATTGCGTTAGCTAACAAGTCTCAATATAATTTTGACCACCCTGGTGAGATCTAGCTTCTTTTATTGTCTTTGATAAATATGCTTTGGAAATTATAAAAGGCCTATGTGTGGCTCATCGTGCTAAGCATTAGGAATACACTTGCCACCCTTTGATTACTCTGCGTGGGTTCGCAGGTTCGAATCCCATGCCGCGATGGTTATGTGCGAGAGGATTGCTGGACTCCTCACCCGCCGTAGGGTGGTTCACAGAACCGCTGGTCGGTTACGACTTCCTCCACCATCAAGTCCATGCTTCTGAAAAATAAATAACTAACTAAACCCAAACCCGACATGGAATAGTAACCGGACGGAGGCCGAGGTTCGCCATAGACACTTAGTCTTATTGGCTTTCCTTCTCCCCCGGGATAAATATGTAAATCCTATTTTAAAATTGCCAATATTGGGGAAATTTCGATTCAATATACTATTCGTCGTTAAGAGGAATATTGTAAATCCTTTGTGCTGAGTATTAAATCCTAGATCAAAGTGTATAGTGATGTTTGAATTCCATGTAGTAAAAATTAAAGCCATTTGTTTTATAACTGTTTTTTTTTCAAGTCTGTGCCATTTATTATCTAATTTATGTAACTTTTTTATGTAATAAATTTTGTTGTTTATTTCCATACTTAATATTTTATAATAGGCAAATTTTAACTCCTTGAAAATTCATTATTATTCTCTCTAGTTGTGTGATATCATATTATTTTTTAATTAAAATATTGTAGGATTTTAGAGATGCGGATTTTTGTTCAGGTTTCTTTTCACCTAGCATGAACTATGAAATTTTTTTTTGTTTTGATTGGATATTTGTGATAAAATACTTGTCCTTTTGGCATTTCCATGGTATTTAGTAATTCGTGACTGAAATGATTTTTTTTGTTATACTCAGATGCATTTGACACAAAGCTCATGAAAAAGACATTGAGTGAACTTGTGCAGGGAAAAACAGTAAAACTCCCAAAATATGACTTCAAAACCCATTCAAGGTAATATTGAATATTCTTCTTAAGTTGTTGTTAAATCAATATTTTTTTACAGGTTTGCATTATATAAGCCAACTGCTTAAACACTGTTTGTTTCATAAGTAAATTCCCATTAGAATAATCTCCGAAATAGAAAAAGGAACAATTTAGTTATTTGCTAAATTCTGTTATCTAGAGCAAATTGCTATTATTTTACAGTTTTTATTACAGTAAATATTTTCGCTGAAAAATTTGTTTACTTACCTTATCGACAAATAAAAGTTTTCTGGTAATATTTCGACATCCTTCCGATTGGCAATTTAGACATCAGAGTTATTTATTTTATTGTTTGCTTTGCATATCAAATACGAGTCATTATTTGCCCTGATCATCTATGATTTGATTTTAAAAGTTTCAGTTGGATGAGAAAATCTCTTTCTCCGTTTTAGATTAAAAGACGAATGGACGGAACTTGGACGATGTGACGTTATTCTTTTCGAAGGAATACTCGTATTTTATCACAAGGAAATCCGAGAAATGTTTAACATGAAATTATTTGTCGATAGTGACGCTGACACAAGATTATCTCGACGAGGTGCGTTTTCATGTTTGGTTAAACATTCAACATGTTTCTTAAGTTTTATTTTCACATAAAATGTGTAAATTTCCACATAGATGATAACACTTTGATCATCCTCGTTTTGACATGATCAATTGATTCATATCGAATTTCTTTTAAATAATAGAGATATTTTCCTGTCGAATTCTATCTTGGTCAACAATATACTTCTGATGAATGGCTTTTATTTTGATGTAATGACATCAGTTATATTTTATTGTGAGTTACATCACAATTCAGAAAATTCACGCCATGACGCAATGCCATGATCTTGGGAATTAGTAATTGGCATACAAGCGGTACATATTTAAATTATGTCTCGACAGTCTTCAATTAGAAAATATGAAGAAGTAGGCTTATAATCATATTTTGGATGTCCAAATATTTGAAATCATAGTTATTCGATAAAGATCTACTTTAAAGATTCAGATAATAGTTCTCTGTGGAAAATGTATTGTTTTTTTGCGTCAGTATTGTAATTTATGTGAAAGTAAAATTTGTCATATGGGGATTTTGATGCTTAAAGATAGATTAAAAGAATATTCAAAATTAAATAGTACATATTAATTTTTTTTATCACTCTTGTCATTCTTCATGGATAGGAATTTATAATGGTTTTGTTGTATAATGAATATTCTGAAATATTCAAATTCTAAATGAGATTCTTAATACCAAACATTTTGGTTATTCATTTCCCTCGTATTCAAACAGTAAACAGGACCCTAATAAAAATACATTGTCAACAAACTTGCCCTTAATCCTACATTTATGACTGTCAGAACAATGCTGTAACAATAATCGTTGACCTAGTTTGCTTTTAACAATTGTTGTAGGCCTATTTGATCCTTCTCTGCTTTAGCAAGTAGTGAAAGATTTATATTTCTTCTGTAAATGCAAGCTCTATGTAGGCAAATTATTTTATGATTGTTTACATATTTGTTGAATAATATCATTGTTATCACTTTTGGTTCTAGTAGAGATAAAATTCCAATTATTTAATCTTTTCATTATTAACTCCTTTTCACAGTATTACGCGATATCAGCGAGCGTGGACGTGAGCTGGAGTCAGTTTTACACCAATACACAACTTTTGTAAAGCCCGCTTTCGAGGAATTCTGCATGCCGGTATGCATTTGCTTTCTAAAATCTGGTCAATACTGGATAATGTGTGATCATACATGATTTGATAATAATGTAGTGAGGTGTACTCAGCACAGGCCATGAATGGGCCATGTCACACCGGTACATGCCATCTGTAGTTTTCAAGGTTGAGCCATAGATAGATTACCTCGCAATATTGCATCTTCTACTTAGCATATAGTCGATAAATGCCAATTTTGAGTAAAAATGGTTTATAAAGAGATCCGAAGGCTTGAATCTTGAAAGAGCTACTTTTTAACGAATATGAGTAGAAATATGAAATTTTAACATTTGTTCTTTGTCTCCAAACGCTCAGATTGGTGTAATGTTACACTGTGATAATGAAGCTAATTCTTAACTCATGGTTCAATCTAAAAATATCTTCGCAACTCAGAAAATTTTACAAATTGAGCAATCGCATATGCTATTTGACGTTTGTATCATTCATAAATGAACTTCTTTCAATATGATCAATACAACCATGTCACGTTATTTTTGTCATGGAATATAATTTTGTTCTAGTTAGGTATCAAGAAAGGATTAAATTGGATGTAACATCTTTATTTGGTAGATTCATACATTCACTCATTTTCTCCATCCCACAACTCTGCCATTTATCCTATTTCCGATTTGCCACTTGATTATTCAATGAGCTGTGAAATATTGCTTGACGTTCGTGGCCAATTTTGCCTCGTATTATTGTGAAGTGTCGCAAAAACAAGGTTTCACACTTAAATGATGTGAATTAATAAGGTCTGCTTGCTTTTCTAAACTTTTTGTATGGTGGAATTCATTTTTACAGTTTTTAATTTTTTCAAAAAACTCTATTTCTAAGTCTTGAATTCACTACCTTATGTCAATTTTACTGATGAATAGTAACACAGATGTATTCATTATCGAGTATTGCTAAATTCTGCAGACGCAATATACCATCTATTAGAATTGTTGTGCATTCTAAAACTTTGCCTGACATCTAAAATCGAAATATCAATGTAAGAAAATGAAAAAAATCATGATTTTGATTCCATTTCACAACATAAATTAAGAAAATGAGAAATTTCACACAAAAAAAAATTACTTTCAATTATATGGATTTTAAAAATACCCTTCTTCAGAACAGCATTTATTTCAAATTATAAAAAACTAAACGGTTTTCCACATACCTAGTTTAAAATGGTGGAATATTATATTATTGTGTTCAAAAAGTATATTCTCAAACTGGAACTAGACATGACAATGGTATTGTGTACTTTGTGTATCAATATATCTTTGTGTCAGGGTTCCTGTTTGCCACGTAGGAAGGAGACAAAAAGTTTGAATTATATGTTTTATGTACCGGTATTAATATTCTTATGTATCATATGCCCATTTTTTTTTCTGATTTAATCTTTATATGTTCAAAATTATGGAAGGCTAAAGAAAATGACGAAGAAAAATATTATATTATAATAATATAGTTATAAAGTAAGACTCGTTTAAAAAGCATTCTAGTATGGCTAATTGAAGTCAAAATTTTTATGGTGAAGTCATAGTTAATGCTTATATATTAAATTTGGCATTTTAAATTTGGTGCAATATTAATGAGTTCAAAATTCATATTTGCATGTAAATATTTGGATATGAACTACGTGCTTTTGGAAAATACTTATTGCATGTAATGAATGCAACAGGATGATAATTTTCATGATAATGAAGGACAATAAAAACCACTCAGCTGGTTACGGTGTCTAAACGACATTTTAGTGCATATCTTCATAGCCTGGAGATAAGATTACGACACACCTATATAGATACCAGTAGTTGAAATTAGTGCATCATGGCAAAATATTTTTCACTATTTTCAGACTAAAAAGTATGCTGATGTTATAATTCCAAGAGGACACGAAAACACTGGTAGGGGAATTAGTTTTTAAGTACCTAAATTTGGGTGAATTCATTCTACGAATGTACTGTGTTTTCTTTTAGAATTTTACATTTGTTTTGCTCGCATCTACTATTAATTTGGTTGCAATGACCTCAGTTATGTTTGGTTGTATTATTTATTATGTTGTTTAAAAGTACCTTTTTCGAAATGAATGAATTTTCTTATGCAATGTTTGATCAGCATATACCCTGAAGTGAAATTAATTTACATAGGTTTACGGAAGTAAAATCATATATATGTTTGGAAACATGTTGTGGGTTACTTTCGATAAAATTGTTGATGTTGTCTTCATCTGTACCTGTGTTGCTTATGTAATTTAATCATTAGGCTGAATAGTAGACATACAGGAAATTGACTTATTTGCTACACTGTGGAAAATTTTAACTTTTTTTTGTTGCTTGTTTTGTTTACATTAATTGATAATTGCGTATTTTCAGTTGCAATCAATTTGATCGTCCAACATATTAGAGATATATTAACCGGCGGTGTCAGAAGAAGACAGAATGGTCATGTCACCAATGGTTCGGGCGATCACTCTCACATGAATGGTCATGCGAAAGCTGTGAATGGTTTGGTAGGGGTGTTACCGTCGCAAGAAATTGCAAATGGAACTTCCAGACCCCACTGATGGTGCTTTTTTGTTTCTCCTTTTTTATTATTTAGTTTACCTTGGGTGGTGATTGCCGCATTCCTTTTATTGTCTTTATGATAGCGTTGTACTTACGGTAAGTGCCAATTGTGGGGAGGGTGAGTGTAACAATCAAATGCCAATTTGCTAGTACGGATAAAGGAACGGTTTTGTATACCTCTTGCACACTGCTGCATAAGCTTTCACACTTATTTTTAGTTGTTTTATTCACTTTAAAATGTCCCCTCATCATTACTATGATCTGTGACGTTTCAAAGTTATACTGCTGAAATTACTTCAAAATATCTTGCCATTTCAAAATAATAGACCAATTGTAAGTAATCTAGTAAAAACTGTTCATCCAACCCTAATCATTTTTGGAAACAAATATATTCACAGTTAATCAGTTTCATTTGTGCAATATTCAATGATGTATCGTTAAATGGAAAGAGAGGTACAAACCACATTCATTTCCTTTACACTTTTGACCCGCCAGTGTTCTACATAAAAATCTCATTCAATAATCCAAACAAATTTGGTTGATGAATATGATACCAATATTTTTGTATTTTTGAAGGCTTTCGTTTGGAAACAGTTGTCCATGGCCGGGCATTGACAGTATTCGATCTTTAATAATTTATTAAACAATTGTAATCATCAGAAATGTATTAACCATTTTTAGACATAATTGCTTTTTTTTATTGGTTTAGGTTAGTGAGAATGAGATCCTCATTTTTTGCTATGCTTTCTCCTTCGTTAGCTAGTATATGCGGGCGCAATGGCGTTGCACAGAAAGCATATTAAATTCTGAAAATTTATGGTTCTTTTGATGTTGGAATTATAACCCTTATAGGCAGATTTTGTATGTGTCAAATCCAGATCTGTCAATAGTTTGAGTAAATTCCTGCACTCGAAGGCCAAATAGAAACTATATTAATAGTAACAAGATTCTGCTACAATGTTAAACTTGCTCTGAATATTTGTGAACGTACAAATCTAAATGCTGCCAATAGACTGGTTTCTTTTTTTATGAATTATTGTTACTGTGCCTTATGTAAATACTGCTTTATACTTGTTGTACTCCCTGATGGAATTTTATTCAATCTCATGACACTCGTGCTGCCCAGATTATATGACCACTTACTCTGATCTGAAAGGCCAGGGGTGTGCGGCCTGGGGGCAAAATGCAGCCTGCAAGGAAAAATTGTGTGGCCTGCGGAGAAGTGGCAATTTCGAACGGTGTAAAACGGTTCAGCGAAACTAGTTATTAATTTATTTCAATCTGGTATGTGTGAGTAATTCCAATCCCTTTGTGAGGTGCAAAGCTTATACCAGAATCCAATTTATTATCTACGCCTATGACGTTACAATGCCCTATCAGCTAGCTTGTGCGAAGCGAACAACGCATGTCATAACATCAATAACCAAAATATTTGTGCCTGCAACCAATATGTTTAGTAAAGGTGCGGCCCCGCATTTTCACTCACTGGCCCGCTTGTATTAAAGGTTGCACACTACTGGCTTAGACCAGTGCATATATGTGAATATCAAAAATGTGAATTTCATTTATTAATGCGAGTTTCAAGTTTGCAGACTCTGGTTAAGAGATCTTTGTTCTTTAGGTCCATGCCCACCACCACCAAGGTTGTAGAATCGGCTAACCGGAGTCTTTTCAAGACTACCTATATTGCTTCCTATTTATTAGTGGGTACTGTCCAAAACGCCGTTCAGAATGTGGGTGTGAAATAAAATTCATCATTTGTCCCTGAAGTCAACTCCTGATGCCAGGTTAGGAAATATTTCAGGACTCTGAGAAAATTTTGATAACAGAAATATTTGGCATATTCAAGCCTCCTTTGATATACTGTTAAGAAAGCTTAGTAAGCTCCCAACTAAAATATGGGATTGTGCACAAAGTTCAAATATCAATGAATTTTAGACTCTTGGTGCAGTTTGAGTTTGAAAATACCTCTCCGGCTTTAGTAAAAATAAGCCAAACAGACTCGATAACCATGACTTGTCATAATATATGAAATGCCGTTCACATCCAAATTTACAAGTATCTTCTTGTTCCATGAAATTCCTGCATATTGTTCTGTACATATTGTAGCTTATATTTGTCCTTGATATAAATAACTCCTTTGTTTTTGCAGTTAGTTGACTTTGAATATACACTGATGATAAAAATGTTTTATTTGGTTCATATTTCAGAAAATTTTGAATGCAACTCTGTTTTGTCTATATGTTTGATACCTTTGCTTTTTATCAACTCGATATGATTAAGGCTATTCTAACTCCTTGTTTTTTGAATTTGAAATGCTTTTCTGCAAGTACTACTGCCTTTCAAAATTGAAATAGGCTTGCGTTTTTTTTACGAATGCATCTGTTTTGATACATGTATGATCTTACAACAATAGTGGTCACCTGCCAACATTCAGTTGCAGTTTTCATATTTTGGTTCAAGCTCTTTAACCAAATAAAATTGCTGGGAGTAATGTTGATTTTATGTCAGAAAAAGTATTGTGGGTAGTATTTGTGACTTGGCAAAAGTGAGGCAATCTGGCCTTTTCTGGTTTACATTAGATTTAGAAAAGAAGTCATGATAGATTGATGTGCTGGAGAGAAGTGAATGGGAAGTCAAATGCTGATAAGTTGCTTCGACTTGTATGGTTACTGATCTAGTTACCGTAAGTGTTTCGATGGAGAGGCTGTTTTTGACAGTGAGTAAATCTAATTAGATGCAAGCTGCGACAAATAGAAACCCAGTTAGTGAAGAAGAATCCGGCGAGCCTTGTGGAACAATGGTAATATATTAGTTAAGCTTGGGCCGTTTTTAAATTCACGAGAAAAAATGTGAATATTCAAGACCTGTTGGCCGTAGGGGATAATTACATGCAACAGGGTCTTTGAGCTGAGGTCAAATCCATGCATCTGAGCAAATAAACCGTTTCCCTGGCAATCTGTCCAGGTTTTATACATATGATCAAGCCATCTTACCCCAGGACAAATAAGAAAATCCTACCCCCAATACCTAACATACCTTCAAGAAATGCTGCTCGTCAAAACCCCCTAACATAATCATTACAGACACAAATTCGTAGTTAAAATTTAATATTGGCATCAGAATACATTATGACAATACAGTGTGGAGAGCGAAATACCAAACGCAACATCCACTGATTTATATGTCAAAAATGCTACGTGATGAAAATGAAACAACTGCTTGGCGCGTTCTTTTCAAGTACTAGAATCAGATGATAAGCTTCCAGGTAAAATGAATGTTTGTGTAAGGTCTTCAGTATTTTGCCACCCAGCTCGTTAACAAATGATGATTATGTATGCATACCAGCCATAGTGTACGAACATTGTATCTGCCTACCTAATCATCTCGCCAACCAGTCGCACAGCTTGCTGCTTGAATATTTCGAAATACTTTTTAGCGCCTGAATTGTGTTAAGCTCCCAGATCTGTATCTTTAGCCCATAATTTAAACGTTCTATCAAATGAACTTGTGGCAATATATTCTCCATCTGGTGAAATATCCATTCCCATAACTTTGTTTTCATGCCCTGCTAATGTCTTCAACGGAAGAAATCCAGGATGTGCCCAAATCTAAATATTAATATAATACAAGGTTTAGAAATCTGGTATAACCTAGAAAGGGTCGGTCTGGTATTTGGTTTGAAATCAGAATGGCTCCAGTTACGAAGCTTATTTTTTTTACCTTGGAGCTTGGTTTCTGCGCTACAAACATGACAGTGTTTTGCTATGACCACTGCCATGACACATCAGCCCAAATGCACTTTGGGGAGTGGAACTCAAAAACCATGATATAAGGGTTTCAAATTTTGAACTTTTAATTACACAAATTTAACTTGAAATTTCAAATTAATATTAGAAATTAAATATTAATTTTTTTATTATTATTTTTATTTACCATTAAAAAATTATAAATAAGAAAAAATAGACGGTTAGGATAATTTTGGGTAGATCCACCTCCACCCATTATGGTTAAGCTTGGCTCTGTCTGGCCAACAACATGTCATGGCACCGACCTTGGTATTAACAGATTTGGTCGTGAGTTCGTAACACAATCAGGGCAATGTCAGACTGGTTTTACCATAATGACACGATTAGATATAAGTCATACTGTGATCAGAAAGATCTATTTCAACCCAGTTAAGTACATTCTGACAAATTATTTTGGTCACTTTTCCATCTGAAACTTCCTAGCTCCTCAATGATAATGGCGAAATCTAATTCACACTTACTTTAGCAGTACAGTCATATGATGCTGATACAAGGTAGTCTCCATTTGATTCTACAAATTAAACAATGATAGATGAGTTATACAGGATTTTAACAGAGTAAGACTACAGTTCAATCCTTTTGTGAGAATTCAGAGTATTTAGGAATGTGATCTCACTGAATATACATTTCCATACCCAACATGGAGTGGTAACTGGAAGAGAACTAGTAGATTTGTCACATGGGTAAGTCGTCTTATCGTCTTCCCCCGGATAATTATGAAAAATCCTATTTAGGTCTAATCCACAAAGCAAATTTTTACAGTACATAATGATTTTATTGCTATTGCATGACTAAATGCTTTGAAATTTTTGATGTTTCAATACCATTATCATTCTCTAAGACAAGCTGGGAAGAAAATAGTACCGTAATTTTTCGATCAAACTTTAAAACATACTTTGATACTGCAAACTTGATACTAAATTTGTATGAGCAGGAATGGTGTAAACGCATGTAGTTCGTCGAAGATCCCAAACTTTTACAGTGTTATCTGCACTTCCAGTTGCAACTTGGTAACTGAAGAAAAGAGGAAAAGTCTCAAACTGACCAATAAAACTAAGCATTTCATAGCCCTTCTGACTAACGGCAGCAAGTGCTACTACTCCTCATATTGGTTTGCCATTGCCTATCCAATTTTTAACATTCTGGGTAATTAGTGGGCATGTTATTAGGACCAGAGTTTTCAACTTGTGATGGTAATTTTTTAGTTAGGCCTCGTTTCTCGCTAATTAACCACTTAGCCACCACTCCTACCCTCAATTGGTATAACAGGTTGAAACTTAACTCAATTCTTGCCTTAACAATATCCAAAAAACATTCTACATCATACTAAAATTAATTTACCTGTTTGGTGAAAAGCATATTGCATACATTTCTTTTAAGTGACCTTCTAAAAACATGATGCATCTTCCCGTTCTCAAATCCCAGATTCTACCGTATGAATCAAGACCACTTGTTGCAGCTAATGCTCCATCATCCTGTGATCGTAAGAGGATAAAAATTCTAATTTTGACATTGAACAAGAATTCTGAAAATGGATTAAGTTATGGATATATCTGGAATATAGCAACTGGGGGTGGGCAAAATCGAATATTTTTTTCGAATCGAATAATTCGAATATTTTTAACGAATACCTTATAGTCGAATAACGAATATTTTTTATACACAACAGGAGGTCCAGAACGTCGGTCGATGCTCCCTTGGGCTACAAAACGTTTTTTACTGGTTAATTTTGTCATAATCGCTGATTGTTTTTGTAATTGTCACGTGAACGTTTATGCGGCGCTATTTAATCTATATTACCACCCTTTATGTTTTTTGCAAGTATTACCGTATTTATTCGATTATAACGCGCAAAATTTTGAACTGAATTTTAGGCAAAAATCAATGCTGCGCGTTATACACGAGGTCTGAGAAATGCGGTATTGAAAATGTGGTTTTAAACATCTGAAACGTACGTGCGCTCGCGCATGCACATTCCAATGCAGGACGATTTCGTGCAAGCACACGCACATGCGACAGCTCAGCGTGCGTTTGACATTCGTGCTGCGTTGAGAATATTTATTTGCCATTATCGTACTGTACTGTAGATACCCATTATATATTACCCATTATCTATTATGGCAAGACAAAAACGTTCTGCATATAGGGCTGCATTCAAACTGGAGGTTGTTGATTATGCGGAAACTCATGGAAATAGAAAAGCTTCTAGAGAATTCAATGTACCAGAGACAAATGTCAGAGATTGGAGAAAGCAGAAAGTTGTTCTAAAAGATATGAACAAAACAAAGAAAGCGCGGCGAGGGAGACAAGCCCGGTACCCAGAGTTGGAGAAGGAGCTTTATGATTGGATAGTTGATCAAAGATCTAGTGGGTACATCGTAACTTCGCTCCATATTAGACTCCGTGCACAAAAGATTTGCAAAGATTCAACCTTTAAAGCATCTAATGGTTGGGCACAAAAGTTTATGAGAAGGCATGGACTTGCACTACGCCAGAAAACAAAAATTGCACAAAAGTTGCCTCAAGATTTAGAAGAAAAGATTTAGAAGAAGAGGTTGAAAGTGATGTTCCCGCCGATTGGGACACTGATTTAAACATAACCCAAACAGAAATCGAACAGTTGTTTGGTGAATCAGAGACTGAATCTGATTTTGAAGAGTTTTGAATTACTGTGTGCTTTTAATAAATTTTTGTTCATGCTGTGAGTTGTTACCTTATGTGCTTACCAGTAGTTAGTAGAGAAAAAATAAAAAAAAGAATTTTATACCAATTTTCATTCAAAATTTAAAGGTGCGCGTTATACACGAGTGCGCGTTATAATCGAATAAATACGGTAATTCTTTCGGGTCGGCGGACATCGAAGTTTATATTTCGGGTTTACCCGTGCGTTCACGTCGGCTACAATTGTTAAAACTATTAAGGAATAATTTCAAACCCCCAAATTAATATTATTCTAATTTTTATCATTTGCGTTGGCTTTCATATTACTTATCAGCGTTTGTAAGTTTACAGTCTCAATATTAAGGGAACGGTAATTGTATTATCGATACCGAGATGCAGATATTTATGACAATACCGTAATTAACTTGCTATGCTTTTCTATGGTGTCTATGTTACTTTATAGATGAACCTCGCAAAGCTGCGATTGCGTCAATCACGAATGTTGATTTATAATAGTGACTAAATAATTCGGCAATAAAGGCATTTCTGCGTGGCCATATGACGAGATGACGTTAATAAGCAGCGCTTCTTGAATATTAATTTACATATTCGACCTATTGCTGAAAGAAATTGCGCTTTTGTACCTTTTGTGCCTAATAGATGGCCAGGCGGTAATTATAACTAACTCTTCGAAGGTCTGACGTTTTCTTTCAAGAAACCCCGCTATCATTATAGCTAATATCGTTACCGAGTAATACGGAATTTGCGAGTCCACTTTTACTTCTCTTGACGATTTTGATAATGTCACGCCCTATTTATCAATGCAAAAATGCTCAAAATATAACGAATGTAATCTTTTCCGACGATACAACAATTCGTGAAAGAGACGCGTTGTTACATTGAAATTCACGATTGATTTACGTTATGATTTCTACACTCCACCCGCCATGCATGTCCGAGTGAAATGTTTACATTTTCGAAACATTACTTGGTCAAGAATGAAAGGGATCACTAAAGAATTAATTTGAAAGTACATTAAAAGAATTATGTCCTGCCATTTCTTTACTGGTCATAGCTTGTTTGTGTTATACTATGTATGGTTTCATGCGAAAATTATATAAACTTTTAATTTTCGTTAAACAAATTTATGTTTGGTTCATGCATGAAACGGCTAATCACTTGCCGCCAATTGTATGGAGTTTAAAATCTGGGATATTTATTTTAAATACCTCATCTGATTTGACGTTTCTAAATTTAGGGAACGGTGTCGGTACCTTGTTTTGCAAAATATTGAATTGAAATGAACGATTGAAACGCAAAGAAAACAAATAACACCACAACGCAAAGACGATTTTTCGAATTTGTCGCTTTTGTCTGTTAGCCAGCGTTGTAGGTGAATTCTTGCGCAATTCACGATCGGTTCCGTGACGTTCTGTGTCTAAGCGAGGCGGCACAGATCACGTGGTACCCGATATTTGAATAGTAAAATGCCATTCGAATAATTTAATATTCTATTCGTTATTCGAATATTTTGCCCAGCCCTAATAGCAACTCATTTTGATGCCGAGCAATCTAAATATATTACCGAGTAACAATTTCGTTAATAATGAAGAGTTTTAAGACAGATAATTCCAGATATTCTTATAAAGATAAAGTTTATTGATACTATATAAAACATTGAAATTAAAGATTCATTTTTTTTTCAGAATGCATCGAAAAGTGAATTGCTTGATTTGATAGTCCCTGAGAACATTCAGCAAGAATATGTTCCATTGATCAGTACTTACCTGGAAAGATATATCATGTACTCCAGCACTATGACCCTCTTGATGTAAAACCTCTTCTTCCTGCACGAGATCCCACAATCTCCAGGAATTATCGTAACTGGAAAAAAACAGAGATCCCATTTGAAACATGTCAACTATGAATCAATTGAATTATGTCGAAGATTACCTATTGTTAGCTGGTTGTGGCCTCCAGCTCCTAACTCCAAGAAAGGCAAATTTTTGAAAAAAAAACATTTGCACATTCAAGCATTCTTTATTAATAGACTGATAAGAATGCTTTGTAAAACTGATGCTTTTGGTAAGTGACTTATTTTATCACCATTGGGAGATTTCATAATTTTGAGAATATGACTTCGACCTCAAATCCATGAATATACCATGCGCATGCAGCAATTAACCAGTTTACTATTCTCATACCCGGACAGAGACTGGGATTCCTCATATGAACCATAGGAACCCTACATATTTATCCCGGGGGAGAGGAAAGCAATAAAACAGCTTAATCATATGGCGGACCAGTGGTTATGTGAACCACCCTACGGCGGTGAGGAGTCCAGCAACCTTCTCACAACATAATTAACCCTGCATGGGATTCAAACCTGCGAACCCATGCAGGGTAATCAGAGGTAAGATGGCAAGCGTATTCCTAGCGCTCAGCACGAAGTTACTTACAATGCATCATAACCTAACTACTAGCAAACACACAATGTAATAAAAACTCTGATATTGACATCAATTAGACAACCCACCATGTCGTTCCTAAAAATCTTCCTGACGGATGATACTCCACCCTAGCAACCTTCTTTCCCCCGTGTCCTTCAATATCTGCTACTGGTTCAGATGATTCAAGATTCCATAATTTAATCACACCATCAGAAGAACTTGATGCCATGCAACATGTCTTTGGTTCTAATGATATCGTAGCTTGTGGATGAAATGCTATAGAACAGACGTTGATATTGTGACCTGCAAAAGTAATTGAATAAAACAATAAATAGATATCATTGATATAACAATAGATTACATTCCAAGGATTGGAATAGGTTATGCTTTACCTTTTTTATTTTTTAATCAGGTTTCGAGCAAACTTAGATTAAGAAACACTGCGCTTGAAAGACTCATCTTGTGAGTGCATCTTAGGCACTCTGTGGGCCATGTACTAATCAGACTAACTAGAATTTGAAACCCATTATTTTCAACTTGGGACAACAACCCAGTCAAGTTAGTACCTTAGACCCTAGGCCAATTCGGGATGATAGAAAACCCAATTTCCAAACATTGAATATTTTTCAAATGAAAATTATTTTTGTGAAGCAGCATATATACAGATATCAAATTCTAACTTTCTTACTTTTGTTGTCTGTAACATACAATTAAAAGAACAACAGTTACCATCACATACCTCTTAAAGTATTAATTTCCTCACAATCAGGAACTGACCACAGTTTACACAAACCACTCCATGACGTTGTTGCAAGTATTTTAGAGTTAGGACTGAATTTACAAGAAGATATTGGCCTTGAATCACCGATCTGACTTCCGACACTGTTTACTGCCTATTAAAAAGTAAATATATTTGATCAGTTCTACATTTGTTAACTCATGGAACAGTTGGTCATTTATTCCAACACCTACCTAAGCTGATAACCAACTAAAATATGGGGTTTGAGTAATATGAAGCGGTCTTACTCTTAGGTCTTGAAAACTGATTTTGCTTGGCAAAATCACAATGATTACAGAGCCACAGTATATTCAAACTGTGGGTCCAGCTCTGAGACCTCATTTTTTTTACCTAACAGGAGTCACAGCCCCGCTACAAACTACTCATTTCAGTGCACAATATAAAATAATACAATAATTCGACTTTTATGGAATATCAAGTCATTATATAATTCTTTGTTTGGGTAACAGCTGATATTGTCAATGAACATACTCGCATATGCCTGTGAATCTCTTGTACCCTTGCATGTTTTTGTGTTGTTGATTGCTCCTGTTGTTCTCTCGCTTTCTGCAACCTTGCCTTCGCCCTGAAACAATAAATATATTTCAGTCACAAATTTTCCAAAAATTGACGATATCAAAACTACAATAATATGCCATGGCCTAGTAGTTGACTCAACTGTGATACACATATTGGGTTCAATTCCCAACCCCCCATTCCCACTGTAGGCAATGATAAACTGGAAAGAATTGGATCCCCACAAAAAACAGTGGCTCCTCATATATCAGTGGCATCTTGAATAGGGCCTTGTTCATGACAAACGGTTCGAATAAACGTATATTTTAAGTTTCAATTTATAATGAACTGGCACCACTAGTTTAAACAGAAAGTATTTAATTTCTAATTTACTCTATATTTTCACTAAATTACCACTTTTGTCAGATTAGTTTATATTTTATCAGTGTGATCAATGATCATTACTCTCTTACTTGAGCAATACTACGTTACCCAATCTTTCCTTGAAAAATCAAAAAAGTTACCTTGGAATAGAAAAGTCAGCAATCCACATTCTAGCTGCCTTTAGACTTTCTGGACCTTCGTGATACCACGTTGTCTTAGCGAGCTAAAAGAAAGAATATTATAAACCTCTTTACACATAATCCGTTCTTTCAATCACAATCTCTTAATCAGTTTAAACGTTACCTCTTCTTTTTCTTTCTGGGCCAACAATTGCTTCTCTGAAATTTTGTTTTTCTTTAAATTATCTTCACCAATGAGTCCAATGATCTCACGGAGACGTTCCCTCCTGTCCGCAGGACCTTCACCAAACAAGGTTATGGGTTCGCCGAATTCTCGAAGTTGTTTTCTCACCTATTTTAATCACATAATGTTGTCTTATAGCTGTTATTCCGATTTTTTACACAAATTGGGCTTAAACAACAACTTGAAAAGAAATTATTACTGGAATTATGCTACTATACATGGTACGAAGCAGAAAATGCTGGTATAAGAATGTAAGCGTTAGCATTTCCACAATTATTCCTAGTTAAATCTGATGAAGTTTGTTGACCAAATAATAAAACATGACATTTGAATGGACAGTCAAAAATGGGGCTTTTCAATGATTTGTCTTTGAAGATCATAGTAAGGATATAAGGCTTTCTATGTATAATAGTTATAAATGAATAGTTTTTTTGTTTACAAATTCTGTGAAACTATTAATTTTATGTGAACTAAACATGGTCCAAGCCAAATTCAGTTTTGACTTGATTTGATTTCAACTAAAAAGATAAATGTTTTGAAAAAACCTATAATCTTAAGCATAGGAAGTTATAATATTGAATTCTCATAATGAAGAGTTATTTATTTAGATTTTGGGGATCCTTATTTATAATTTAATAAGTCGATCCAATATAATAATACCTCTACGTCATCTGTTGTAACTTGAATTTGTCGTAGCTGTTTCTTTCTCTCAAATTCAGCAAGAATTTCTGCTTGTCGTTTATTTATTCTGTCTTCAATTGACATTTCCATGGTATCACCTGTTAAAAATTTCAATTGAATAGGAAGCAAAATTCTCAGTTGAAAACATAATAAATTATGTTGCGTAAAAAGTGAGAGTGACAGCTCAGTGGATAAAGCATTGCACTTAGATATGTTGAAACCACATATTGAAATAGTGGGTCCAAATTGAAGCAAAACCTACTTCCTAATTAAAATTTTGATGCAATGGAAGTTGATATTAGTATATCTGTATATCAATTTAGTTTTACCAAGATGTGGTCTCGTGTGATGTGTACCCCCAATATAAGTGACTGCTTGTATACAGCCTTATTCAGAGAGAAATGCATGTAATTTGTGTTCTACAAAAAACTATGAAAATGCTGTAATACAATGATAAAAGTAACGCAGAATTCATAACATATATTATCAATACTTACTCATGTTGGTGATATTAATATTTCCTGCTTTAATTCCAAGCTGAATTGCTTCTTCCCCAGACATACCGACTCTGTTTTCAATGCTTCCATATTGAACAGTCTTCCTAATCTTTCTTGGAGCTTCGCCATCAGAATCAGAGTCAGACATCCTTCCGTCTTAATATAGTCTTATTTGGAACAGTTTACTTATTTATGCGTATATCCAGATAATGATCTGTTAAGTAAAATACCCTCTTAACTCCCAGTCAACTTCTGTGTTTACTGGTTTATAACAGTGCCGTATAAGCACAAGGCAAAAAACCAGATATCCCATACGATAGTACAGTAGTATCATGACTGAATGGGCAAACAGGAAAATCTGTTTTACCACGGTAGCTTCGAAATCGGCCGCGCCAAGATGATCCCCTACTCACGTTACAAATTAATACCAAACAAACAAAAATCTTCACTGATTGATTATGAAAAGCCGGAAAAATAGGTATGAATGTATTTCAGAATATGGCTACGACACTTTCCCACAGGCAGACGGGAATATTAGCAACAGCGGCCTCGAAAACTCTCCTAAACACTGAAAAACCGATTTCAACAAATGCGCATGTAATCCTAACACAGTCCCAAAAAAGAACAGAAAATTCATACTGATTGCTTATGAACAACTATAAATAAAAATATGTAATCGTTTTCATGCTATAAATATACCAGTATGAGGCATGCACGCTAAAAAGTGGATTGAATGGAACAACCGCATTTAAAAATTAATTTCAACAGATGCCGTATTGTGGGCGGAGCCTAAAGTGAGATTATGCGGCGATTGGTCCAAATAATATTGTCTGACTGTCTGGCCGGTTAATGCTTGAGTCGGCACGTTATAAAGTCTGTAAGTTGTGCAATCTTCAGACCTTGCGGCATTTATTTGCGTTTGTATCACCGTGGGCAGGTGGGGATCGATGTCTGGATGTTGGTTGTCTTCCAAATAATAAACAGTGGTGTGGATGAGTTCTTTTTAAAATGCCTCGACAATATATTTGAAAATAACGTCGGAACAATCAGAGACTGTGTTCTGGCAATCGAGTTAGTTCAGAATTTATTGTTGGCTTGCAGACTTCATCGCTGTCTTACTTAACGGAAAAAGCTATTTAGGTGAGTCGTTATGCATGTAGTTTTTGATGTAGGCATACCAGTGAGAATTTGTACGATTGTAATCAAATATAGCTTTTGAAACATGAAATAACCCACAATACTGCAATATTGAAATAGAGACAATGCCTGAATGCACAACAGTGGGATGACTGCTGATTGCAACATAGAGCTTACAGACTTTAGGATGTATGGTACGAACAGAGCAATGACAGTTATCAATAAAATTATTTTCATGGTTGAATGTATGACAGTAAATTCAGTAATTTGTTTATATATTCCTTTCTGAAATATCTTGTTTTTGAGGCATTTTGAAAGTAAATTATTTTTATGAGAATGTTGAAAATTGTTTTGATATAGACTTGGCCGTTTATTTGTGATATGTTTTAGAAATGAAAATAAACCATAATTGTGCTTTTCAGGTGATCCACAATGTCAACAAGTTTTTGTTTAAGGCCGCTGATTGGTCGACTGAAAGGAAGGAGTATATGTCCACGTTTTTTCTCACAAGAGTCATGTTCAAATCAAGAATTTATGCAGAATCGTTATAACGAACTAAAGGCTCTTATTTTTGATGACCATCAACAGATTTGCAATGTTAATCCTCGTGGACTTTTTGCCATTAATCAAATCAATTTGGGAGAAATAAAAGTTTATGGATTTGACTATGATTATACTCTCGCTCATTATTCTGATGACATGCAAACATTCATATATGACAGAGCAACTGAAATATTGCACAAACAGTTCCATTTTCCCAAAGAGCTTTTGAACTACAAGTACGTTCCAGGGTTCTGTATTAGAGGTCTTCATTATGACATCCAACGCAGTTTACTCATGAAAATAGATGCTTGTCACGTCATTCAATTGGGTTCAGTGTACAGGTAAAACAATTTGATTATTACATATCACATGTTAATAACAAAGATAAGGATGACAGCGGTGCGGTGTGCAGGTCACGTATTTGCTGGTCCAATAGAGATTCTTTCACCAGCCATCTACATGCATATAAACCGAGGTTCCCAAATTGCTTGATTATATCACTATAGCATCTATTCTTATGCTTTCGTTTGTTGACTTTTCATCAATAAAAGATGGCAGATAAAATAACTGATGTAAAAAGTAAAAACTAGGTATTTTTATCAAGGGACGTTCCCACGTGTTTAGTGTCTTTAAAAGTTACGAATCATGAAAGTTTGAAAACTTGTCATCCAAGTATTCATTGACTTGCTCACCCATTCCTAGTTTGAGTAATCATGCTTGCAATATGATTAAGACGTCTACTTGGCTTTCCACTGCCCCAGGATAAATATGAAGATCCCATATCTGAACATAGAATTGATAGCATCCAGATGCTGTGAATGCATCGAATATTTGAATACATCTGAGATATATTTTATACAATAGAGGAAAGGCATTTTTTCATTTGACCAGCTGAGGCGGAAGTCAAGCCAGTAGTGGAAAAAATTAGCACAACTCTTTATTTTTGAAAATCAATACTCATTTAAATTTTTTTCCATATCTGTTCTTAACAGGGGGCTAACACAGCTTAGTGAAGATGAGGTACTGTCTCTATTTAAAGGAAGTCGTCATATTCCAAAACGTATCATGGATGAATCTCTCTTTGGAGGAAATTCTCTCAGACAATTGCTGGATATATTTTCAATGCCTGAAATGATGTTGCTCACCAATGTCGTAGAGTATTTTGTCCAAAATAATATAACTTATGACCCACAGATTTTATTTGAGAGTGTGCAAGCAGCTGTCAAGCAAGTTCATGTCGGAGGTATGTTTTATTTTACTAGCAGATCTATATTTACCGAATTGAAGCTTGATGGTTATACATAAATCTAGTTATTAATTTTGTAACCCGAAATCATGAATCAGGATACACTTCGTTTCGAGGCTTTGGTGAAATTCCCTATATATTTCATTAATGACTATTATGTATTATACCTAATCTCTGATGTTAAGTCACCTGTTCATTAATTTTCAAGTACTGGATATAGTTATGCATGATTTTCACACCTAATAGTCTAATACTGATCATCATTTGTAATTGATTAAGTTAGAAGGTATTGATGATGTGAGAATGATTCTTTCATTTTTAACAATAGTAACCTTTTGAACCTAACATTAAATGCTGATTATTTGTTAACCTGACTGTGCCTCTGAAACTTTACATCTGATTCCAAATACATATAAAATTGTAACTATGACAACTGTTCCAGGAAGTACATTACCGGTAAATAAATTGTACCCAACCCCACGATACCAATCTTCAGCCATGAGGATCTGCTCAAACTGGGGGGAATTAATGTGTGCCGAAGTATCTCATAATGTATATTAATACTGTTCTCTGAAATTGCCTGATTGCAAATTAAAACAACATTTATTGACAGAATTTAATATGGTGCATTGATATGTAAATATCAGTAAATGCTATCAAGTCCTACAACTATTTCAATTTCAATTTTTTTCATATTACTGACCTGTTGACTGTAGTGTAGATGTTGCAAATGCTTTACAGTGAGTAAAATTGGATTTCGAAAAATGGTATTTAGCCTAATACTCATTTTTTCTCACTTCACATTGTCGTTATTTGTTATATCATCTGTATCAGCAAAAATTTCCTTGCAGTCTTGCCTGCACCATCACTACTATGGCTCTGAAATTGAAGCCCTGGTGTTAGCCAACAAATCATTATTCTTTTTCAGGCCATCTTTTTCAAGAAGTTTATGGTAATGTGGATAAGTATCTTAAAAAGAATAGTTTAACTCATCTGATTGATCACTTAACATCAAATGGAAGAAAGTTATTTCTCATTACCAACAGTAACTTGCAATTTGTTAATGTTGGAATGAAGCATCTTATTGGGAAAGATTGGAGAGATGCATTTGATGTTATTATCGTTGAAGCAAAAAAGCCAGGATTCTTCCAAAATTACAAGAGGCCATTTAAAAAGATCATAGAATCATCTAGAAACGGTAACAATGGAGATAATAACCATACTGTATCATGGGAGAGGGTACATGAATTCACCAAAGGCAATGTATATTATGGAGGTTGTATACAGGACTTGATGCAAATATCTGGATGGAGTGGACATGAGGTAAGACTGCATTGTGTGATGGCCTAGAGCAGGGGTGTGCAACAGGCGACCCGCGTGCCATAACCCGACCCCTGTCAACACTCAGATTTCCCCCATCAAGCATAAAATCCGAATCCGAGAGTATGTTTGGAAGGCACTCACTTGTATAAAAATATATACGGTAATGTTTTTCGCTCTCTTGTCGCTGCGTTATATCGTTTTGTCCGATCACTTTATTACTGCAGGGCTAAGCAATAGCATTATCTTTTCTTGCCTTTCTCCATATGTGGCCAAGCTAGATGTCTGAAGTTGGTTTTAAAGCCCATCTGCAAAAAATGTTGCACATCGCTGGCCTAGACGTTGAAGTGTCAGACTTAACTATGTTGGCATGTTACACATCGCTGGTTGAAATCCCATGATCATCACCTCACTTAGGGCATAAAAAATTGAGTAGGCAAGGCTAAAGATTAGTCTTTTTTAAAAAATTGCTCCTTACATATATCATCAGGCATCAGTGAATGCTTGCGCATGGTCTTGTTCGGAGCGAATGACATGAGTAAGCACATATAAAAAAGCTCTCATTGTTTTAAACCATATCAATTTCTGAACCTCCTTAAAACTTAAGAGAAGTTGAAATGAATATGAGATTTTGAAAACATCACAAGCTATGGAGATTTTGTTAAGTTATGATCCATTTCGGTAATATACCATTCAGAATCATATGAAAGAATTTAAATTTTGATAGAACTTAGCATGCGATAAGTATTATACCTGCAAATTTTTGTTAATATTTCTCATATTCTAATTTATCCATTATTTTTTAGGTAATATATTTCGGAGATCAAATCTATACAGACTTGACAGATCCAACGTTCACTTATGGTTGGAGAACAGGTGCCGTTATACCTGAACTTGAGGATGAGATCGGTATTATGAATTCCAAAGAATTTGGACGTTCTGTAATTTGGGTTCAAACTTTGGAAAAATTGCTAGAGAGAATGCAGGTATGAGGGAATTGATTATTCATAAGTGTGTGTCGACTAATAAACATGTTGATCATAGCTTTTTGACCACGTGGACAGGTCAGAAATTTACCAAGGTGAAGATGGATTTAATTACGGTAGGTAATACTGTCAATGTCAAATGAGTTACTAATCCAATAAATATTCGAAAAAATCTATCTGATTGCAAGAGTGTGGACTTTAGAAACATTTTCTTAAGTAGCTTTTTTTACGAACCATTTCCGAGCATTTACAAGAGGAACCCAAATAAAACAGAACCCATAAATTTCTTGATTGCTTTTGAGAAAATTTATTTAACACTTTAAGTCCTATTTGTGTATGATTTTACCCAGAAGTTTGAGCAATCTAGGACGTTTTGCACAGACCTGATATTTCATTGGGTCTGTAGGTTGTCTGTCTTTTTATTAGGTTCTGTATGATAGATGCTGTATTCATATTGACATTACCTTTGACACATGCTACTGGTCTTACCAGTTTTAGGTTGTTTATAACATGTGAAAAACAACGCTAGTTGCCAGTTGGTGTGTTTCGTAATGAGCCATCATGTTAAAATAAATCTATATCTTCTAATTAAATCAATCTGGCACATTTTGTCATTCAGTTGTACAGAGATGCAGAGTCTCGCATGTTGCTTCGTGACTGGTTGAACGAGAGAAATAATTTCAAGAAGCATATTAAAGTCATATTTAACAAGAGATTTGGTTCAGTTTTTCGCTCTAATCTACAAGCCTCGTACTTTTCATCGAGAATGTGCCGAATAGCAGATATTTATACTTCCTCAGTCTGCAATCTTGCCTACTATAACACTGATCATTTTTTCTTTCCCTTCAGGTTAGTAGAAAGATAAGGTAACTTTATTACTTATCGATTTTAATCGGTAAGTATGTTGATAGGTATTTGTCTGTCTGTCTGATGCACGCGATATCTCATGAAAGTGAGATTGAATTTGCTCCAGATTTAGCATGTGCATTCATCTTATCTCGGACCAGAAGCCTATTGATTTTGGGCGAATTACGTCGTATAATTAGCGAGTTATTAATTAGTGATGTGACACAATGTGTCACTATGGAGTATGAGCGGGGGATCCCCTAACTTTGCATCAATAAGTCTTCGGCCTCTGACCGATATTCTCGTTTTAGAATATTGAAATGTTTAATGATCATAAGGGACAGGATTCTTATCCATGTAAGCGCCTTTTCAGACATCAGGATTTTATGCTCGGTGGGAAAAAATCGAGAGTGTTGACAAGGGCCATAGTAAATATAAACAGGTTGTGGCCAGCGGGCCGCCTCTTGCACACCCCTGGTTAATCATATTCTTAAATTTTTTATGTGTTGGAAATTTATTTGAGAAGTATGCTTCACAAATTTTCATTACTACACTAGTAGCTAGTTATTTAATACTGATATATATTTTTTGCAGAGGAACACTCCCACACGAGATTGTTGTAAGCCTAGCCTACCTGCATGATGGATTCGACCTGGCGATAGAACGTGCTATTCAGAACAGGAATCCCTGAGGTCGAATAAAATACATTTTTAATTGTACACGCCTTGAGTTCAACATTTTGCTTATAAATTTTAATAACCTGGTTTTAAAATTTGACAATTATTATTTTAATAACCGATTTTACTGCTGTAATTTTATAATTGATTATATGTGCTCTATTATAAGCTTTTTATTTTTTGTGCCATTGGTTATGTATTATTATTTGTGTGACTTGTTAAATAGTGGGGCTACAACATTAAGACTGTGGCGATATAATAGTACTTTCATCATCTCGTTCTGAGTTTCTATGCACTTAGATGAAAATAATTGTCACTCACTATACAATAGATGTCAAAATGCTATACAATATTTTTCTGTGCCAATTTGTTTCGGAAAGAAAAGAATGTAAGAGTGAAATGCAAATTTTTGTTTCTGACTTGTGGGAAGCTTCAGATTTTGCGAATCGGTATTCCAGTCAGGGCCACCCTCGACAAATCATAAGTAGTAAGAAACTCAAGTCAACTCGGTGCCAGAGGGCTACCTTGGTCCTAATAAATGAACCAGAGATGTCATGACATCATTACTCAGACAGCCAATACCTTCTCTGTATCCATCCTTTCAATATCCGTTAACGCATGTCCAATAACATTTCAGGGTTATTACCAGACATGGATTGCTTATTTTCTCCACAGCAAAAAAAACATTCCTAACAGAGTGGACTATTTTAACGAGCGCTGTAATCAGAGTGAGCGTTTAAAAATCTGAGATAGTAATTTTACCTGCCCACTCCTGCTGTTTAAAATTATCTGAAAATTAAATAGGGAGTTTTTTTAAAACGCTGGTCATAAAATGAAAACCACCCCCTTTTGGTCAGAGCAGCCTGGTTTGCACTCCTGCCTCTATTTTTTCTTAGTAATATTGATTTTTCATATTATGGCAAATAGATTTATATTTATTTTTGCCACCTAAGGGTTCAAACTATCAGAAAATAACATAGGAATTCTGTTAACAGGCCGGAAATGAAATTAAAAAAATAGCAATTGTCAAAAAATTTAAGCAATTCTAGGCTCAAATTTCAAGGATTTACAAACTTTATGAACCTCCTTGGCGTTGTCAGAAAAGATTAGGAATAACCTTGCATTATACCATGGATTTCAAACACCAAAAACCCTTGCTCCTGTGATAATTTGTACAAAATAATTTACAATAACGTGCAGAATTAAATATTAGCACCAACTTGGAACTCAAAAGATAGATATTTATTAACCATGTTCATCTAACACTTATTTTTGAGATAGCTTGTGCTCTGTGTTCAGTATTTTGAAATAATGCTCGGATAAGACCTTTAACTTCAGTTATAGAAAACGCAGCAGCCAGTGGACCTTTCCCTTCAGACCACCTATCAACTATCTCTCGAAGACTCCCAGAAAGTACAAGAATAAGCTCTTGCAATCGATGCCATTTTGGAACCTGTTTTTGCCATGTAATATCCAATTCGATGTCATCCTTTCCCTCTGCCTGGAAAATCATAGGAATTTTATCGGAAAGCATAAGACAGTAGAGCTTTAGTGATATTGAATCATCAGCAGAGATATCTTCCATGGTGCAAATGATCAAAATTAATTCAGCAATGCAGGCATTAACAAGGGTGCATAATGCACGTTTGAAAATATGTGCCTGAAGAACTTCAGTCCATACTTTTTTCAAATGATTGAGCAAGTCAAGAATTTGCCTTATAGCTTTCTCACCAATTTCATACTTATCAGCACCTCGCAGTTCAGAGAATGTAAGAAATGGTTCAAGACATTGAATCATTATATCTTTCTGCCTCGACATTTGTTTTAAAAAGCATTCAGCACCAAGTCGACGAAGCACAACAACTTTATCCATAAAAGTCAGCACTCTAAGCAGTTTACTTGCATTCGGTGTTACTGAAAACTGGTGACCAAACGTAATTAAATGGTGGGCAAGATACATGCAATCATTGTAAAATATAGCAGAAAACTGAGGAAGATTTTCCAGCGAATTAGCGTGGTAAATTGGATATGCTGTACCATACAAATCAAAGATATTCTGAGTTATAGTGACCAATTTTACAGCACAAACTGGGTCAGACTGTGAAGCTTCTTGCATTGTTTTATATGCCAACTTCATGAGATCAATTGCACATATGCTTACGTGACATTCTGGAAAGCGTAAAGTATCATCACTTAATTTTTTATTGGGCCTATGACTATTAAATCCTGTTCCGACAGGCATTTTTACTAGTTCTGAAGTGGATTTCCTTTGTTTCAAAATTCGAGAGAAATCTCCAAAATCTTTATCACTCATAAGTTGCGTGTTATGAATTTCCTTTTTCATTAGAGTTCTTGCTTGTTGGAGGATATCAGTACATCTTTGATTGGCAAAATGAGAACTAACATTTGTGACGTAAGCAAGGAGTTGACTACCTGATTGTCCTTCTTCGTTATACGGAATAAAATTGATCGACATTAAGGCAGACTCGAAGCTTTTAACAACATCTTCTACCACTTTGTAGTTTTCTAATTCTTCCATATTTTTTGGTATCGTCAAAGCCAGACATTTGTCTATTAGCATTTGTAATAGATCATCCCGTATGTATTTACCGAAGATCAACATCATGACGTCTTTATCATCATTGCTTTTAGTTTTGAATCGCAACAAATTGGTATTTAAACATTGCAAAATCTTTACCACATTTTTGAAAAGATTGGCTGGAGTGCTGGTAGCATATTTTGTATCGGATGTAAGGCTGGAAGCTTTGACAAGCTGTATTTTGCGATATGTCTGAGTCGCATTCTCATCGCAGTCAAAATCAGGAATTAGGCCCTGGTCATTTATCAAGGGTACAAAGATATACTTCATGACCAACTCTGAAAATTTTTGTATCTTTTGATTTACCCTACCAAGCATGGACATTGCGTATATGAAATCCTGAAAATTCTTAAAGTTTTCACACTTTGGATCTGATACCTTTTCAAAGAAAGGGATATTTAAAACTGCGTTTTCTGTGGTTTCGTCTTTTCCAGGAAGAATCCATTTGACATCTCTCATCCATTTTTCATCAAGGTCATATCTTACACCTTCAAGGGTAAGTTTAAAATGCTGATCCAAAAATTTATAAACTGCTAAATCACTCGTATATGTTTTCTTGATGCCTTCTAGGATAGCTTTAATTTCTAGTAAAGCAGAAGCAGACTCAACGAAATCATCATTTTTACTAACTTTTTCAAAAAGTGAACTCAGTTCACAAATTCTCTCCATTGCAAAAAGTAATTCACTAGTTTGAGAATGCTCATCCGAAAGCCGTTCGAATTCACTTGTTGAATCTTGAAGTTGCGTTTTAACAACTCCTGACAGAGTTCCTTGAATATCTTTTGCCTTCTCTTGTTGCAAACTAATATCACTTAAAAGGGTCTGACAGGACATAAATAAAGGGTTAAATTCATGATATTTCTTTTTAACAAAATTGTCGACTTTGGCCTTCAACTCATTGGATTCCAATGTTAATTTTGAGATTTTGGTTTGAAGATCTTCTTTATCTAATTTTCCAGCTTGAAGAAGCACTTCAGTAACAAGTGATGTCATTTTCAATTTTTTTAAGTATATCACTAAAAAGATAGTCAACAAATAGTCAGGAATAAGTCAACAAGCAATGTTAATTTTGAGATTTTGGTTTGAAGATCTTCTTTATCTAATTTTCCAGCTTGAAGAAGCACTTCAGTAACAAGTGATGTCATTTTCAATTTTTTTAGGTATATCACTAAAAAGATAGTCAACAAATAGTCAGGAATAAGTCAACAAGCAGGATGTCTTTTTAATGGTACCACAAAGTGGATTATTCAATATTTAAATAATAAATGAAATAATATTAAATAACGACATACGGTATATTATGTACATTACTTCCAGAAAATCCATAGCGTTCCATTAATTTATTAGCTGATTTCAATACAACAAGTTCAGTATATTTTTAATTATTGTGCATAAAAAATAACAAAAATGTTAATAAGTCATAAGCTATCACAGTATCAAGTTAAGTTCTTTTGTTATATAATAAAATTCGTTTTTAAAATTTTCAATATTTCTTTTTGTGAGCATGGTGTCTGGTCAAAGTTCGTAAGATTTGATCTCGACTTAACCAACAGAGTGAGAAATACCGGTACTAGAGGCACTTAGGGTTGCCCTTCACAATAGAATTGAATGAACCTAACATATCACAATCGTATATACCTTCATGTCAAAGGAGATTTATCGTTTACAGTTGTTGATTTTGAATAAGCTCCCAATAACAGACTAATGTTAAATTCTTTCGAGTCACGACAGCTTACACCAGAGATGACGATTCCCAGACCTCACACAGCAATCAATCACAGTTCACTGAAATGAAAGCGCCAAAAATGGCAAGTGCAGTTTTAAGTATTCTGTGGCGTCTGCAGCTGCCGCAAAACCATGGCGGTATTTCCATACAATGGCCGCTACGGCCAAACCTATGGCAACCGACATTTTAGCTGCCACAAACCAATGTCGAGCCGCCGTTACCGCGGCAGCAAATTGAAAACCAATGGCAGGTAAAATTTTGCTGCCGTAACCGCGGCAGGTAGGCCGTAAGGACAGGGCTGTCCCTTATGGTGACAAATATTGGGCAAGTTGGAACGTTTTTCTTATGGATACAGTCTTGATGGATTTGGGGTTAGGGTTAGGGTTTAAGTAGATATAATTCCGCATGATCAATTAAAAGTTGGTACATTAGTTTGTGAATACTGATTACTAAATACAGAATAGCGCTCTAAAATCATGGCAAGAGCTGCCGCAGTTCGTTCGTGGCAGGAGCTGCCATGAAGTGGTAAGAACTGCGCCTCAAAAATGGCGGTGTTGCTTGGAGCTGTAAAATGAACCCGGGGGCGATCATGCTAAGCGTTAGGAATACGCTCGCCCCCGCACCCTCAGATTGCCCTGCGTGGTTTCGCAGGTTCGAATCCCATGCGTGGATAATTCTGTGCGAAAGAATTGCTGAACTTCTCGTCACCATAGGGTGGTTCACGTAACCGCTAGTCGGTTACGTACGGCATCCTCTATCATCAAGGCCCTGCAACTGAAAACGAATAACTGGCTTACAAATCCCATACTGGACATGGACTGGTCTCCGGCGAGAAGCCATGGTTCGCCATATGATTAAGCGCTTTCCACTCCCTCGGGATAAATATGTAAATCCTATCCTAACGTAGCCGTTTCAACCTCTCATTCAAGTTGATATTGAGACGACCACGTCTATAACTCTGTTTTATAACACTTGAGTCATTAGTGAGCAGCTGTGTAACTTTCTCTTTCTGCTGGTTTGTCAGACTGCCGGCAGTGTAGATATTCCTCTGTATATTAGGTTATTATTATAGTGTTTTAATGCCGTAAATCTATGTAATTCTTGTTGTAAAATGATATTAGTAGTACAGGTTTATTATTTCTCCAGTTTGGCATAGTTTTGTTTTCTAGTTAGCTTGTATTTAACACTTCCGTAACTAGTCTATTTTCGTAGTTTATTTCCTGTGTGATTTCTATGCGTATTTCCATGTATATTACGTGTTTGTCGATAAGATTGGAGTATTTGGTTGTATTAAGTTCTTACAGGTGTATAATTAATCTAGTTAGTTAACTTAGTTACTCTGCTATAATTGGAACCGCAAGAAGATTGTTTTGTGAACGACATCTATTGCAACTTCAGTGTCCGATAAGCTGGCAGAAAGAACCTGAGTGGTGATATCAATTTTGGTACGCCACATATACGAATTTTTGGCGAGCACACGCCAGGATATATTATTTGACACAGGGACTATTAAGACTAAGCCGATTAAGTAGGCTAGTCTGTGACGGATAATATTTGGACAATATTGGACATTTGAGGTTGCCGAATTTTTTTTTAATTGCGGTTGCCTGATATTTTGGAAAAATGGTTAAGAGAAGAAAGATTGTACCGGCACCAAAGCAAGCCAAAGAGGAGAATGAACTTTTGCATCTGCAAATACAGGTATTGAAGGCAAAATTGAGGGAGTCAGAGGAAAAGCAAGAGGAGACTGACAGCCGTTTGCAACTGATAGACAGTCGCATGCAACAGATGGACGGTTGTGTACAACAGATTGGAAGTCAACTAGAATCAGTTGAATTCCAAAATACAAAAATGGGCTCGTCATTTGAGCAGATGTACAGCATTCTGCAAGATATTTCTGGCGTGGTTAATAAAGGAAAAATTGCTGATCCTGAGGAAACCCAGCCCATGTCACATGACCCAAATGTCAGCCTGATCACTTCAACACCAGCAACAGTTGTTCCAAAAGCAGCACCTGTTCTCAAGCATGAGGAAATTTCTGATTTTGGATCAGAAGATGGACAGCCAGAAGGGAAGCGGAATGCGTTCTCGCAGACATTAGAAGTGAAATTTTTGGAAAATGATCATGTGAGTAACCTTGCACCTACAATTCCTTTTTGAATGATAATGGTAATGAGGGCACAAATGTCAGAAGGCAACTTAGTACTAGGCCGAAAATGGTTACAGTGGCTACACAATCAGCTCCTCCAGTGAGCGCTAGTAGTGTCTCAAATGCCAATGTTAGTCGTAGTGTTCTCAATAGCACAGCTAATGCTACGATGATGGCAAGAAATGCCAAAAAGCCAATGTATTTCGATGGATCCACTGTCATGACGTGGCCCAGTTATTTATGCCATTTTGAATTGGTTACCAGTTATAATCAGTGGGATGACGACACTGCGGGATTAGAATTGGCTACTTGCATGACAGGTCAAGCTCTAAATGTGTTGAAAGATTTACCATATATGAAACGTACTAGCTATCGTGATATTGTGGCTCATTTCAATCATTTCTTCAAACCTGCCGGAAATGAGAGCTCCTACCGTACTACATTTCACTGTCGTAGGATTAAGCCAAGTGAAGCGCCACGGGATTACGGTAATAAGTTGAAAGAGCTTGTTATTCTTGCCTACCCAAATCTGGATATTACTGGTCAAGATGATATTTTGAAATCGCAATTTCTTGCCGGTCTAACCGATGAAAGCATGATCAAGCATGTTACCATGCAACAGCCTGATACTTTCGAAAAGGCTTTGTCTCTTGCGACACTGTATTACTCTGTTGATAATAACCACTCCGAGGGAAAGAACATGTCTAAACCGCGCATTGCAGCAGTGAAACAGAGCAATACTGGTAATGTAGTTAATCAGCAAAGCGACTTTTCTCTTGAAGACAGTATCAAGTTACTTGTACAGAAACTGGATGAGATTATAGGATACGTTAAACCGCGTGCCAACAATCGCAATTTTGATGGTGTACCACGCAACCCGTGTCCTCGTTGTGGTAAACATGGTCACTGGGGCAGGGATTGCAAGGCTTGTTTTAATTGTAAGCAGACTGGTCATCTTAAACGGGATTGTCCACATCTTCAGAATCCCGCTGATCCTGCAACAGCTGCTTCTTCTTCGACCGCAAATTTAAACGACACTCAGCGGGCTTGAGGTCCTCAGTGTCCGCTGAATTATTACTTGATGACGGACCAACGAACCAGAATATAGACCTGAATATTTGTTCTTTGCAATATGACAATAGTTGGCATGCGAAGGTACTTGTAAACAATCAACCGTTCAATTTTCTTGTAGATAGTGGTGCTATGACTACTCTGATCGACATTTCCATCTTTGAGGCCATAGGTGGGAAAGAAGCACATTTAGCACCGCTCGAAGAATCTCTTGTTGCAGTGGGAGGACATGATTTATTACCACTGGGTACTTTGGAAGTTGATTTGTCTATTGATTCTTTTGCATCGCGACGCACTGTTGTTGTTGCCAACCTAGGTATGTCTAATGGTATTTTGGGCATGGACTATCTCCGAGAACAAGATTGCGTTCTTTACTTATCATCTGGACACATGATGATAGAGGGTCATGAAATCAAACTGTTTACTGAAAAGTCTGTACCGTGTTGTCGTGTAACTGTTCGAGAAGATATTACTATACCGCCATTTTCTAAGGTTGTTATCCCTGCACAACTTAGTCGTCCTTGGCCGAAAAGCAATTTGTCTGACGTTGCTGCTCTTGTTGAACCGCTGAATTCTTCTTTCCTCGCTGATGGCATTCAGCTGATCTCTTCTGTTGTGGATCCAGGAAAGTCCACTGTTCCTGTTCTAGCGGTGAACCAAAAAGGCAGACAACTTAAGATCAGGGCTGGATCTTTGATTGGTATTGCACATCCTCAACTTGTAGCACAAATTCAAGTTGACGAATCCGATAATCGGGTTATAGCTTCTGAATTACCAGAACATCTACATGACATGGTCAATTCCGTTGAGGATCTAACCCCGAGTCAACGTGAACAGTTGGTCAATTTGGTTTGTGAATTCCATGATGTATTTGTAGGACCAGATGGTGAACTTGGCCGTACTTCAGCAGCAAAGCATAGGATCATCACAACCACACCACAGCCGATTCGGCAGGCTCCTCGTCGAATGGGGTGGGCGCGTAGGAAGATAGCCGAAGAAGCTGTTGATAATATGCTGACTCAGGGTGTCATAGAACCCAGCGATTCCCCATATTCTTCTCCCATTGTCCTAGTTCCCAAAAAGGATGGTTCTACTAGATTCTGTGTGGACTTTAGATTGCTTAATGACGTCACATACAAGGACGCATATCCCTTGCCGCGTATTGAGGATATCATTGAGTCCTTAAACGGAGCACAATGGTTCTCAACTCTTGATCTCGCTAGCGGATATTGGCAAGTGGAGGTTGATCCTGCAGACCGTGAAAAGACAGCCTTCAGCATCCCAGGCCGTGGTCATTTTCACTTTGTAGTGATGCCTTTCGGTTTGGCGAATGCTCCCGCAACATTCGAACGGATGATGGACAATATCCTTGGTGATCTCCTGTGGAACGGGTGTTTCAATTTTCTTGATGATGTTTTGGCTCATGGTAGTGATTTCTCAATGGCACTCTCAAATCTTCGGGAAGTTTTTATAAGACTTCGCCGTGCCGGTTTACGCTTGAAGCCCTCGAAATGTAAACTTTTCCGTCGAAGCACCTCTTATCTTGGTTATCTTATTTCATCTGAAGGTGTCTGTTGCGACCCTGGAAATGTTGCGGCTATCAAAGAATGGAAAACGCCTAATTCTGTCAGCGATATTCGTAGTTTTCTAGGCACAGCGAACTACTACCGGAAATTTGTTCAAGATTATTCAACAATTGCTGGACCTCTTATTCGATTGACCAGGAAGAATATTTCTTTTGTATGGAGTACTGAATGTCAAAAGGCTTTTGAAACTTTGAAGCATTGTCTGACATCTGCCCCAATTCTTAGCTTTCCGAGGACAATCGGCGAATTTGTATTGGATACTGATGCCAGTGGTTTTGGGATTGGTGCAGTGTTATCTCAAGTTCAGGACGACAATGAACGTGTACTTTCTTATGCCAGTAAGACTATGTCCAAGTCTCAACGTAGATACTGTGCTACACACCGGGAACTATTAGCGGTGGTGTGGGCTGTTCGTCACTTCAGTCATTTTCTTCTCGGGAGACCATTCAGAATTCGCACAGATCATGCTGCTCTGAAATGGTTGATCAATTTTCGTGAACCTCAAGGAATGTTAGCAAGATGGATATTAACACTTGGTGCTTATGACTTCAAGATTGAACACAGACCGGGCGTGAAACATGGCAATGCTGATGGATTGTCACGCCAAGTTCGCAAATGCAAGCGAGAAGATTGTTCTGATTGTGGTACCAATGGTGATGTGGCTGTGAGCAATGTTATTGTAAGTGCAATATCAAAACGGCCCGGTCAATCATCGTCAGACTGTTCCGATTGTAATTGGCTAGATACCTACACAGATGAACAAATTAAATCTTGGCAAAGTGAAGATCCAGATATTTCTGCTGTTTTGAAATGGAAACAACTTACTGCTCAGAAACCTGACATTCAAGAATACATGCCTGAATCAACAGTGACCAAACGTTTGATGTCACAATGGGATTTGATTTTTGTAGATAATGGACTTCTCTATCGTCGTTGGATTCCTGATTGTAAATCGGAGGAATCGCATATCCAATTGATTGTTCCATCAAATTTGAGGCAGGATTTGTTCCATAAGCTACATTCTTTGCGCACTGCAGGTCATCTTGGTGCTAATCGAACTTTCAAGAGTATAAGGCGCAGATTTTATTGGCCTGGTTTCAAAAGGGACATTCTGAAATGGTGCAAATTTTGCAAGTCTTGTGCTTCAACAAAGATGCTTTACGGAAGAAGACAGGGAGATTTGAAACAACTTATATCTGGAGCTCCTATGGAAAGGATTGCCATTGATTTTCTTGGACCATTGCCTGTAACTGAAAATGGAAATGAACACATTTTGGTTTTGTCGGACTATTTCTCTAAATGGGTGGAATGTTTTGCTTTACCAAATCAGCGAGCTGACACCACTGCTGATGCATTGGTTACTCAATTCTTTTCGAGATTTGGGGTACCAAGAATTCTCCACTCAGATCAAGGAAGAGACTTTGAATCAAAATTATTTTCAGAAATGTGTCAATTGTACGGGATTCAAAAGACTCGAACAACTCCATATCATCCTCGTTCAGATGGACAAGTTGAACGTTTCAACAGGACCATACAGCAGATGTTGAAAGCTTTTGTGAATGAGAATCGAAATGATTGGGACGACCATCTCCCATATCTTTGTATGGCATATCGCTCCACTGTACATGATAGTACAGGATATTCACCGAACAAGTTAATGCTTGGACGAGAAATCGAGATGCCTGTTGATGTTATGTTTGGCAAACCAGAGTCATCAACTCATCCTTGTTACACTGAGTTTGTCGAATGGTTTTCCTGTGCAACTGAAAAAGCTTTTCTTCATGCTAGGCAACATCTAAATGCTGCTGCAACCAGACAAAAGCGAAATTTTGATCTGGGTGTTAAACCACTTACTTTCCAGAGAGATGAATTGGTGTGGTATTATTATCCACCAAAGCATCGCAAGCTGAGTATTCCTTGGATTGGGCCTTATCGAATTGTGGACTGTTTACCTAATCACTTGTATAGGATTCAGAAGAATTCGGGAACACGTTCTCGAATTGTGCATGTTGACAAACTGAGACCTTACCTTCATGAAGATGAAGAAGACAATGATATTGAATTAACTGGATTTGACATTTTACCTGATGTGGAACCTATTATGGAAAATAATGAGCAGGTTGCTCATGATATTTTTGATGAATTACCTTTCTCTTCAAGGCCAGACACTGTACCAGAAGAAGTTACAATTGATGCGAACTCTGATAATGGCCAACGTACTAGGCGAAGACCTAGATATTTGGATGATTACATTTGATTTGACTGTGATAGTGCTTTTAACAATTGATTGTTTTGATTTTAGATATACATTTCATTTGAGTGTACAGTTCTTTGCAGTTTCTTCACATTTTTTATGGTTTTTCAATTTTGAAGATGGAAAATTTCTTTGTAATTTCCCATCTGAAAAAGGGGGGAGTAATGAGACGACCACGTCTATAACTCTGTTTTATAACACTTGAGTCATTAGTGAGCAGCTGTGTAACTTTCTCTTTCTGCTGGTTTGTCAGACTGCCGGCAGTGTAGATATTCCTCTGTATATTAGGTTATTATTATAGTGTTTTAATGCCGTAAATCTATGTAATTCTTGTTGTAAAATGATATTAGTAGTACAGGTTTATTATTTCTCCAGTTTGGCATAGTTTTGTTTTCTAGTTAGCTTGTATTTAACACTTCCGTAACTAGTCTATTTTCGTAGTTTATTTCCTGTGTGATTTCTATGCGTATTTCCATGTATATTACGTGTTTGTCGATAAGATTGGAGTATTTGGTTGTATTAAGTTCTTACAGGTGTATAATTAATCTAGTTAGTTAACTTAGTTACTCTGCTATAATTGGAACCGCAAGAAGATTGTTTTGTGAACGACATCTATTGCAACTTCAGTGTCCGATAAGCTGGCAGAAAGAACCTGAGTGGTGATATCAATTTTGGTACGCCACAATATTGTTAACCCTTTCATAAGTTTTGTTGTTCCTCAACAACATACCCACTACGACTACGGTAACCTTGATTGTCTTGGCAAGTTTGGTTGAAATTTTTTTATTGCAGATCGGAAATTGAGCATGTTTGAAAAAAAAATTTCGTATGATAACCTAATAATTGATGAAAATAAAAAACATGGCCGTGGTTGACAGTTATAGTTCTGGAACAATACTAGAATCGTTTATATTACATTTCTTTGGTAATTGAGTAATTGACTTGTAAATGCTGTTGGCAAACAACATCATGAAACTATGGGTTGGCGATATTTAGAAGTATTAATTTTGGGGAAGTATTTTATTTTCCCTATTCCGCTAAGAGGTCGTACTATCCATAGAGGATTGCCTACAGCAGTTTATTTGAACAACTAAATTGCAGAAACAACAGGCCTACATACTGCTTGGAATTTAAAAAATATTTTTCAACTATTTTCAAATTTTGTAGAAATTTTGTGTCATTTATTGAAAATCAGGAAATGGGTCTTGTATCTTGCATTCACCAAAACAGGTATTGGAAGTATTGTATTGAAATACATGATGAAATTCGACTGCGCCAGAGAGAAAACTTGCTTTACATGCAGGGAGTGTCAAACTTTTTTGCTACCCGGTGCGAGTTTCTCATTGTAATGTTCCTCATACCTAACAACTTCTATCATCTACCTACTTCAATCACCTAACTAAGCAACAATCTCACCCATAAATCGTGCTTCCCGGGGCGCTGCCCCTATTGTATCCAGGACACTCCCCTGGTTATATGTTACACGCAACTTTAGAAATGGCCCTTCCTCAATCCGCTATTTTAAAGCTGTTTTTGATGATAATTCAAAGTTGTATTCAGAACGGAAAGTCGGACTTATGTTTTAGTTTGAAAGTTTGACAAAATGTGGAGTGGGTTGAATTGCATAAAACTCTTGGAGTCTATGCTTGAAAACAAAGTATAAGGGGGAACAATAAAAATATATATATATATATTATGGCGATAATAAATCTTGCTATGCACTTGATTTTTAACATTGTGAAATGTAAACAGGGTTGGGCATTTTAAATCAAATAGTAATTTTTTGGAATCGGTCAGACGAAAATTTGAAATCGCCGACACCTTTTTTTTTGTTCACTAAATATATAGGTTGCGAGTGATTTATTGACGAAACAGGTTTCTTATTCCTAGTGAACACAAAACCAACTGTCTGAATGATGGAGTGTATGCTTTCGGTAATTAAAAAAAAAAGTCGCATTCAATTACCAATCTCTCAAGCATTTGAAATTTGATTTGAAAAATATTCGATTCAATTCTGGGACCACTAAGTATTTGAAAATGCCCTGCTCTAAATGCGAACAAATGTTTATGGAATTATGAAAAATCTTCGGGGAAACTAAGAAGATGATTCGTATATTGGCGCGTATATCCAATAATTTTCACATGAGCCTAGTTTAACACACACATATATATATATATTATATATATGGGCCACAGTAAAGATTAGTATCTGAAAATAATGACATGTTCAGAAAGTTTAGCAAACACCGAAGAGTTTTCTTGATATGCTGTGTCGCCCATGCATCAATTTTGAACTGCGAGCTAATGCGGGAAATCATTAGGCAAATCAATTGAATCTGTGCAAATTTGAGTCTCTTATTGCAAAATCTAGAAAAGAACTAATACGACAATCGGTATCAATGTCTCCATATTATCAAGGTTATCCAATAGATCTCAATCTGGCGATATAAATATATTTAGACATTTTCTATCTATAAAAAATCTGTAGAAGCGGATTTTGCTCGCTGTGTGGGCGAGTGAGTGAGCCGAGGCGAGTGAGTGATCGGAAAAGAGAAAAAATTGGCTTGAAATGTTTTTACATAAACTGAAAAAAGATCTTTTTTCGAGACTCAGAGAACCCATAGTCCATCTCGTTGTAAAGTTGATTTAACGTTAGTGTTCTTTATGAGTAGTTTCATTGCAGTAATGGGGGTTTCAAGAAATTCACTCATTACCTTTCTTTCATGATGTTGTTCCCAAACAACGTCACAGAACTCTATGATGACGTCATCAATACGTCATTATTTTCAGTATATATGCCATTGACATCGTAAATACTTCGTTTCAATACAAAAATAATTTTTTTCTTGTAAGCGAAAAAGTCATGCATAGAAGGATTAATGAATTTTTTACTCACACTCCATAAAGTTTGTAGATTTGTATATAAAAAATGTCACGATTTTCTTCAACTATGGTCGGAGCAGATGAGTTGTATTGGAATTCATAATAAATATTCCTTCTTCCCCAAGAACATTACGGTATGTGACTCACAATGATCGGCCAGCAAGATCTTCCGCGAAAAATGCTGAGCTACTGCAAAAAGTTTTCGATAATCTCCAGATGTTACATCACCGACATAGCAAATCCTCGGGTGGTCCGGGAATTAAAAATACAGATTTCATGCATTTTTCAACGATTTTCAAATATTTTGTAAGAAAATTTTCATTATGATATCACGTACTTGTCGATTCAGTTCTATCAAATGCAGTGTTATAAATAAATTTAGTTACCAGTGTGAAATTAGAGAAGTTCAAAGTTGCTTCACATTCCAATAATTTATTTTAATATTATGTCACATTATTTACAGTAGACGTTCCATCCCGACAAATTACTGCATTTTGTTTCGAACGTACTATATATAAATTAGTACAAAGCAAGAGCGTAATGCAATTTTTTCTTATTGACGCCAAGAAAATATTCGCACATATTCCGCAATAAAATAAATGCAACACAGTTTCAACATACATCTCACAAAATGTATATGTCGGACTTAGTGTGTTATTTATGTTATATAAATGATCATTTGTGAGTATTAAACCAAATTTGACATGAAAATATCGAAGCCGTGATTCAGTTCAGAATTGAAATAATGTTTCATGCAGTGCCAGCCAAATTTTTAAGGTCCTACACAATTCATCATTTTCTTATTTTTTCAGATCAGACGGCAAAATTTTGACAGTACGAAGCCTATCATATATATATATATATATATATATATATATATATATATATATCGGTAAGTTTAAACATTGCTCTAAATTTATATTTTTTACGACTCTTTTCACGACTTTCTCTTCGAACAAGGCACTATACAAGCAGCAAAAATGAGTTCATGATACAGAATCATAAGCTTTTTATAAATTTAGGTTTATTTTTATTTCTGAAAGACCTTCAAATTTTAATAAATTTTCAACGTAAGATCTTCCTGGTTTCTATTTAGTGAGTGAAGCAGGTCTAGCCCACCTCTTCATGCATCCAACTTGGCAATTCTGATTGGGCAATATGGAATTAGGTGACCCCAATTATAATCAGTTTGACGATATCTTTTGAGGATTTTCTTTCTATCCACAGTATATAACTCTTGTTGACTAATTCGGTATCCAATTTGGCAATCCTCATAAAATTATTAATTTGGTGTGGCAAAAGAATTTATTCATTTTTTTTTTATTTGTTTTTATATTTTTCATTTTACCGAGTAATTTAATTGTTTTAAGGCACCCTTTCTTCAACCTTATCATATGTCTCGAGGATTGTATGAGTGTGTGTGTATGCGTGCGTGCTTTAATTTGTTTTTATACTTTTGGGTGAGCGAACGCGTACTACTTCTTTTATCAATACCTTTCCATCTAAAATCTGTACGCTCTAAACATTACTTGAGGTTTTGTTTGCTCTCCCGATTCTATAATCAGTTATTTCCTTTTTTGTCTTTATCTTATCTATTATTCTATCGTCTACTGTTGATTATGGAGTCGAAATAAATTTATACTTATATACTTTAATAAATCATTTTCGGTCATAGTAAATCAATTTTTGTATTACAGTTTCAGTCTATGAAGTTCAAGATTTTTTTTAATTTGGGAAGAAAATTTATAAATCATCCAGCTTGTGATATAGCCGTTATCTCGGTTTATACTGAGTATTTATAAGAATCAAGTTATACCTCTATGTCACAAGGCTGCCCATGCGGCCCGCTGAACTGTTTTTTTGCGGCCCGCCCTATAAAGTTTGTAAGCAGACTTCTTATGTTTTTACTATGTTATACTATGTTATACGTATATCAATATATAGGGTTACGTACGTTTCTGATTTTGGTGTGATTATTCCTGCCATCTATCTACATTCAAATGCCGGTTCTCATTATTGGGTATGTGTCAAGTCTTGCACCCTCGTGGACATCGACGTCAGTTTTTTTTATTTCTCGCAGAACTGAACGTTCTGTTCGACTAACTCGAAAGATATTGTGCGATCATTGAGGACGAACGCTGAGCGCAATTGTAAGAATGAATTTGGAGCCTAAATTTGCGAATTAAGTTCATTCTGATTGTTTTCTTACGTGTCTGCTTTGGTCGTCTTTATCGCCAGCGTAAAATAAAATGTCAACAATATCTTAGGTACTGGTCCTGGGACTCGTTGTCCTTTTATGTTTGTATTTTTTTCGATCAAACGTTTGGGTTAAATAAGATTTCAAAAATATCGTCACTGCGTATCCGTCAATAATTCTGATAAAATTGACTTAATGGCATCGCTGCATATTGGTCACGAATCAGTACATATTATAGGCTATTCGCCCAGAAAAATGTAATATTGTAATGTTACTTCATTAAATATTTGTATTGGTGTTTCAAATTTTACGAAACGGTCCACTTAAACATGATATTCCCGTAACAGTGGCGCACAACATGCTCATTTAAACTTTGTCCACGCCCCGTATTACCAGATATTCGAATTGTAAACTGCTATTTTACTATTCGAATAATTTGCCAGCCCTACTCAGTAACCAGAAAACAGAAATTAAATTGATTGATTTTAGGATAGGATTTACATATTTTTATCCCAAGGGAGAGGAAAGCCGATAAGACGGCTTATCCATATGGCGAACCACGGCCTCTCGTCCGGTTACCATTCCAAGTCGGGTATGGGATTAGTTATATTGTTTGTTTTCGGAAACATGGACTTGGTGGTAGAGGAAGCCGTAACCGACCAGCGGTTACGTGAACCACCCAACGACGGCGAGGAGTCCAGCAATCCTCTCGCACATAACCATCCCTGCATGGGATTCGAACCTGCGAACCCACGCAGAGTAATTAGAGGTGCGGTGGCGAGCGTATTCCTAACGCTTAGCCCGTTGAGCCACACCGCCGCGCCATTTTTAAACTTGCCTCTGATTTATTATGTAAATGACCTGCACCGAAATCAGAACTTAGCTGGTATTAATGTTTGGTACAAACGTTTGGGGCTCGCAACGAATTTCGTTACTTGAAAGTGGCCCGCGAGACGAAAAAGGTTGGGCAGGCCTGCAGTAGGCTATGAGATGTTTCCAGGATTCTCTGAAAAATTTAGCTGTGGAATGGGGATCCATTTTACACCGTACTAGATACTGTAGTTGAATATTTGGTCGAATTTTTTTTCAAAGAGCTTTCACATTTTAAAAAAGTTAATAGGTCTTTACGTTGTTGGTCATCTTGTTCAGTAAGGTTTGTTGATATAGGCCTACATTGTATTATTTTTTGTCTCCAATTTTTTTTGGGAGCTATACATTAGAGGCGTTTATTTTGTGACGTGCACGTCAGTGATGGTATTCAAAATTTTCTTTCAAATTTTCTGACTTATCCGGAATGATTATCACGATATTCCAATAACGGGTGCGCGTGAACCCGTACAATCACTCTTTATTTCTTCACTAGTTTTGGCTGTTTGTAATATCCTGCTGTCAGTGGGATTATAAAAATGTGTTAACAATAATGATAAACTAATTACTGGGTAGGCATTATCTGTTCTGACTCAAATTTATTATGGTGTTGACTTCCTCGATGGGAGAATTTTTTTTTATAAAATTCAAGAGAACAGCCAAGTCTAGGCCCAACGATAACCTCCACCCTAACCCCTAGTGGCGAAGTCGACTAGACCCACTCAATGTCCCGATTGCAACTTTCGTACCTACTGTGTCTGTTCAGATATTATGATTTTCAGGATAAGTTTTTCATATTTTGTTTAAAACTATCTCTAGGAAGAGAAAGGTAGATGGCGTTTATATGGCATAGCCTCTCGCTCGACGACTCGTCCATTGGGTTATCAATATGAGTTATGGAGTTGGCATCCGAGTGATTAGCATGGAGTACGGTACCGGTACCTAATGTGAGTTTGCAGTGTTATAACGAACATGGTTTTCTCCTTTTTGACCTTTGCGTTTTTTTTGCACAGACTGTTATAATTGATGTCTCCTATTGTGGGGGCTAATCTTGGAATCGGAGACATGTGTGGTAGGTACTGTAGTTTAGGAAGGGATAAATATGCAAATCCTATCCTATCCCTAAGGAGCTATTTTTAAAGACATCGTTTTATTAATAACAGAAAATGAAACTTATATTGAACAGGCAGAACGTTAGGCTTTATTTTATAAATAATCCCGTACCGTACCGTTAATAAAACCTGCTGTTATAATGGCCGATATTGCAACCAAGAGGAATTTTCGTGCCCCCTATTTTGGGAGAGGCGTACGTGTGGTCGAGAATAAGAAGGCATTGGAAAATTTGTTAAAAGATGATACAATAGATAAAGACAAATTAGCACAATATTGCAGCTTCCATCCTCTTCCTGCCATGTACAGAGTGTTGATATGGAAAATTCTTCTTGACGTACTTCCTGTTCATCAACAATCTCATAAATTTGTCATGAAACAAAGATGCGAACAATACGAAGATCTTCACCATGCTCTGAAAGTTATGAGAAAAATTGATGACAAGACGAGTCGGCCTCATATATATTTGAGTGCTTATATTCTCGAAACTGGACAGTTTGGATTGCATCTTTATCATGAAAAATGGCACGACCTTTTTCTAGACATCTCGTCCTCTGTTTGTAAAATGACTGATGATAATGTAGATGGATACTGGCTTTCGGTTAATATATATAAAACATTTTCGGGTTATTTTGAAAAAAATGATGAACATGAAATGACATTTTGTCAAGCGTTTTCTTCGGTTCTCAAAAAAGAGAGTCCAAAGTTACACGAACATTTAAGTAAAATTCAAGCATTAGCATGTCTTCCTTATAAACGATGGTTCATTAGATGTTTTTCTGGTACTTTACAAACTGATGGTGGACTTGAACGAGTATGGGATGTTTTAATAAGTGGTTATTTCACGTTTTTGCCATTTGTAGCTGTTCAAATACTCCTTACAATGGAAAGAAGATTATTACGACTCGAAAATATCATGGGTATATTAGATGCTTTAAACGAAATACCTTATGAAGAGGAAGTTGGTGAAGTAATTGCGTGTAAAGGTGTTGACCTTTGGCAAAGACATGCTGCAAAAAATTCTGGAAAATAAAATCCCTTTTATTGTATTTTAATCAATTTATGTAGAAGTCTATTCAAAGCAAGGTTACATGATAGTGAAATGAAAAGTGCATCAAAAGTTTTGTTTGCAGTGAATGAGGGGCAAAAAAGGTTGATTATTAGTAATAATTTAGCAAACTTAAAATGTTTTAACCCTTTCCATGCGATTTTTATTTTTTATTAAATAATCGTATTTGCTACGCCGATTTTATGCAATTGTACCCCCACAACTAATCGATCGACTAACGAAAAACTAATGATCCTCTGCTGCCCACTGACGGCTCATTAGAAAGCTTATTTAAAGAGCTTGCAATTGGCGATTGAAAAAAAAAGTTTTTTTAAAAGTGGTGGTCTGAGTCACAAACCGGATAGAAAGAAGGCATTTATTTTTCTTGGGAGTTGAAACTTCAAACCATGATAAAAAATAGAAATATTTGCTAAATCCTTTACTGTTACCGCTTCGTGGTTGGCAAACAATAGCATAATATTGCTGTAGCAATTTCGTGATCCAACTCAAAATACTTTGGTAGATGGAAGAGATATTATGTCTTCTATTACCACCCAAAAAATTCAAAAACACTCCCTCGTTCCGCCGCAAATAAAATTCCCGTCGTAAACGAAAGCGAGATTTACCGTCGCTTATGTTAATCTCGAAGAAGACTTCGTATCAATAAACTAAAACCCGGAAAAACTAGACCAACAGTTTGCGACCGATTGCTAAATAAAACAGTGGAGTACATCAACGTACCCGCCGCAATCTAGCGACTTTTGTCGTGGGTACGTATACATGCCCACCGCACGGAAAGGGTTAAGTAACTTATTTTTGGACAATATTAGATTGTACTTGATAATGTATTAGTGTACAATATATTGTATGAAAAATTTTATCAAAAAATACCACATATTGGAATCATTTATTGAGGTACTTGGGGTGACCAGCATTTACTAATAGTATTTTTTCATCTATTATAATATAGTAATCTAATTGCTATGTATTTATCATATAATATTCTGAATAATTATGCAAGAATTCGTACCTGCCAATGTCTAACAATTTGGATAATTAAAATGAAAATGAAAAATCAAATAGGGATTTCCCTTGGTTAATCCCCAAAACATTACAGATTAACAATGAAAGATGGTGCAATAGAACGATTCTCCTATGAATAATATTCCTAAAATTTTACAGACCGTAACCATGATTCGAATCTATGCATATGGGTGTGCGTGGGAACCTTTATGTTGAAGAGTGACAATTTTACCTTGTATTGTTACTTTTTCTTACTTATTTACAGTTAGGACTAAGTTATTAAAACACATAATGCAACAAAACATGTGAAATTAAGTCAACAAATATTTTGATATTGAGGAAGTTGAAACACTACCGTTGCTAAAATGGCGTACTTGCATAAGGAACCCATTGATTCCTCTGCTACAATGCTAAAGAATCTCTTTGTCAGAGATCGGGAAAAAGGTCAATATTTGATCTGTGAATTATTAGATTTGATGATGGAACCGAAACATCAAGCTTTTATTGAAAGGTATAGCTAGTTTTGACTTTGTAACTTTACTTGTACTCAATTGACTTTTTTGTTGAATATATAGAAAATGATATTATGTATATGCAGGGTAAGATAAAAGTAGGGTAACAGTTTACAATAATTATTTGATATTTTTAACTTTGTGGAAAGTTTTTGCAGATGAATTATAAATTGTATTCATTCTTTCACGAATCGAAGATTATTAAAGTGATTTGAACTGATATATTTTATAGCAATTTCACATAAATCCTATAATTTGCATTCAAGGAGAGAAGACCTAGCTGGTTGGGTGAAAGCACTTTTCACTACTGAGAAATCGTTTGAAGAGTTCTGTAGTAAAGTTTCAGTTTATGACAAGTCACCATACTGTGGATGCGTCTGGACAAAAGATTTTGTTGCTTATCGATGCAAGACCTGTGCAACATCACCGTGCATGTCAGTCTGTGCTGGTAAGTGGCAATATGATGATATTTAAGTTCTTTTAAGAAAAGTTTTCACACGTTCACGCAGAACAAGACTCTGTACAAGTACTATCTGCTATATGGGAGTTTCAGGAATATATGTGTATTCCCGATTTTACTATATAGCAATTGAAAACCTCTTTCACCCCAGATGGGCTATTCCAAGTGACACTACAGGACAATTCCAGAAATTTTTACATGTTGTTAAATTAAATATATTTTCACATTTTCAGCTACATGATTTGTTTCATTGTCCAATCAGTTGTTTTATTGAATATGTAAAAAATTACACAAAAGTTACATCCAAGACTTCTTAGTAGATAAAAAAAATATAGTAAAATATAGCGTGACACTACAGGACGGCAAATCCACCATGCACTAACAGTACGTTGTGTTGTGCTGTAAATTTTTGCGATGGTACAGTAGGAGCCCATAATATTTTCTGGTGCCGTAGCTGAACTACCCCTCTATGTGTTGCTCAAGTTACTTAATGTAACACTGTAAATCCATGTTAATAATGTGCATATTGTATGTGACACTACAGGACGTGACACTACAGGACATTTTTCCACTTCGAAATAGCGGCCTCTATCATCTCTTAAATTTCTGGTAATAAATCTTTAAATGGGTGAAGAAATGTCCTACAGCACTGCAAACATTCAAACTTTAATCCAGTGCGTCAATTTCATATGAAATAACTGTACCACACAATCAAACACAAAATATGTCAATTATACCAAAATTTCTACATTTCAGGCCATTTTTTATAAACCATGGGTGAAATTTTAAATTGTTCGATGAAATGAATGCAGTCCAATAAAATTCCAATGTCTTTTGATATCAGAAATAAAAAAAATTACTTTCACTACACTTTTTAAAAAATTGATGGAATTCAACTTTCGCTTGGAATGGCCCAGATTAGCACATATGCTAGAATTCTAATAAAAATTACTGATAACCGTAAGGTATAACAATTCTGCTGAAATCTTGTTATTGAAGCTACTTTCTTTTCCAATGCAACAGTTTGAGTGTGGGCTCTTCACAACATTTTGAAGCGATAAAACATTGCACACATTCAAAGCACATACATCTAGGCATCTGGTGCTATACACTCTAGCTAGAAAAATCAAACTAATATTCCGTTGTAGTTGTTTGTATAACTGATTCACAATCAAAATGGAGTATTTCCACATTTTTTTTTCAGAATGAGCAGATTACTCACATGACAAATTCTTTTACTGTTATGATAATTGACATCATTTTGTCAATCACAATCTGGCTGTTCTATAGTCACTTTCCAAACACCAATGCAAAAATGACCTAATTATTCATTACATTAGATAATACCTACACAGGACATAGATTATGTAAACAAAACTGATGTCATCCATCTTCGAAATTCATCATCTTATTGCATGATAAATTAGACAAATTATATTCAATCAATTGAAGTTCAGCCCAACGTCACTTCGGCAATTTCTCAATGAAAAATTGTATACATTTTACATGCTGTAATACATGTAATAATAACGTCATACAAGTTTTTTCCTATCTAAACTGATGTGAAAGAATTTGTACATTTTGAACCTTTGACATCTGATAGTCGAACCTAAAACAATTTATTTACTATTTGGTAGAAAATATTAACCAACTAAAACATTATTTATCTTTATCTATGGTACATCATGAAAGTAAATTTTTATATATTTTTATATATATTAAATGCCTAAATGCTTAATTTTTATTGAATGAGATATCGATATAGGGCTGTCTTGATGTATATTAGGGACGGAGCCAAGCTTACCATATCTGATAAAGCCAGAGCTGCCCGATATTTTTGTAGCTTTTATACACTGTAAATATTGTACCATAGAGGAGATATTGTATTTGCTGATCAAATAAAGGACTGTTGAAATGTTGTAACAATATGCTCTTACTAAGAATAGCTGAGATAAATTCAAGTACCTAAATAGAGCAACATTAATATATTATTTTGCAATGTTACATTAAATTTTCACACCAATTTCTATGTGATTTATTGATTGGTGGTTAATCAGGTAATAACTACTGAATATTGCAAAATAAATTGATTCCGAACTTTCCCAAACTGTTTGAAAGAGATATGTGCTCGGAATAAATTAAAATATATTTTCTTTTAAAGTTTTTAATTCATTTTAAATGATCTTCACATACTGGTTTGAATATACAACAGAATACACAACTTGCTTATGTGATTCATGTTTTTGGCTTTGATAACAAGATGTTTGGACCTAGAAATATGTCGCAGAGCAGTATCATCCAACTTGTATCTAAACAATAGGCCCACATATTTTGGTGCACTGCGTCTGCATATCCTTCTTATTCCATTATATTAATTTGAAAATTGTTTCAGGTCATTTTCTCTACATAGTTTTTAATAATTGATATGTACCGTTACTGTAACAAGATTGGTGTGCAGCAAGCCAGCAACACAAGAAAGTTTGCACTGACCTAGACCAGTGGCCGTTTTTTTCCACCATAAATTACTTCAAAGTTGCACTAATGAGAAAGCTGTGCTTGTTTGCATCAACGAATTTCTAAAATCCTGCTCTACCTAAGCATAGCAAATTGGATGCTGCCAAATTTTTATTGCCTGATACTACCTATATACATGGTGGGCCAAAAAAATGTTACTATTTTTTTTTTCACATTATGAATGTAGAAAATGGTAATATTGGCCCAACCTGTATACAATCATTTTTAATTAAACAACATTTTTTTCAGCCTGTTTTGAAAAAGGAAATCATGAAGGTCATGAATACAACATATTTCGAAGTGAGGCTGGTGGAGCATGTGATTGTGGTGATGCAAGTGTAATGAAGGAATCTGGTTTCTGCAGCAGACATGGAGTCAACAGAGTTGTACCTGATGACTTGCCAGCAAGTCTCCTGACTCTACCTAAGGTGAGAATGGTTTCGACCATGTTTCTTGTTGATAAATTTGAATTGAGCAAAAATAGCACTTCATTAAAGGCATATATTATTGAATCGGCAAAGTGTGCAGGGTGGAATAGGCTTGTCATTGCACCCTTGATTATTTTAAGCTGTGGGCTATTGGGGGGCTAATTTTATACAAGAGGATTACTGTACCCTCATCATAGGAGGGTGGCTCACGTAACCGCTGGCAGGCTACGATTTCCTTCACCATCAAGTTCATATATCTGGAAAAAAAACGGTCGAATATGTGGACTGGTTGCCGAATGAGAGGCTGTGGTTTTTCATCTGATTAAGTCATCCTATTGGCTTTCCATACATTAATAACTCATGGCTCTGTAGACAAATAGAGCTTTTTCTCTTGTAAAATGCTGGTCTGGTCCAATATTTGTCGAAGCAAAAATTCCATGCTTATTACAGATATTCACTAATAGTACATTTATATACGATTTCAAAAGTGTTAATAATCATTTAAGTAGTTTAAATTTAATCCTTTTTTAAACAAATAGCTATGGATTTGAATTTTGTTATTTTCACAAAGTACTAATAAAAACAAGGTAAATTCCTGACTTTGGAGTCGACGCAAAGAATGTACCTAATCCACTCTTTGGTTTGGCACTGCCTACCAATTTAATTGTACCTTGAGCTAGATTATAGTTGAGTATGACGCTTTAACCTCTAGCGGGGCTAGGCTACCGCACCCACAAAATAGTGGAGAGGCAGAATTCTAGAGCATCAAATTATTGGTGTATTTTCTTTTTTAATTAAAAAATTGTTTTTTAAATTTTTTTGACAGTTGATCATGGAAAGAATACTGATCATGCTTCTTCATAGCCTTCGATATTTGGTGAAAAATTCAATTCTGGAGTCTTCTTTTCCCTCAAAAATCCCAGATCCACTTTGTGAAAGTCTTGATATTTTCATTGAAGCAATCAAGTGTGGTAAGCTTAGTTATATTTCCTGTTTTTTTTCAAATTAAAATTATGGAATAAATGTATTATGAATGACTACTATTTTTGCTGCCAAAATCCTCAGAAAGGGATTCTCGGAATTTATTAACAAAAAGAGTGTGATATATGTATTTTATACGGCGGTGACTCATGCATTTTGCTTCGTACAAGGCCTTATAGAAGCAGCCACTGATTGGAATCACCGAAATGTTTTTTGGCACTGCCAGCCCAATTTATTACACCCTGGGTGAGGTGGTGGGCATAGGATTTGAACTCAAGATGTGCCTCCTGCAATGCCACACAGTTACTGCTCAGCCATTGAGTTCAAAAAATATTTCTGTACAGCATCTTTTCATAACATTCATCGGCGCTCCAGAAGTGTGTGTACCAATATGGAGGAAACTAATTTTGTTTGCCTACTTTCAAGTTGTGTAAAGGGACTGAAACCTATGGGCAGGGGGTATATTCACTTGGCTAACACAGACAGTCTCCGAACTCGTAATAGAACTGAAATAAGGAAAATCAGAATAAAATTATGGCCTAACTCTAACCTGGTACACACGCTACAGGAGTACCCCTTCAACGTCATGCATATTCTAATTTCTGTTAGATTCTGAATATGAAGTGTAAATGAATGTGTTAAATTTTAAGTTATTAATAGTATTGGATAAATCTAATTTTAATGTCCTATTTTTAGTGCAATGTGGTAAATTCTTTACCAAATTTCAGGTTCTCCAGTCAGAAGTTGGGTTGCTGATCTTCTGTTGTCTGAAGATTATTACCATAAACTAACTGCCAATCAACATTTTGGCGGTGTTGTTACTCCAGATATGAAAGCTTATCACGAAGAATGTCTGAATTGGCTTCCCGAGGCCGTCAAGGTAGGTCATTTTAACAGAAAGCTGAACTTTTTTTGTCAAAAAAAATACCAAAAAACTAAATTATAAAAATATGAATTTTATGCGTGGTACTTTGCTATATTTATTTGTTTATTTCATTTAAATGTAGGTTTATGTTATGTCACTACCTGATTATTTTGTATTTTTGCAATTCTTGCCGAAATTTACTGATTTTTAATACTTCAATTGAATTCAATTAGTAAGATTAAATTTGGCGTTATTACTTGAAAGGGTTGTATTTCAGCTATCTGTATGTATAGCATAGCTTTTCCAATCATTTTGCTCTTATAAATTTTATTTGAACTAAATATTTTGAGCATGTGTAATTCACACTAATGAACATGAATTCAATTTATTTTCATAAACAAAAACTAAAACAGTTTTCCATGCACTATATTTGATTGCAGAATTTTTCTAGAATAAGAGGCATTTATATGCCTATATTCATGATAATATGCAAATGGATTTATGAATATATATTTTGGAGAAATTAAAAACAATTATTTTTTGCAATGGTTTGAAAACTGGAAAACTGATATTTCTTGTTTAATATTGGAGGAAGGGAATCGGTTTTCATCAGATTCTTCTTAAAAACATTTATAAAAGTAGAAGTTAACAGTTCTATATTGATTTTACAGAGGTTACCAATGTGCTACATACCAGATGAAATACAGGATAAAGAGAGATTTAGTCGTAGTAAATTTGTCTACAAGAACTTACTGCAAGAGTTAATGTTCTGGGTTTGCAGGTAATAACACTTCCCTCTGCCTTATTTTCAATTGTTAATAATTGTCCAGTCTTGTCATATTGCAACTTTCAAAATCAATTTAGCGAACCAATTTTAACAAAATAAAGAAACCAATGTGTACAAGAACAATTGTAAGAAGTTGATAACAATATAACATAGCGAAAATTTTTGGGGATATATTTTACAGAATATCATGTAGCATAATCAGAATCACCAGCCTTTCTTTAATTCCTTGAATCTCTAATTCAAATCAATGCCCTACACCAGGGCTACTCAACTATTTTTACCGAAGATCCGCATACAAAACTTCAAAATTATTTGGGTCCGGTCTTTCCAGAAATTATATTTCCGGCTAATGATTATTATCAAGATTGTTTATTATGTTATAGTTCTTTTCATATATATTCAAAGCTATGAAAGTCATTTTCTGAAAGGAATCTCGAAAAGTGGGGCTATGATCCAAAATAAAGAATTAGGTGCGGTCTGAATCAAATACTCGAAAGGTCCTGGACCCATGATTTTAGATTATGATATTCACCTTTGCCAATCCACTACTTGAAGGACCTTTTATTTTTAGATTTGAATTTCCAGAGCATTTGATCTTGTTTATTCTAAACATGTTGCCAGATGCAAGAATCAAGCGAGAATTTGCTCGATATTTTGTTCAGCATTATATTTTTGTTGCTCCATCACTCAGTGGAGCGTTGCATGTTGATGATTATTCAAACAGGTATATTACTTTGTTTCTTTAGTGCAGCAGCTTTCAAACTTTTTGGCTCCGCACCCTTTTCAGAATTTGTTAAGTATCGCGTCCCACCTTGAAAAAAATGTGGAAAATATATGGATGAAACATTCATAATGAAATATATGAAACGTTTTAAAATTTAAAAGTCTCACACATAAACCACTGGGCCAACATATCTAAGACACCGTTACTACACAAGACGCACACCACAGAATCATAGGATAGACATACACAAAAAATTAAAAAAACCTTCAAAATTGCCATGCTACTAACAGTTCTTTGAGAGGAATGTTATAGTCCTAGGCATGTTACAGATAATAGACTTGGCTACTGGGCCGGAGCCTCAAACTCAATATGAAAAACTATGGACGAAAAACAGATTATTCACAACAGCTAGTCCAACAGTTGGGCTAACGTTTATATAATATTAAAAAGCACAATGTAACAATTGGGGCCTTTATTACATTATTTTCATCGATGTTTTCAATGGAAATTGATATTAGTATAGTCGTAATCTCAGCAGACAAAAGTGGGCCGAATGAAACACTTCGATGGGCTGTAATTTGCCCGCCCCTTGTCTAGTATAGTTTTGTAATATTTGTTGATCGATTTTTAAACATCTACATATAGGTTTGAAAAGTGAAGATTCTGACTTCCATATTATTATTATTATTATTCCTATTTCAGGATTGTTCACATCTCTGTCCAATTGTTCAGCAACAGTGAATTGGCATATTTACTCGCTAAAGAAGAAGCTTTACTAGAGGTATTTTTATTGTTCACGTTTCACTATTTCATAGTGATCAGGCAGGTGTTTAGTAACTTTTTTGTCTGTGAACAAAGTGCCTCAACTTGAAAATGGACACCAGATATACTTCGAAAACCCAAATAGTTCATATTAGTATGAACAGACATCCACAAAAATAGCAATCATCTTATTTGCCATCCTTAGGATTTACATGTTTTGTACAGAAAAATCTTTAAAGAGGTATTTTGAAAAGAGTTTTGAAACAGGTTACATCAAAATGGACCCTCAAACATCGTAGGGGGTCACAAACAAAGGTCCCCACTGAATTAATTCAAAGTAAATTGACTATAATTTTTTGTTTGTTATCTTTTTGCTTTCATTTGTTGCCTTTTAAAATGACACCAACACTGAAGGAAAAAGTGTTAAGTCATTAGCTGGTGGCCACAGATTATGAAAGTATGAGAACTACTTTGCTGCAATAACCATTACAAGTAATCTGGTTTGGCTGACCAGATTAATTGTCAAGAACTACAATTCCCTTTTTTTCTCAACTTTCAGATGTTCATGATTTCCATCAATTTCATGGTGACAAAAAAACTTATCGATTCAAAGACTGGTGAATCTGATTTCCATCAAACAGTGTCAGTACAAGGTGATGGATTGCGTAATAATGCATACTGGGCGATCGTGTCAGATCTTGTGAATTGTCTCAGTCACAATGAAGTTGCAAGATTGTTTTTGAACAATGATGATTCATTGAAGTAAGTTCTGTAATCGATTGATTTTTAATTTGTTTTAAACTTGTTGGTTAGCGTATCACAGTATGTCATTTTTGTAGAGACTCGAGTCATTAACTCAACTTTCGTCACTGTTTTTCAAATACTCAAAGTTATTCGGGTCATCTAAATCGGATAACTCGTCTTTCTCTTACTCAACTAACCAGCAGTGAAATGCAGCATAGCGATTGAATCGAATTAAGACTTGATTATTTCCACCTGGTCATTCTACCAGTGGTTGCTTATACATGGCCTTGTTCGCAGCAAAAAGCATGACTAAGCAGCCTATAAAATCAAGCGACAATACTAGAAGTTTATTATTCTTTTGCGAAATTTTCATCAATGTGCTTACCATTCAATTAATAGTTGGGAAATTCTGAACTGGAAAGTTTTTGAACCTTTCAAACTATAGCTGCACCGTATCTCCTTAGAGGCTGCTTGTGTGTAGAGACTTCTTTGGAGAAAAAGGTGTATAAATATGTCTAGTGAAATAGATCAATCTTGCCCCCTAGTAAAGGCTTTCCGAATGTCTGTATTTTCTGTTAAGTCTGTACTCTGTATAGGGATGCCACTTTTGGATTTACGAATCGGATCGATTCGAATCGCATCTTTTCCGGATCGATTCGAATCAGATTTACGCGATTCGGAAAAAGAGAGCGATTTAGCGAAAAAAAAAACATTGAACGTTTGTTAAATCGTCGTTTTCGGCGGCTTTAAATCTGCCAGAGTGTGTTTATGCGGCACTCCAAATAACGCCAAATTACGGGATCGAAAAAAAAAACATTGAACGTGTGTTAATTGTTGTTTTCGGCGGTGTTAAAACTACCGAATGCGTTTATGCAGCACTCCAAATAACACCAAATTACGGGACCGAAAGAAAAACATTGAACATTTGTTAATCGTTGTTTTCGGTGGCGTTAAAACTGCCGAATGCGTTTATGCGGCACTCCAAATAGCAACAAATTACGGGACGTAAATAAAAGAAAATGAATTTTTCGTGATTGACTTTTTTACTTGTCTGCCGTCATTTGTTTCAAGTTCGACACAACACACTCTTTTACGCATCACTCGAGATGATGTGTGGCGTAATTACCAGCAAACTGCGAGTTCAGTTTTCCACTAAATAGCCGGAGTTTCCATTATGCGCGAATTTAAATGGATCGTATACCTGAAAATTCGTGACAATTTTGATGAAAATTTTCAACAGCACACCTGCGCTGCGACTAAGTTATTGTACGCCCTGGCATGATTGGATAAAGAATCGGCCACCGACGTCTAGATAATGTTTAATTTTGATTGAAATTTAATTTAAACTTTGTTCTGAGAGCAATATTTTGCGTACATTTGAAGAGAACTACTACTGAATGAGTTCATCGGCCGGCAATGTTAATTGACAATCATGTTTCTCATCCTAAAATATATATTTATTTTGTTTGCGTTTGTCAGGCTTCCACTCGAGTGGCGATAAACGAAATCAGGGGGACATAATGTAATAGTACATACACGTCTTTTTTCAGCTGTTACAAAAAAAAGTAGTATTTACTTTTAATTTTGTTAGCGCGATACAAGCGAATAAAACATTTCGGATTATTTCGAGCAAATGTCATAACGGACAGGTGGGAGTAAATAATACTTGAGGAATGGCAACTTGTGCACTGTTTTACATCAACACGTGGCAGATTTCATACCAGACCGAGCATACTGTGCGAATGTCGTCTTACTTTAGCCCCAGCGACCATGTCCGATCGAGATAAAGCGTCAACCAATTATCGCTCGTCAGCGCGGCGTCCATTATGCACATTTGGACTTTCTGAATTACGAAATTAAACGTAGTCCACATTAATAATGAAGCCCGAGTTAGCCAATAACGCTGTTAGCCACAAATAATACTTTCTCTAATATTTATGGAAATTTTTGTTCGCAATCGTAGTCGGATGAACGATTGTTTTTATCGAATTTAATTTAATGTGGTTAATTTTATCGTCTTCAATCATATTCTTGTGAGCATTTCCCATTTATAGTAATTCAGATGCAATTAGAATGTTTTTGTCGTATTACTCTATGCTGCTAGCATAAATATAAAATATTGTACTAAGATTTTGAAGATAAAGAATCGGTAATAAGGCCGGCCTTAATTCAATATAACAAGAAGGGAAATACCACGGTCACATATACTGGTGTGGGACAAGGAAAAGCAGTGCTGTTACTGTGTTTACGACATAACAGTACAACTGTTCCCTGCTTATTTTCTCATATGAATTCCATCAAATTGCCTCAGCCCTGATACAAGTATAACACAATAACTCAGTATTGTAAGACTCACAGATAAGTTGCAACAGCAAGTTTTTCATCAATGCATTTATTAGTGATATCTATGACCTACATCTTTTTTATCATGATGAAAATAAGTGTGGCTTATTCACTGAAAAACCCTTATCATCCTTGCTATATAGCCTATTCCATTTTCAAATTTTTTTCTTCTAGATTTGAGCTTTTTTGTGACTTTGGGCAAACATACGCATGTAATAAAAAAAAAAGCTTAATGGAATCAGATTCGGAAAGATTCGATTCGAAAAGTTTTGATTCGAGATTCGATTCGAAAAAAAATGTATCCAGAAGTGGCAAGTGTATTTCCTAACAGTATAAAAGTATGAAATAGATTTATTCACTTTCAGAATATGGATGAGGATTCTGACATGCTTCAGTGGAATGAATTTAACAACTCGACAAACTGATAGACATATTGAATATGATCCACAAAACATATTACTTGCATTCTACAGTGAACGAGAGGCTTGTGCTTCACCTTTGTGGGTTGTATTGGATGTTTTGAGGGTGAGAATTTTTTTTGATGGCCGAATGCCTTATGAAATGTAAAAAAAAATCATTATTTTGTATTAGTCGCTCAAGATGCTAGCTGTTAGACCTAACTTGGGTATTAGAAATATAAAAAAAAACTGACCGCCATCTGAAAATTCCTGGCTACACCCTTGTACCCAAGTAACACAATGACTTTTCTCTGACCATCTTGTCATTGAACAAAGTCTACTCTAGAATTTGATTAAGTTGGAAAAATTCCTTCCAAATCAATAACGTTAATTAAAAAAATTAACATGCTTTTAAAGCATATTTAAAAACTTTGTACATGGATATTAAATTACAAACCGATTTTTTTTAACAAAGTTTTTTTTTTTAATCTTACAGGATGCGAGTAATCTTGATCTTTCTATGAAAGTGATCGAAATGTGTAAAGAAACGATTATTGAACTACTGGACGCTCTCGGTGCAGATGATCCCAAAGGCACTGGAATACCTTTCCACAGAGTTAGCTTCCATTATCCAATTCACAGATATTTTGCCCTTTTCGTGGCAAACGCTATCGGCAGACAAGGTAAGGATGATTTTATTATTTTTTTATACTGTCTATTTATAGCATTATGCTCTGAACATGGCTCTGCACAAGCAACCACTGTTAGGTAAAGAACTACCAGTACTATAGTTTGGAAGGACCGGAATAAATCTGGTTTGGCTTTGCCCATCCAATTTATTACACCCTGGATGAGGAGGGGGCAAGGGATTTGAACTCGAGATTTTAACTTGTGTCTAACACTTTAACCACTAGACCACCATGCAATGTGAATTTTTTTTCATTGTTTTAGGTTTGAGAATTAGTGACTTGGACATAAACCAGAATTTAGCTAGAAGACTATTGGGACATCCTATGCAGGTATAGTTTATTTCAGTATTATTGCTAATTCAGCTTTCACTTTGGTATTGTAATCTTTTTTGAAAATGATTGGTGAAGGAAACCGTATAATAATGGGAGGTTATGTGAACCACCCCCTGGATGTATTAGAAATGTGTACACATACACACAAAATATTTTCCTCCATCTTGTTTTTATCGATTTTTAGTTAATTTTTTTTTTCAATACCGTTAATTTTCCTATATCAATTTAGTTTGAGAAAACGATGTTTTCGTTTTTGTTAAACTACTTTTATTCACGGCTTTTGCTCCGAACAAGACAAGTAGCGACTGAAATGTATGGACTTATTATTTTTAAAAGGGCTAGAATCTTACCGGTTCGGCCTGTCCATTTTATTACATCGTGGGTGAGGTGGTGAACAAGGAATTTTAACCCAAAATACCAATCTGCGATTCCGACACAATTAGTTCTAACGATTTAACGACTAGGCCTTTACGTTCATATAAATATTTCTCATTTAGGTATTATGCACAGCACACGAGATTCAATGCAACATGTGGGTTCGTAATGGATTGAACATGTCAACACAACAACTTGCATACAGACAATCTTTCTTTTGCACATTTTTCATTGATGCTGATTTATTTATGCTTCAGGTTTGTATATTGTAAATATATGGTAATGTCTTCCAAGCACTGAAACTAAATTATTAATTTGGTCCAAGAAATTCTGAGAAAAACATTATATTCATTATATCTGAAATGTCAAATTATTTTCTGAATTTTTATCGCTTATGTCGATGCTTTTAAATGTGATCTTCTCTTGCTGTGCATTTATGCTTCGTGAAGATTTATATATTGTCAATCATATACTATTATCTCATGAATATTGTGGGTTCTGAGTTATACAAAACAGACTCAGACATACTAAGTGACCCCCTCTGGAGAAAATATTTTTCGAACAAGCCATCTTCCATCTCTATAATCCCTGAACTGGGAAAGCCTTAAAAAATTTTAGTGAATATGTTTTTTAACATTCATGCAAGGAGGCCAACGAGATGTGCAGTGCCCAAATTAAACTGGCAGTTTTGGTAACCGGTTTCTACAGTAAGCTGTCTATACGGATCTGCGATTCAACACTGGCGGCCCATGTTACCTTTTGGCAACCCTGAACTGACACAGGCTTGAAATAATTGCAGAGATCTCACCTGAGCACCTACTAGGTTGTTATGTATAATAGCCTAGCAAACAAATTAAGATATAATTATTTTATATTTTCAGCTTCTTTCCTGCTACATGAGTCCTGATATATTTGTTTCATCTGTTTTCGATCGTTGTCGAGTGACAAATTGTTTGACAGTTGAACCAGAAACTCCACCCATTCAACAGTCTTCTCATGGTGCAGAAGGTCAACCCGAACCTGATAGACTCCATAGAATGTTTGAATCAGCTTTCACTCTTCTGTTGTCTGTTCTCAGTATCCAAACTCAATTGGGTAAGTTACTATTTTGATGCTCATCTTAACTGCAATGATATTAACCCTCTTTGTGCGATGGGTATTCAAACTAACCCACTGCCAAACGTAGAGTTGCTTTCAGTAGATTCTTTTAAAAAATGTTAGAATAGCTATTGCTGTTTTATTCAAGCTATATCTTGTTTTGTTTAAAGAAGTTGCACTATGATATAACTAAAGCTTACACATATACTTGTTATTTCATTGAAAAAGATATGTTTTTGCTTTGTCCTCACTTTATGACTATCTCGCATAAGCATCCCTGTGTCAAAGGTCAAATATGCATATGAAGTAGGATGTGGAAGGAGAAAGGTCGCAGTTTAATACCCTATAGCAGGGCTACTCAACTGGCGGACCGCGGTCTGAATCCGGACCTTTCGGGTATTCGATTCGAACCGTGCCTAATTCTTTATTTTGAATCATTAGCCCCACTTTTGAAGTTTCCTTTTATAAAATCACTTTTATAGATTTAAATATATATGAAAAGAACTATAACGCCATATAAACAATCTTGATTAGCTAATAATCATTAGTCCGCCGAGGAAGTGAGTGTTTAAGGATGCGAAATATAATTTCTGGAAAGACCAGACCCAAATATTTTTGAAGTTTTGTATGCGGATCTTCGACAAAAATAGTTGAGTAGCCCTGCCCTATAGTATCCTTAGTACTGAGTCATTTGATATATGACAGTTTATTCCTTTGTAATCACTTGTTTTATTTTTTCCCAGGGATTTCAGACAAAACTATCATTGAAAATGAGCTTGTTGCAGTGCTAAGTACGCAGAATTGGACGCACAGTGGTTTGATGGAACATATTCCGCAATGTCATGATATGCATGCTGGAGAAAAATCAAAACGTTTCACGGAACCCCTGACAAAAGCTATCGATGAATTGTCTGTCACTGTTGAAGGTTTGATTTTTTATACTCCGTTGTTATACTGAATAAGATTCTGTACAATCATCCACTGCTAGGGAGCTAATGTTGTTTCGAAGGACAAGGATCTTTCCAGATCGCCGTTGCCTGCATATGCAATTCATTACACCTTGAGTGAGGTAGTGGTTAGTGACTTAAATCTGTGATGCTGTCATCGTTAAGTCAACGCTTCAAAGCAGGAATGTGCAATCTGTGGCCCGTGGGCCAAATGCGGCCCTCAAGAAAAAATTGTGCGACCCACAGAAAAGTGCCAATTTTGAATGATTTGCCGCCCTCGGAGAAGTGCCAATTTTGAATGATTTGCGGCTCGCGAAACGAGTATTAATTTAGTAATTTCAATCCCCTTGCGTTGCAAAGGCTATACCCGAGTCCAATTCATTATCTATGACGTTACAATGCCCTAACAACTAGGGCTGTCCAAGCGAACCAAATATTCGAAATCGAATCGAATCGCAAATTATTCGAATCGTTTTTCGGCTAATTTTCGAATCGCTAAAATTAGGTACCAGTACATAAAGCGGAAACCACCTTTACGGGATGTTTTTCATCGGGCAAGCGGCGGCGCTCCGAGCTCAGACCACTCTCGCTCCCGGCTTGCTTAATTGGCTTCCCGATATTTCTCTCGCCTTCATTTTGTGATAAACATGTCATTACTAATGCCCGCCCGGTGGCACGTGATTAGCCATTTCATGCGTGGTCATCATAACAAGGTATAGTCGATCGTGACGTTTTTGAGAGAGAACAAGGAGAAAAAGGAGACAATTAAGAAAACGATAGTTCTATAAATAGAATCGATTTGAAGCTGTTAAGTTAGTTATCATAGGAACATGGTACAGGCAACTCAAAGCTGAAACAGGTGTTTTGGGATCCTTATGATGGCAATACCTTCTTTAAATGGAATTTGTAATTTCTCATGATGGCATTACTGTATTATCCATCTATATACCAAGACAAATAATTGCACTCTTGCATTTTGATGGCTGTTGTACACTAACAATATTATAGTCCTCAAATAATATTGTCATCAAACTAGCTTGGAATTTTTAAATGCAATTTTGAACTTGAGCAACAGTTTTATCTATATTGATGGTTGTTATTATTTTGCTGAAATTTACACAAAAAAAACTTAAAGACTAGTGAATAGGATTAAAATAGCATCTACAGGCTTTATATGTCCTACTAAAACTGAATCCATCAAAATTGAGATTGCAATTTTTGAATAGTGCAATTTTTACTCTTAACACTCAACAGTTTTCGAGACCCAAATTTTGGAGTTCTCCAATTTTTTTGACCAGTTCCTACAAGCGTGTGATCTCCTTTGATATAACTGCACATACATTACCACAACATCGAAGGGCAGGCGTTTATTGTATAATAGAGACAGATTTACTATTGCGCAATAATATTCGATTATTCGGTTCGATTCGGCGAAAGTATTCGATTCGATTCGAATCAAAAAATTATTCGATTTTGGACAGCCCTACTAACAACTAGCTTGTGCGAAGGGAACATTGGTATTAGATTATCAACCATAAATTTTGTGCCTGCAATCACTAAAAAGCCTATGTTAAGTTAAATAAAGGTGCGGCAAGCGATTTCACCCAGTTATTTCTATCTGGCCCTCTTGTATTAAAGGTTGCCTTGCTTTGAAGGCTAGGATTTGATCATTCCCACTCATGAAATAATGCGATACTTTTCAGGTGATGCAATGACACAAACGGAATATTCACTACGTGATGAAGCATGGCGAAGATATGATCCTATCTTTACAACACATAGAGCACTGTACAAGAAAAACGTTCAACAGGTCTGCCTTTAAACTAAGATGGATGAATGAATATTCAAATTTCAGTCAGTTTGTAATATCCTATTTTTGAATGTTATTGGGATATCATTTATGGATCTTAGTTGGCAACCTTTCATAGGATATTTTTTATAGGAATTTACTCAAATAAGTCAAAGGAGACCCACCTCCAGGCTAGTAAAACTACATACTGGTAATTATAACGGTGCATTACTTTACAGGAAATTAGGTTTGACGCGACACTTGATTAGTTGAATTCAGCGTGTTCAAGAAAACGAAATAAATAATAAAAATGAAAAAAACTGAAAACTTGACGATATAATGTTTCAATAATCAGCACAAATAAAAATTGCCATTCTGATTGACATTTTTTCGAATATTTGGAGTATTGCATTAAATTAGGATATATATTCAGTTTGACTCCTTGAAATTTGTTCACCCTTATAAATAACAATCGAATTAAGTTAAAATATAAAAAATGTTGTATAAATTACTATACGTTTGAGCAAATTTTTGTGGGCTCTGTGTTTTTTGTTATTTATGTGCGATGACGTCATCAAAATTTGTGCACCATGTTTGGCGGTTACGCTTTCATGTTTATCATGAAGATTGCCGTACCGGTAGTCTGCTGTGACAGATTGCATACCAATGCCACTTCGTTTTGGCCTTTGTGTCCGTTGTCTGTATATTTGAGTGTCACTCTCTTGTTAAATGGTCAAAAGGAGCCGAGATGCGCTGTTCGAGTGATGTCATCTTGGCGGTGCGCTCGGGCGTTTGAGGATTGAATTTTCGTTGGAGTATCACATCATTTTTTACTAGAATTTTTTGGTTGACCAAGTATCGAGTTGTTCGATTACCGAGGGATGCAATTAATTTTATTTAAATAGCCCATCACACTTGCTACTATATTGAAATAAAGGGTTTTTGAAGTTGTATTTTATATGTATGATTGAAAATTCATTACTTTTCTTTATTTTTTTATGCAGGCGCATACCAACTACTTTAAATATCTTCAACGTTGTCATAAACTTCCTTCAAGCATTTTGGAATCATCGGTATGGACGCCCTATTGCTGTAAGTTCCATCATGATTCATATAGTATTATAGATCTTGTCTATAATCATAATCTTTTTCATACCATTTTTTCTTCATTTCTTTCCACATGCATAAAGTATGGAATTTAGAACTTGTAATGATTAGTTACATAGGTATCATACTCGAAAAGACTAAAAATCATATTTAGTCCTTTACTAATCATCATAAACTTTTCAGTTTTAGCTCAAAAAAACTTACTGTAATTCTGTTATTGGGCAATTCATGCTAGATTTACAAACATTTAAGATTTCATAAAATATTGGAATCGAATAATTTTGAAACACTAACTATAAACACTGACACATTGATCATTGATTGAGTAAATTGCTCAACAATGTAGCACATCGTGCCAAACGTTAGGAATTTGCTCGGCATTGCACTTCTGATTACCCAGCGTTGGTTCGCAGGTTCGAGTTCAGTGGGAGATAATTATGTGCGAGAGGATTGCTGGATTCCTCGCTGCCCGCTTTAGGGTGGTTCATGTAACCGCTGGTCGATTATGGCCTTCTCCACCATACCCGAATCCCATACCCGATATGGACTGGTAACCAGACGAGATACTGTGGTTCGCTGTATGATTAAGCTGTGTTAGCGGCTTTCCATTCCCTCTGGATAAATATGTAAATCCTATCCTATGTGCCAACTGTATGAACAGCTTTTGTGGTTTGGTACCTACCGGTAGTTGAATTTTCTCTGGCATATAAAATGCTCTGCTATACTTGATTACAGTAAGTTGCAATTAGATTTCCAAAGAATCTTAATTTTAAACACAAAATACAATACGATTAAGTATCATCTTTTGTTTAATAATAAACGACGTTTTTTTCCCAGCAATCCGTATTGTTGATGAACGTTACTCTCAACTGAATAACTTACTCAACTGCAGGACTTTACACACTGCCATATTCATGGTTATTTACAAATATCTTCACAAACATACTGCAGTCACAGAACAGGTATGACTACTCGAAAAGTTCGTTGCGTTGGATTAGGAATGGGTATGCTTTTCATCAAGATGGGTGACCCGGAATATATGTGTCGAAAACGCATTCTCGTAGAGGAAGAATTATCACAAAACTTGTTTGTCATTCAACATCTAGCAAATACCCGCTTATACAGAACAAAATGAGACCATGTTTTTTGTTTCCAAAATCTCATTTGTTAGAAAAGGATTTTTGGATGTGCTTTTACTATCAAAACAAATCAATTGCTTTTCCATCTGAATATGTGGTGATTTAGGATTGTATCCTTAACCAAAATTTCTCTGAATAACGCATTGAAGACTTTATTTTTATTTTCATTTTTCAGACCTTGTGTATGGCGATCACAATTCTTGAAGGTGCATTGTTTGCTTCTCTAAGAGAAAATGATGATGGTTTGGAAGTAGAAACTGAAAGTATGTGTTTCTTGCATCATCTCTATACAAATTGTTCTTTGGCAACTGTAAAGCAAAAGCAATTAACCATTCGTCTTTGCTTTAAACCCAAAAGGGCTGAAGAGCTTGAAAAATCTATTTTGAGACAACGTAGAGATACATTTTTGTTTTTCACCTTCTCCACTTTGGTGAATATTGATTCACACTATATTAAAAATCAGCTTTTTTGTAATTTTTAAAATGAAATTTTTTTGAAATTTCAAAATTTATTTTTTATATTGAAACCTTCGATATTTAATTTTATGTCCGCTTCAAAGATAGAAAAGTTGAAAAAAATGGTGTGGTTATATAGTAAACCATACCACACCTCTTTAATTAACCATTCAAGGGACAGCTATTTACTACTGTTAGTGAACTATTAGAATGCATGTTATATTCCATTGATTCATTTTTGTATGACATATTTCTACACTTTTTACTCTGTGTCAAAAAAACACGTTGAAAATTTGTGGATGAAATGTGGATATCCAAAATATGTCAGTCAAGATCAAATTTTTTTTTAATTAGCTATACGCCCCCTACAAAAATTGCCCTTGTGGGGCACGCCTCATCGTTTGAGAACCATTGGATTACACCCTGGGTGAGGTGTTGGCATGGGATTTGAACCCAAGATTTCAAGATTTCCCCAACTTTTATCCACTTTCAGAACCATCAAGCTCTCCAAACCAAAAAACTTCAGACAGAGATGCAGAATGGCAAAAGATGTTGACAATGTGGTTTAAAACCAACAACATGACGACAAACATTCGGCAAGTGATTGATCAGGTTCAAATAACTTGGCAAGAAACTTTTCACGATGCAATGGAAACTGATGGTGAGATCATCTATGGATAATTTATATAACTTAATAATATTAAAGAAACTACATTTGGTGTTACTAACTTATTTCGAACTGTTCCCAGATTTCTCAGTGCGCACACATAAATTAAAATTCTAAATAATGCTTTACTGTTAAGGCCAGTTAAACGGAAATAGATATATTAAATTCATTTTTATTACAGAACAACTGAATAATCAGCCTGAAGTTGATCCAGAAGAACCTGAAAGATGCATCGTAATACAGGTGTGATATATCATAACTTTGCATTGAATAAATACAAAAAAAGTCTGTTAATTTAAAACTTTGGTTTTCTGATGTATACTGTAGCTAATATTATATATCACTAAATCATAGCTAAATGGTAAGTTAAATATCTGAGATGAAATTTTCAAAATGACGTCAAAAATATTCTACCTAATTAATAGTTTAAAATGAAGTAGCAGGGCCAGTTTAGTTAGCATTTTATATAACTTTGGACATTTTTTTCTACATTTCATATTTTTTTTCACCAAATCTGTTACTCTCAGGAAAGCATTATTACGATGCTGATCAAGCTACATACAAGGTTTTCAGGAGTCAAGAACTCTTTCGTCTTTCCTGCTGAATTTGTTCCCGATCTTGATCCTCCTAATCCGATTCCTCCGACGCCAGTAAAAGTCATCGAAAAAATATTGCTATTTGCTGCATCGAAAAGCCCTCACAATCAGAAGGTAAGTAGCTTTGATCGAACATGTGCCATAGATGACCGTGCCACTGAGGCTCAATGGCTCATACCCGATTATATATTTCTTTGTTTGAAGTTTTCAAATCTATATTCTGAACAAAGTTTAGTTGGGGTTGGGGAGGGGTTGCGATGCCCCGGAATAATATTGTTTCTTGGTTGGCGATCCAAGTTCGGCCCCCCCCCCCATTTCATGGAAAGTGTCCACCTCTGGGGATAGCCTATATATTTGAACTGAACTATTACAAAAATGTGATTTTCTCAAAACCTTAAAATGTGACATAAGCTAATTTGTCTCTCTACTATTTTTATGGCAAATTACATCGAATGGAGGTCATTTACACTCACTCAAAAGTAAAGGATCATCATTTCGCAGAGTTGCGGGCAAGTACTCTAATGCTGAGTACCGAAAGAGCTACTGAAACTATATTTACTCAAGCTGGAATGTTAAGCTAGTCCGAACAGGCTTCTGCAGATATATTGCTTCTGATTATCTAGTGTGGTTTGTGAATTCATACATGTTTTATATACAGGTGATCGTTGATATCTGTGGTACTGCCGCAGTTTCTTCTCCTTCAGTTAGTGATGATAAAACGAGATATGAATCTGAACGAGAGAGACGTAAACAAGCTGCACTGGACATGCAACAGAGATTATTAAAGGAATTTGCAAGCAAACAAAAGAAATTTCTCGGTAATTTTACAATTTTTGCACTTTTTAGAAATGGAGTTCACCAGTTACTGAACTATTTTTATATCATGAGATGGATACAGAAGACCTCCAAACAAAAAGATAAATTAGAAAAGAATCATATACCGTATTTATTCGATTATAACGCGCAAAATTTTGAACTGAATTTTAGGCAAAAATCAATGCTGCGCGTTATACACGAGGTCTGAGAAATGCGGTATTGAAAATGTGGTTTTAAACATCTGAAACGTGCGTGCGCTCGCGCATGCACATTCCAATGCAGGACGATTTCGTGCAAGCACACGCACATGCGACAGCTCAGCGTGCGTTTGACATTCGTGCAAGCGTTCGATTTCGTGCAAGCACACGCACATGCGAACGTTCTGCATATAGGGCTGCATTCAAACTGGAGGTTGTTGATTATGCGGAAACTCATGGAAATAGAAAAGCTTTTAGAGAATTCAATGTACCAGAGCATTAGCAATAGTAAGAATGGTACAGAAGACGACTTGTTGTGGGATTCAAAATCAGGGTCAGAAGAAGAGGTTGAAAGTGATGTTCCCGCCGATTGGGACACTGATTTAAACATAACCCAAACAGAAATCGAACAGTTGTTTGGTGAATCAGAGACTGAATCCGATTTTGAAGAGTTTTGAATTACTGTGTGCTTTTAATAAATTTTTGTTCATGCTGTGAGTTGTTACCTTATGTGCTTACCAGTAGTTAGTAGAGAAAAAATAAAAAAAGAATTTTATACCAATTTTCATTCAAAATTTAAAGGTGCGCGTTATACACGAGTGCGCGTTATAATTGAATAAATACGGTACATAATTATGTATGCTCGAGTATAATCCATTGATGAATGTGTGGCCCAGCAATGTTGCAATATTAGAATCTCAATCTCAACGCTATTTTTATTGATAAAAAATATGACTTCATTCGTTTATATTTCATTTTTATACAACTTGACATCTCACCATGTCCTTTTAAAATTGTCAAACTAGGACTTTCTGAGCTTTAGAGTTTTTCTCTTCCTAAAAAGAGATTTGTATTCTTACTCGGTTGGTTGAGAGCTTATCTGTTTTCTTTCGAATTTTTTTTTTTCTGAGAACTTCAGTAATGTGAAATTCACTACTTTACAGCGATTTCATTCAGTATTCGTTTGCACATAGTGTACCGCCATAACTTTATATAGTCCGGTATCTCATGACCGCTCATGTTTTTGTTCGCAAATGAGTTTCCTATATTTTCTGAGCGAGTGCCCATGACCTGGTTCCGAGCAAAAATTTTGAAAAACTATCAATGATGTAATATTAAACTTAATCACATTGTAAAAATGTAAATTTTTACAGTAAGAGACAGTGATTTTGAGGATATGTATTGTCACATGGTAATTTTAATCATTGAATAAACCAAACTCTTTTCATATGTTTTCATATGACAGAGCAAGTTGAAATGGATTTGGATTTGCCTGCTGATCCAGAAGCTGAAGTAGAAATGGAAACAAATGTTGTTGATGATAATAGATATGATTGTGTTATTTGTGGTGCTAGTGAAGATAGTACTATTAATATTGTTGGAAGTACAGACGCTGAACGTACAAACAGTGCGAAATCACAAATTATGGGAATGGTTGCTCTTGTACAATCGTCATCTTTACTCGGTGAGTTGTGTTGTTATATTTTCGACAGTTTTATCTGATTTTTTGCAATTGAGTTGATCTTTTTTTAATTATCGTGTTTGTTAGAAAAAATTCATTGAATGACAGTGAAATACATTTGTTATACAACATTTGTTCACATCTGTTTCTCCGAACATGGCCCTGTTCAAGCAGGCAATTATATCTAACAATTCGTGAGGAGGTACTATTTTTGAAAGGAATGACATGGTTGCGATGACCTGTGACGAATAAAATGACTGATTTAAATATGTTAAACGCAAAACTAGTTTTGTTTATTGAAGAGCAGGTGTCTTGGAGTGTTTAGTCTTTAAAAGTGGGCCACACATGAAAGTTTGAGAACCACTAGACCAGGGGTATGTGTTCAGGCAGCCCGAGAGCCACACCCAATTCTCAATTTCAATATCAATTATATCCAAATTATTTGTTTTTTTCTGCATGTTGAATGAAAATTTTATTTTTCAGGATTCAGAACTGAATCTGATGAACTGAGACCTCTCAGACCCGTCGATTCCAACATAAAACCAACGGAAACTTGCAGAAAATTTAATCGCGAACATCATGAAAATTTGAAGATGAAATTCCCACAAGAAATTGGTTCATTCACTCTCGGAACTAATATAGGTCAGTGTTAGTGTACATTCATTCTAACTTAAAAAAAGGTAATTCAACTAAATGTAGGCCTATTGTTATTATCAGATTATTACTTATCGATCTTGATCGGTAAGTACGTTGATAGGTATTTGTCTGTCTGTTAGATGCACACGATATCTCACGAAGGCGAGGTTTAATCTGTTCCAAATTTTACATGTGCATTCATCATATCGCGGACCAGAAGCCTTTTGATTTTGGATGAATTATGTCGTATAATTAGCGAGTACATAATTAATTGGTAATGGGACACGCAGTGTCACTATAGTCATGAATCGAAGCCGCAGTTTCGATCGATAAGTCTTCGGTTTCCGACCGATATTCTCGTTTTATTTTTGACTCATTTGATTGCAACAGTATACCAGATCATTGGTCTCTTTAGGTTTGGGTTGAAAAAATTTTGGTTATCGTGCTGACTTGGACTCAGACTCTGCATTGATAAAGACTTTGATTTTGACTCCTGTTTGCAAAAAATTTCGCCTCCATCCCCAAACTCTGAGGAAATCATATTTTAATATGAAAAACTTTTGCATGTGCAAGCCTTCTTTAATGTATTGTTAGGAACGCTAAGTGAACATGACGTGTTTTGAATTTGTGTGCAAAATTCCGACTTTTATCCCCATTGAAAGTCTGAAATCCTGTCTCGTGGAAAGAATCTCAACTTCCGATGGGTCAAAAAATACAACTACGACTCCAATGTCAAACTCCAGCTCTACAGCCCTGGCTAAAAAAAGGGGAACAAGATTCTTATTTTCTTTAGCATTTGTTTACATGTTCGTTGTTATGAGTGTGAATCTGTTTTTATATATTATACTCTTACTTTAGATCTTGCCACTAGCAAACTGAAGCAATTTTATATGAGTAGATTGAAAATCATGACACATAAGAAGATATGACACACTATAAGAAGATAGCAAAAATTCCCCTTACCTACACTAAATCTTTTTTATCCCAACACAATTTTTTGAAGTGTCTTACTACTGTAAAGGCTGTTCACTTTAACTCACTCATCTTTTTATTTACATTTAGACTGGGAATGGGCACCTCAAGTTTCAACTTGTGGTCATCACCTGCATGTTTCTTGTTACCATGATTACATGAAGTGGGTAAAACGAGATGAAACCGGTTACCTCCGGTTTGAGGAAGGATTGGGATTTCAATGCCCTTTCTGTCGACAAACTTCAAATTTAGTTGTACCATGCAATGTGCAACAGGAAAGACCTGTACCGCCTGAGAGTTTAAGAAAGTTACTGAAACCGCATGTTCCGGATAGGACCTTGTCCACGGAAGATCAAGATTTCCAAAAGTAAGATAACAATGAGAAAAGATTCAAATAAGAGATTAGTCAAAAATAGTATAATAAAGGGTGGTCAATGGAAAAAATGAAAATTTGTCAAACAGCTATTTATTCTACAAAGAATAACTTTTACAAGTTTTTTAACAGCATATGTTATATTACACTCATAGATGCTCAACATGTTGTCCATGCACTTCAGAACAGTGTCTTAGTCTAGTAGAACATAAAACAACCTATAATCTGAAAATAAAAAAAAACGTATCGAAAAAGAAAAGAGTAAGCACTAAGCACACATTTTATTCGTGATTTCATCTTAATCTTTTCTAGCGACCACCTTATAGTTTAACTGTTACCCTGTTTTTAGCTCACTCTGTATTTAGTCGAATGGTTGCAGATGGTGATATAAATAACAGATAAAAGATATGAAAATGAAGCAGTAGAACCGAATTACTTTATGCCACATTTCAAGGTTTCGAGTAAATCTTGTTTTTGCAATTTTCGGACTTCTACAACCAAACCTAATACTGGATATAAGACACTACCTAAAATCCAAACTGACATTTCAAATTATAATGATAATTAACTTTCAGGTCACTTTGGGAAATCGACAATTTAATTGTATCGAACGTGCCCATCAGAACAATAAGAATGCCTGAATCTCAGGTAAACCAAGAATCCAGTTCTGAAGTTGAAGGATCCCCTATTGACCCCGTTCGTATGATTGATGTCAATGTTCTATCTGTTGATGAAATTCTTAAAGCTTGTCAAGATTCAACTGAAGCAATTTTAGCTGAAAATAGAATAGTGTTAGACAAAGGTATGTCATCCATATTCGGCTGAAACTGACAATCCTGGTTTTCTTCTATAAATGACTAGTTAGTTACCGGAGATCGGACTATTTACTACTACTGGTCGCCCACGCCTTTTTAAGCATAAATTGTCAGATTATAATTTTATGCTTGATGGGGAAAGTTCTGAGTGTTGACGAGGGCCATATTAAATGGCTTGACGGGCCGGGTTGTGGCCCAGTGGGTTTGGTCTTCCTGTTGCACACCCCTGGCTTAGTATATTTAGTTTCTGTAGAAAATTTTGACTTCTATCATCACCACCCAAAGTGTGAAATTCCGACACCCGATTCTAGGGAATCTATAATTTTGATCTGATTCCTGACGATTTGAAATAACTTCAGTATTAAAATGCCACACACTGACTCCACAGCCCTGGTTCAAACATGTTGTAACAACTTCAGCAGCCATACTTCACACATATACTCTCAGAATTAAAAAAAGGTATTATCTGAAAATCATGTTGTTTATTAACCCTTTCCATGCGATTTTTATTTTTTATTAAATAATCGTATTTGCTACGCCGATTTTATGCATTTGTACGCCCACAACTAATCGATCCACTTATGAAAAACTAATGATCCTCTGCTGCCCACTGACGGCTCATTAGAAAGCTTATTTAAAGAGCTTGCAGTTGGCGATCAAATAAAAAGGTTTTTTAAAAGTGGTGGTCTGAGTCACAAACCGGATAGAAAAAAGGCATTTTTTTTTCTTGGGAGTTGAAACTTCAAACCGTGATAAAAAATAGAAATATTCGCTAAATCCTTTACTGTTACCGCTTCGTGGTTGGCAAACAATAGCATAATATTGCTGTAGCAATTTCGTGATCCAACTCAAAATACTTTGGTAGATGGAAGGGATAATATGTCTTCTATTACCACCCAAAACACACCGAAATTTGCATAAATTTCAAACACACTCCCTCGTTCCGCCGCAAATAAAATTCCCGTCGTAAACGAAAGCGAGATTTACCGTCGCCTATGTTAATCTCGAAGATGACTTTTTATCAATAAACTAAAACCCGGAAAAACTAGACCAACAGTTTGCGACCGATTGCTAAATAAAACAGTGGAGTACATCAACGTACCCGCCGCAATCTAGCGACTTTTGTCATGGGTACGTATACGTGCCCACCGCACGGAAAGGGTTAAGCACATATCAAGATTTTGTTTCAACAGACATCTGAATTTAGCGATGAAAATGATGTTAAAGTTTCCATAATAATTATTTTTCTAAATTTTCCTAGTTAGATAAATATAGGTATATCTAATGTGAGCAAGTTGGAGTGATTTGAGAAAATATATGTGTTTGTGAACAAATGTATGTGATGTGAAAACAGAATATGAAACATTCAATATTACTAAATGTATGTAATTTGAGAAAATTGATATGATTTGAGAGCAAAATATGAAACATGAGCAAGCATGCACAATGTGAATAAATACGTGGGATGTGTATCGATAAATGTATGTGAGGTGATAAAATTTACGAGACTTGAACAAATATTGTGATATAATGTATGTGATATTCATTAATTAATGTGTGTGATTTGGGAAAATGTATGTGATGTGAAAACAGAATATGAACTGTGAACAAGCAGTATGTGAAGTATATCAATGAATATGTGTGACGTAATAAAATTTAGAACAAATATTGCGTTATTAAATGAAAATATTCTCAGCCCCTTTTTATGAAATACAAGAAATGACGCAGTTTACCTCAAAACCGAATTGTATATATCTATATACGCTTATCTGTGTGGTCATGATGTGTACTTTGGTAAATGAAAACGTCGCTACAGTCGCCCTCGGGGTATTTAACACGTCTTCTTTTAACAAACAGACATATTATTAAATTTTTATCAGAAAGTCTGGTAAAACTTGTTTATGGTGTGAATTTTTTGCAACGAAAAATAACTTGTTTTTTTAAAAAAAATATTTCACCAAATTTAAAAACTTCTTGAGGATTTTGTTTTCAAAGGGCAATAAATGAACAATTGGGTGCCCGAAAATAAAAGAAACCGACAAAATTGGTGATCAAATTAGTGGGTTTCATTTATTTTGGGACTCTATATTACAGAAAAATAGGTTCTTTTTAGGCTGGTATCTATCTAATCATGGTTTGGAGCAATATAATCATCAACAAAATTTTTTAATAAAAAGGAAAAATTTGAAAATAACAATTATACGTTTTTTTCATTTTCTCAAAACAGCTTTTTTTACGTTGCACCCTTTGTTTTAAATATTAAAAAAACTTGCACTATCTTCAGTTATTTACAAATATCTTGAGTTTTCAATTGAATAAACACAGAATATTACTGATTGATTTTTGGATGATTTGGTTGTTGCTATTGCATCATATTTTATCACATATGAAACTCACTTTTTTACACCTTTATTACAGCATATGAACTAGCAGTACACATGTGAAGATACACTCCCTTACTCTTTTATGTGAGTTTTTTCTTCTTTTTAGATGCTACAATGCAACTGACTTCTCGTGGTGTTTTCCAAGGACAATTAGAATATGAATTGTGTACTTTTGGCGGAACACTATTGCTTGAGAAGAAACCGCCACAATTGAGTGTTGTGCAGAGAAAGATACCCATTGGTAGGTTTTATGTCTTTTTTTATACAGTTGTATTATATATTGGAAATTTAAAGGCATTAATTCATAGTTTCATGTCTTACTCAGTGGAATAGTCAGTTCTCAAATGCTTCCATTCTCATTGCATAATTGTTTAAATAAGTGTTTAACGCACAGGCTCCTATTTTATTTACTGCCTTTATGACTATCATCAAATAAAAAATGAGTCTGCTCATATTCTTGGCCACTAAAAGTTGCAGACACAGTGAATCGTCAGCATATTTGAGTTTACTTCTTTTATTGAAGCCACAGAGTTTGTCATTGAAAAAATAGATGAATTGTGAACAAATAGCATGTGAACATCTATATGTGATGTAAAATTTTATGTGCATATATCGCTATTTTGCTGCAAAATTGAAAAATGTAGTAATAATTCTAAAGAAATCTAAAAATTCGAAATTTTGAAAGTCAAGTGCTATATACCGGTATTTCCTGTTTTTCCTATTTTATAACAATATTGTCTCAAACCAGGCTTTGCACAAAGAGTTTTGGAAATTACAAAATCTTTCTGATTCAGCATTGCTAAACAATATTTATACCCTGGATGATGTGGTGGGCCTGAGTCTTGCTTGAAGCTAAGAAATGCCAACATTGTTTAGTCTAACATGTCAACCAATCAAAAAAATTCTACATTTCAGGCCCGTTATTCCATGTTCTGGCAAAAACAATTCGAGTTACTGGAGACAAACCAAACAATGAATATACCAAAAAAATTTGGAATCAACTTACTGGATCTTTATTGAAAGTGAAGGAAACAAGCGACTGCCCGCTGCTTATGAAAGATCCGATTGCACTTTTGATTGAGGTAAATTATGAATATTTATTGTCCTAAATTCATTGTTTTTTGTTTTCCATTTTTTGTAATTTTATATTTTTGTTTTTTTAATGTTTGATATTCTTGTTTTTACACCTCACTCTTAACAAGGTTCTGGACAAGCAGAGACTAGGAGACTAGGATCATATGATTTACAAAATAGGAGGTAGCGAAATATGTCTGGTTTGAGATTGCCTATAAAAATTATTACATTTTACTCATGTAAGTACGTCGGCATGGATATCTCATGCTCACCGGCTTGTCTTTAACCTGCGCCCAGGATTGTGTAGTTGGAGTATGTGTTGAAATTCTGAATTTCCAGTCGGGCGTCGGAATTGCAGACTTTTAATAATGCTAATATAAGTCAAAACTTTCTACTAAAACTCAAAAAGCATTATTTTACCAAGCATTCTCAATAACATTCTATTGAAGAGGGCATGGATATGGCAAAGTTTTTGTAATCGAAATTAGATTTTCGCGGAGTTTGGAGCTGAAGTCAAAGTAAAACAGCCAGAGCCATAGTCAGAATTCTGATTAATTCAGAGTATGAGTCGGAGCCAAAATTTTTTCCAGTCAGAGTAGATTCTAAAGTTTCTCTCGACTCCACACCCTGGTGCTGCTATTACATCTGTCGATACAGATGTATACACTTTAATTTCTAATTCCGTAAAACTACTGTTTAAATTGATGTTTTTGCATCTCGTTGAACTTTCTTAACAAATATCAGTTCATACAACAAAGCTATTATATAAATGAATTAACTTATTTATTAATTGTTTTTCAAGAGTTTAGATGAGTCGATTTTGTTCCTAATTGAACCATAACTTCTGATCTTCGACTCAGATAAAGTATTAATAAATGAATTTGAAAATGTCATATTCTATAGAACATGTCTTTTCTAACCACACTTACGTGTATGGTCTTTGGAAACTGGTTCTACGTGATTTTATCGTTTCGATGGTTTTTGAGCAGTTTAAAGTAAAGTTGTTTTTCATAAAATACTAAGCTTTATTCTATATTGGTTGGTCCTTGGAATAAAATTGAGCAAATCTCTAAAAAATGATTATTATATTCATTATTTTGTATCCTGTTTGGTTACTTAAACACAAAATGTGGTTATGCGTTTTTTTGCAAAATTGTTGTTGTTGTGTAAAGTTTCCTTTTCAGGCGACTACTGGACCAAATTGTCAATACTTATGATGGAATAAGTTTTCAGAAAGCTATTATTTTTTAAAATTTCTTTAGTCATAATAGGGCCTGATATTTGCCCAAATTTTTTTTTTGATTTTTCAACTCGTGGGTACATGTTTATGTGACATCTACATATTAGCTGCTCTTGTGCAGAGCCTTGTTCAAAGCAAAAGGCATAGAAATATGAACCATTTTGTTCGCTTCCAGTATATTAATCGTAAATTTCTACTTAATTTACAGAGTTTTTTTGATACTGTTGACCTTCAAACTGTCATGTTATATTTGACATATTGTCAACAAACTGCTGATCTTTTCATGGTTTTTTCAAATATTCAGACTTAATTACCAAAATAAAACGTGATAGAACATTTGGGTAAAATCTTTGGTTAGACGTCACACAGTATACGCACAGGACGCCTTCTTGTCATCTCTAGAATATGTATATATAAATGCGAATCTCATGTTCTTTGAAAAGATAAGCTATTTGTGGTCATGGTATTGCTGTAAACAAATATTGCTCAAGCATGTTTTAAGTTTGAATCAAGCTAATAAAATAGTTCTTAACTTCTGTGTTAATTGGTCCAAGTTGGTCCAAAATCAGACTTAAATTTGACCTTAAAAGAGAACTATTCATGTCCGAATTGGTTACCATCAAATCGACTTATCGTGTGTGAAATCTTTAGAAATTTCGTATATCAGAGGTCTTGCCTGAGTCCTTATTAACATACACTGACTCAACGTGTAAAACTTGTTTAACAACCGTGCAACGTTGTTCTTCAATAGAGAGTTCATTTTGTTGAGTTTCGAAATTTTATGTCATGCTTTACCAATATTTGGATTTATATTGGCTCTGTTTTTAAATATTATAAACAAAAAACAAAATAATATTATTGTAATAATGGATCAGTGAAATTCGATGTCAGGGATCATGACTAGGGCCTCATTTATTTGTTCTAATATTTGGATTAAGATTGTCTTCAATTTATTAATATTTATGAAATGTAAATTGAAAAATAAATATTATTACAAAATCCCAGATATCTGATGGCCACTGGTGGATTTAGAGTTTCTATCTAGTGTTTGCATATATGAATATTACCTGATCTGCTACTCCCTTATCCCCTGAAATTTGTCATTTTAATCGTTTGACATCTCTTGGTCAGACAAATAATGGACTTAATTTCATATAATATTTGACAATTAAACAACGATTAATTATATTCCAATCATTATATGTATGTGCATTAACATAGACATAAACATGAAAAAGTGTTATATACTTGTGTGATTGGGTATTTGCCTCTGACCTTTGCTTGTTTATGAAATTGTATTTTTGCAAATGATTTTTTACTTTGTGTTAGTGGTCATTTGCAAGGAAACATTTTGCTATTTTAACTGACTCTTCGAATATGAAAGTTTCTAATCGTGCCTTGTTGATATAGCTGAGATCCAAAAAAATTGGAACGTTTAAAATGTTTAACTTTTTTTTTCAGCTTTGTGTATCTATATATCCATTTACAATAGAAGAATATCAGACAGTTGTTCGTGTGTTGTACAATCTATCACTCGTTCAAGCATTGGTACAAATCAGTTGCAAATTTTCACCAGAAGAAAGAAGGTACCGGTGTTACTCTTCAAAACTTTTCAATTTTAATTGTCATCATCTAGTAATCCATTCTGAAGTTGTATATACACCAGTGTTGATAGAACTCCCACAGCGAGTCAAGTTGGGTCACTTGTCGTTGTCATCCAAGTCTCTCGTGGAGCACGGAGACAAGCAAATCACCTAACTTCAGTCTCACTACTCTCTAGTTGTGTATAGATGACTCGAGTCACTTCGAGTCTTCGATAATTGGTCATTGAGTCCAATTCGAGCAGAGTCAACATTGATAACACTGATATATGCTGTCAATTTTCATATAGTGTTGGCTAAATTTGATTAGTGCTAAATTTCACATAATAAGACCTTAAGCATCAACATCCATTGGTGATTTGGATCACATACGAATAACCATTTCGCATTGTTTGATTTTGGTTTAGTGACAAAGTTATGGTGGCATTATAGAAAATCTCGTTTATTTCAAATAATAAATCTCTTTTCAGAGCATGGAAATCTAATGTCAGTGCATCTCTTGGTGGAATTCCCTTCGATGCTGATAAACTAGATTGTCTCCTTGGTCAAGTCATTGCTTGTCTACCAAAGTCATTATTTAATGATGACGTAGCAGAAAAATTGATGCCTCCTTCAACTCAGTGTTATACTTCAACTGTATGGACTTCTCAGGTAAATTACGAGTAACCTTGTTGAAAAATCAGACTATTTTGGAATTTACTACCTCATAGCTGCTTTTTGAAAATGAGTAAAATTATATTTCGATTTTTAAACTTCTGTAAATTTTCATTGAGATACTTTGATGAATATTGTTTCAAACCAAAGCACCTTCATTTTTGTAATATCTATGAATATAATTTTTTGGAAATTTCAACATTTATCCTTTTGGCTCAGCGGTTGAAGCTTTAGACCAGTGGTTCTCAAGCTTTTTAATCCCCCTTTCTAGAATTTGTCAACTCTTGCGCCCACTTCCAAAATAACTAGCTAAGAATAAGCTAGAAATAACAGATAGTAAGGCGAAAGTATGTTTCATTCAAAATACACAGTAACAATACGTGGATGGAACGAAATAATGAAATAAATGAAAAGTTTTAATAACAAATAAGGCAGGCAAGATCAAATCTAACAAATTTTTTATTTTTAATTGGCTTCACGCCCCCTCAAAAAATTGTCTACACCCCTATTGAGGGGCGCGCCCCATCGTTTGAGAACCACTGCTTTTAGACTAAACTACGTTGGTATCATAGGATACACATCTTGGATTCGATTCTCGTGTCACCCAGGGTGTAATAAATCGGGTGAGTAATGGTGATTCAGAAAGATGCCCCCCCCCAAAAAACATAATAACGTATGAAATTATAAAAAAAATTGAATTTGACATTGTCGTTTTCATATTTCAGAGTGTACAAAGCTCACTTGAAGAAGTTCTTCTGCAGTTCATGAGGATTTCCTCTTTACTTCAATTTCATATATTTGAAAACATGAGTACGAAGTCACAATTTAGATGTGCACCTGACGGAGAAAACGAATTCATCTATCTTTCTAAATATTTAGGTTTGTACTAAAATTTTACTAGGATTTATGAATAGTTATGTTTTTAAATATTCATTTTCTGTTCTCGTCTTGAGAGACACAGGGGTTTGAGGATTGAGGGTTTCTCAAACTTGGCCCCCTGCCCCTTCACCAAGTACCATTTGCAATGACTAAATTAATTTTAAGTAAATTGATTAATTGCGATTTGTTCAGCAAATGATGGAAATCCATCATGAGCAAAACTGGGAATTTCTGCTTCAATAATAAATTGGGTATAAAATTTTGCGATCTTTTCCAGTTATCAGCCTCCCCCCCACTAATATTACCCCACTACGTTTTAAAATAACAAATTAGTAATCATCCAGTCGGGGTTAGATTGGGGGTAGGAATGATTGGAATTCTTAATTTCCAGCGCAATATGCATTCCTAACTCTTAACTGAAAAAGGCCCGAATTTTGACTTCCAAATATTAAATTTTGATATCAATAGATTCATTATATTCAGATTATGATGTTTTGAAAACAAATTAATGCAAACTTGGAATTATGACGTTATTGTGTATTCTGATTTCTGAATTCTATTTATTATTATAAATAAAATCTTTCATGATATCGTGAGACATTTCCAATATAATTTCTATTTCCTGATGTTTACCTTGCCCCAGGCCTTGCAAAACAACAAAATAAGATTTATCTGTTTTGCTTGGTTTATACCAAATTTATATAACACCCAAGCATAAAGATGGTTTTGAAAACGATTTCCTAAGAATTAGTTGAAAAACAGGAAACTTTTTCTATGATGTTATTCCAAATGAGCAATTTTTGAAAAATTTCCACGACCCATTCACAAGCTGGCTTATTTGCATCAATATGGGATAAGTTGTGTATGGAATTTCATTAATTTACTCAATAATACTCAATTTACTAATACTTAACTGTTAATTTTTCAGGCATGCTGGACAGCGCTTCATCGACACCTATGGACAGCTCATGCACTTTTTTCGCAAAATGGCCGAATTCTCCCAAATACGTTATCAACTCATGGTGCAAGGAGGTACTCACTATTTTGTTTCATTTTTGCCCGTTTAACAAAAAAATGAATTAAAAAAATTCAGGTATCATAAATAGGATGAATTTGATACGACAACGTATCGTTCACGTTTCGTAAACTGGAAAACCTGCCCCTAGGCTTTCATTTTGCGATAAAATTAATACGCCTAAATTTTTTTACCTTTTTCTCATTTTTTAAGTTTTTACCCGAAAAATGAACTTTCACAAGATGTAACATTGTGTTTATATATTTTCATGAACGGCATTCAAAATTAAAATGTTCAAGCAGCAAATTATTCAAAAATTTCGTTTCACTGTGATCGACCGTTTTTATTTTCAATATAAATATTTACTTAACCGAGAAAATTGAAACATAACTTTGATATTTTGGCCTCTCCTCTAAGTAATGTCAAAGTTGTCAAATAAATTACTTTGTGGGATAAATCTGTTTTAAGATAAATGACCTTGCTTTGACCTTTTGATACTTAATTTTGATTCCTAATGAACTAAATTTGTAAAATTATTAAGATGGTTATCAACCTACATCAATATTTCTGTCAGGATTGTTTTAAAAAATTCACCGGAAACCGGCTGTAAAATTTATCCATGACCAGTTTTTGTCATAATCGAAATGTAGATTTAACCTCAGCATTTACTCAAGTAACATTAAACCTGACCGATCGTGAGCTCTCTCTCCTGCTTAGGCTACTATCAGTACACCTACTAGACAAAAAAATATGATATGCCCAAAATTTTTTTTCCCCGAGAACTTCAGCAATGTAGAATTCACAATTTCATAGCATACCGTATGCTGGAATGAAAAGATTCTGGTTCTCCAAAAAAGTAACACCCAACATATTATATATTAGTGCAGGGGTGCGCAACCATTAATACACGAGGGCCAGATATAATAAAATTGAATGAAACAACGGGCCGCACCCTTATTAACATAGGCTTTCTAGTAGTTGCAAGCACAAAAATTTGTTTTTGTTTTGTTATTAATCTCATGCCATCATTAGGGGTCCACAAGTTAAGAGGCCTATATTTCTGAATGAAACAGCTATTCAAATTATCTCATAACGGCTTTAAACGAATTCAGTGAAAATTGGCAGCTGGCTTTTTTTCCCGACTACTTTTTTCCAAATTTGCCGCACCATTTTTCCTCGTCTGCCGCATTTGGCCCGCGGGCCACAGGTTGCACACACCTGTATTAGTGGATGCTTGTGCAGGGCCTCATTCAGAGTGACTGGGTGGTAACGTTACAACCTATCGAGATCATCGGAATCTGTTAGCACCAAAACAAACCGGATTTATAAAGAAATTTTTCAGGTTGAAACTGTGGTCTCATCCGATCGTCATACTTCATTACAATTGATGAACAGACATAAAATATGGAAGCAACCAGCGATCGTCGATCTACCGGAAGATTATACAAACTTATTCACGAAGTTCAGAGATATTGTGAGTATATTTTTGTTTGTACAAATATATTAGCCACTACAATTTTGATAGATATTAAAAAACCAATTTTTTTTTAAGTTCAGTTTGATGAAGATGTACCACTGATATATAAGTAAAAAACATTCCGGTGTAAAAGTTATCAAGTAACCTAATTGTTTTTCGAACTTGTGAAATTTTTAATTATGTTCTCAGTTTTTAATCTATGTACAGACTACCAGTCCATGCTTCTGAAAACAAATACCTAACTCGAGCCCATACTCGACATGGAATGGTAACTGGACGAGAGGCCGTGGTTCGCCATATGATTGAGGCGTCTTATCGACTTTCCTCTCTCTCTCGGAGTGTATCAAAGTGTATTAAAAAAAAAAAAAAAAAAAAAAATTTAATAAAACCGTTTATCACACAAGTCTCTCCCTATGTATTTGTTATTGTCGTGAAAACGTATATCACACAAGTCTCTCCCTATGTGCTTGTTATTGTCGTGAAAACCGTATATCACACAAGTCTCTCCCTATGTGTTTGTTATTGTCGTGAAAACCGTATATCACACAAGTCCCTCCCTATGTGCTTGTTATTATTGTGAAAACCGTATATCACACAAGTCTCTCCCTATGTGTTTGTTATTGTCGTGAAAACCGTATATCACACAAGTCCCTCCCTATGTGCTTGTTATTATTGTGAAAACCGTATATCACACAAGTCCCTCCCTATGTGCTTGTTATTATTGTGAAAACCGTATATCACACAAGTCTCTCCCTATGTGTTTGTTATTGTCGTGAAAACCGTATATCACACAAGTCTCTCCCTATGTGTTTGTTATTGTCGTGAAAACCGTATATCACACAAGTCCCTCCCTATGTGCTTGTTATTATTGTGAAAACCGTATATCACACAAGTCTCTCCCTATGTTCTTGTTATTATCATGAAAACCGTATATCACACAAGTCTCTCCCTATGTGTTTGTTATTGTCATGAAAACCGTATATCACACAAGGTTCTCCCTATGTGTTTGTTATTATCATGAAAACCGTATATCACACAAGTCTCTCCCTATGTGTTTGTTATTGTCATGAAAACCGTATATCACACAAGTCTCTCCCTATGTGTTTGTTATTGTCGTGAAAACCGTATATCACACAAGTTTCTCCCTATGTGCTTGTTATTATCATGAAAACCGTATATCACACAAGTCTCTCCCTATGTGTTTGTCATTGTCGTGAAAACCGAATATCACACAAGTCCCTCCCTATGTGTTTGTTATTGTCGTGCAAACTGAATATCACACAAGTCCTCCCTATGTGTTTGTTATTGTCGTGCAAACCGAATATCACACAAGTTCATCCTTCCTATGTGTTTGTTATTGTCGTAATGAAATTATCGCTCTTGAAAATCATAGGTTCGAATTTGCGACATCGCAAAAAATGGTTTCATTCCTATTTTCAAACAATCAAGCTATGTGTCAATCTATTTTGATGTATGGTGACAAATTTGAAATTTGGTTTAGTCTGGGAACTCACTTTAATCTCTTTCCAAAAATGGTTATTCACCAAAAATAAATCAAAACAGAAAAAAGAAATAATGCACTTTTTACCTCAAACTGGAAAAAGGAGTATAGCTAGTCATAGGTTAATGGTATGTTCAATGTAAGATCTTATCGCCTCTTATCATGGCCTCGGGTATTCTTCAACTGTATATTATTACCAGGAATTGCTGTCTCGATATGTTGCAATAATCTGTCATGATTGACTTTTTGTTATATAAGGCAACTGAGTTCATAGTACGAAAAAATAAAATGGCGCTCCAGAAGTGTGTGTACCAATAGGGAGATAACTAATTTTGTTCGCCTACTTTACATCAAGTTGTGTAAAAGGACGATAGCCTATGGCTATGGGCAGGGGGTTATATTCACTTGGCTAACCAGACAGTCTACGAACTCGTAATAGAATTAAAATAAGGAAAATCGGAATAAAATTAGGGCCTAACCATAACCTGGTACACACACTACGGGAGTACCAATTAAATTATTGAGGAAAATTTATTCCTCGAATATTTTTTAAAACATTTGTTTAGTTATTATATTTTGTTGAAAAATCTGGTATCGTACGGCGTAAATTTGAGAGAAAAAAGTAAAAGATAAATCGACAGGCTTCAATTACCATTTCCATCATTAGTATGGAGAATTCGAAATTGATTCGTCGATAAGTTGCGAAGAATTTTTTATTTATTACAACAATATATAGTTCAAAAATACATTTCTATATAAATAAGGGCTTTTTGACCAGTATTTGTCGCTCTGTCAGCGTGACATAGGTAAGTCATGATCACGACTGGAAATACTTGTCTTGTAAAACATGATACAGGCTTTTAACAATGATATTATCTGCGTTCGAATTACTATAACCTGCTTTAAAATGGATTTTTTATTACAAATATCAAATTTTTAAAATTTTTGTCTTTTATTTCACCTGTGTTGACGAAATTTGGCGTAATCGTAGGTGAAAATTGCCCGTTATTATCGGGTGTTTCAAACACTTTTCGGAAAGAGGGTTTCATATGCTATCATTTTTCTCTTTATTTTATAGAGTTGTTAGCGGTTCAGTGAATCAAAAAAGTTTTTTTATGTAATGCTTTTATTAATCAAAATCAAGTTTTTGGAAATAAAAATTGTTTGTACTTGTATACGTGAATAGGAATGACTAATTCATAAAGATAATTTGCCTCGTATATGTGTCACTTTGTCTCATGAATAAATTAAACAGTATTCCAAGTAGTCATGTGTAGAGATAGGCATGATGGTATTTTGAATCATGCATGTAATGTGTCATCCACCCACCGAGGATAAAATCATTGAAAATTTGTGTAATTCATGGGGGTGGTGGCCCAGTGGTTAAAGTGTTAGACGGGTTCAAATCTGATACCCACCGCCTCACCCAAAGTATAACAAATTGGGTAGGCAATGCCGAGCCAGAACTGAAAAAATTATGGTCTTTCTAAAATATCGCGTCTCTTTACATATCAGTGCTGCAGAGCCTTATTTGGAGCCAAAAGAACATAAATACGTCACAAAATCAAAAATATTTTTTCTTATGACCTTTCTTACGTATGCACTCGAAGGGATAGAGGAGGGTAAATTGGGATCAGCCATGTTTGCGTCACGTTTCAAATTAAATGTCTCTGGCTTGACTCTGGTTTCGAAACATAGTAGATTTATGACATATCAGTCGCTGATCGTCAAAAACCTTCATTAGAATTAATATGTGAAAATCAGCTTATAAGTACAAGTTTGATTTGCTCATATTAATGGAATAATCATAATCTAAATAAATATTTTCATTTCGTGCTCCCAACTACCTCTCATTAAATTACTTTCAAATTTGTGTAAATGCTTAACTGCAAAAAATACAATTCTGAGAAAATATTTTATCTGATTCTTATTTTTTGTTTTACGTGGAATTCTAACCACACTACTAAAGGGTTTATTTGTACAACAGTAAATATTCAAAAAATTGAAAACACGAAACATGGAAAATTTTATCTTGATTTTCGATGGTATTTTTTCTTTTGGTTTTGTCATATTTAAGCCGGTTTGTAAATGTCAGGCAGCATGTTTTACTTATCTATCCATCTACAGACTACAAAGAAAAATTGTGTTTTTGCTGTCATTTTTAGAGCACTAGTCTAATCACTATTGCAATGTATTTTCTTATAAAAAATCGTCATTTTTTTTTATTAAATACAAGGATAAACTATATAAAAAATTCCTATATATATATATATAAGAGGGGGGGGGAGGGAGGTTTAAAAATTATAGTTTAATCAGAATTTGAAATGTAAAGTATTCAAAAAAAATATTTTCAGAACTTAATAGTTTTAAAATGACTTACTTTGTATAATTTGCATTCTTGCCCAAAAAAATATAGGTTCACCCTGTTATAATATTCGATATATATATATTGTTTTTTGGTACCCCCTGAAATATGTGCACCAAGATGGCACACAACCTGAACTCAGGTTGTCTACTAGGTTAGGGTTCAGGTTATGAGACATCTTGGTACGCATACTTCAGAAGTACCGTTTTTTGTTACAAAAAGTATCTGTTTACACAGAATAAGGATGACGTTAGTTCTACAATACTAAACTATCTGCTCCTAATATATATATATATTAAACGAGGGTTAAGTGGCAACAAAACTTGAAATTGTAGATTTTGAGAATTCAATTGAAGAAATTGGTAATGTTTTGTTGAAAAATTCCTCTTCTAAATAGGAACAAAAATCACTTTCGTTCAAATTCACTAAATAAAATTTACATTACTGATTGTCACAAATTATTTCAAAATTAAAGCAAAATTTGGTTTTGAAATATAAACTTAGCCGCATTTAAAGTATTTTGTAAGGTAGATTTGTCAATATTATTGAAAGAAAGTAACAATTTTTATCAAAAATTTTGTGGAAAATTCCACCCAGGAAGTGTTTAATTAAATTACAAAATATCTGCATTTTCTCCGTTTCATATGTATTCATCCTCCATAGTCATCCATAAATTTTAATCATCTTGTTTTTTTTGTAATGTTCCAATGTACCACACATTTAATTTTTCAAACTTTGAATTTCCAATTCAAGCAAGTTAAAAATTTTATTTGAATCAAAAATATTCAATTTATATATTTAGACATGTCCAAGATGCAAGTTTAAACCACGAGAACCATGTGTCTGTCTTATGTGCGGCCAGTTTGTTTGTTACAAAGGAATGTGTCAACATCCACGAGACTTGTACAATGACAAGGATAAAACTAGGATTCGTATTACACCACAAGGTGCAGCGGTCCATGCTCGACACTGTGGTAATGGAACGGTTATTTTGCTTCATATTCACAACACTACCGTCATTGTTGTGAGAGGATCAAGATCTTGTGTTTGGGGTGAGTGTATGGAGTTGATCAACCATTTGTTCTTAATATGCTATCTCTACTTAACTATTTAAGTATTTTCAGTTGTACTTTTGTCAATATTGTTGCTTTTATATTAGTTTTTCCCAAATGGTGAATTTGGAGTTACTACTGTACCAAGACAGTAGAAAAGTGCACTTGTATCTGAATAGGGATAATTTTATACTTATAGAAGGTTTTTCAGTTGTTGAAATGTTTGTTGGCTGTGGACTCTCGCCTGTTCACTGTCAGTTTGTCACCTACCTGACAAATATTATTTGAAAGAACTTCAATTATGTAGAATTCAATACCGCATAGCTGTCTTCTTGACTGTATTGACATGATCTGCTTCAAATCTCACGTCAATCGGTATTTACCAACGCACAACTCTAGACCATGCAATAGCTCTTGGCACTTTAGTGATCGTGGTCCTTCGAGATCAGCCGACAAGACGGCTTAATTATATGGCGAACCACAGCATCACATCTGATTACCAGTCCATGTGGGGTATGGGGTTAGTTTCCCAGGTATTTATTTGTTCCAGATGCACGTACTTGATGGCGGAGGAAGTTGCAATCGAACAGAGGCTATGTGAACCACCCTACAGCGACGAATAGTCTAGCAATCCTCTCGCACTTGATAATTTCTCCCACTGGATTCGAACCTGTGAACCTACGCAGGATGCGGTGGCGAGCTTATTCCTAACATGTAGCAAGATGCGCCACACCGCCAAGCCTGTTATAGTCTGAAATTGAGTCAGGCTGCACTCTTTCAGGCTCAAATTGATACATCATTGTTGTTCCATGCAGTCAGTATCACTTATTCCATTGTTCACAGGAACATTGTACTTGGACCATCATGGTGAGGAAGATCGTGGATGGAAGAGAGGAAGACGTCTCGTTATCAAACCACAAAGATTGAAATTAATCAATTATCAATGGTTGAATCACATCTTTGATAATGCATGTCGGGGATGGACCAGACATAGAAATCAAATGTAAATAAACAACGAAGTTAAAGATTATATGATTGAATATTAATTCTTCGCCGTTTTGTCAGTGATTGCCCCTGTTTTAATAAAATTTTAAAAGTATATCGATTTTTAGATGTGCATTGTCAATATTTTTTTTGCTAATTTTTTCGTGTGAATTTAGATATATTCTTCAGTCTTAATTTCTATCACTATCTCTTATAATACAAGTTGTTATCTTCTCTAAAAATTCAAATTTCAATGCTCACTTTCAATTAGTGAATTTTGCAGTTCAATGAAACATTATTAGCAGTAAATGCAGCCAGTGTTCCAAAATTTCTCTCAAACCTAGTCTCCACACAGGCAATTATTGTGACATAAGAAGCTAATATGTTTTTGAGTGGACGTAAATTTTCCTATCTTACATAGCCCCGTGATTATTAAAATGGGAATCGGACTCTGGTGTTTACCTGTGATGCCTAAATAGGTCTGACATATATCCAATGGGCTCCCACATAGCATTCTGAAAATCAGCGTTTTATGCTAATTTTGAACCATGTTGCTTTGACAGCCTTTTAGCGTAGTGCAAGAAAATATGTTTCAAAATACGAATCGGAATTATCGTAATTCGTGTTTGATTGATTTTTTCTTTACTGGTTGAAAAAATAAACATGACTTGATGATATTTCTCGACGTATTTAGCCTATTTTCTTAATTCCTCTTATAAAATTCATTTTTTCATCTTCGATGTTCCATTTTTAATAATGGAATAAAAAGTCAGAATTAAACCAGCTTCTATTTGAGATTGGTGGCTGTTGTGTTTCTGTGTGATCCGCCATTTTTAATTTGTGTCAAGTTCCAGTATAATTCATAATTGCTTTTGCTCTGTATATTGAGTGCTTCATCAACAATGTGCCTATCTATATTCAATGCGTAGTTGCATAGCAAATAAAATATTGTGAAAAAAGTGTTGTGGTTTTTTGGTTTAGTGTCTCTTGCAATTTGACACTACCGCCGAGGTCTGTGGTGCCTTAGTCTTGAATATCATTTCAGACTCGGTGGTGTTAGGAGTCCGAATTCTGACTCTTTCGGAATCGAGACGTCCAATCGCAATGAAAAAGTGTAAATGAGAATGGTCGTTTGCAGTTCAAGAATATTTTTTTGTGAACTGATTTTTTATACCCTAGAATGAGAAATTTTGCGAATGATTTAAGGGCTGTGTTTAGCTAGCGCACAACAATGTTCGTTAAGGCGGTCCGCGACCGCCTTATCTCGAAACGACAATATTGCAAATGGCTCCGAATAGGGCCAGAAGCAGCCACCGGTATTTTCCGATATGTGAGGAGCTATTGTTTTTGGAAGGACCGGTTCAGCATTGCCCACGAAATTCATTACACTCTTGAGTAAGATGTGTAAACTGCGATGCCAACACCGGTAACGCTTCAACCGGTTGACCATCCCGCCAAATTAGAATATATATATATGCAAAGTTTTATTTTTTAAATCGTTCGTTACGAAAAAATTGGAAGGAGATAAGCCCTGAAATATTTACCAGGTCAGAACTAATCAAAATGCGTCATTTTAGTGTTGATATATTTTTATAACAATAAACAGCCGGCGTGACAAGATCTGATTAAAATTCTCCTGCAGCTTAAAACAAGTAAAATTATTGATATTTCCTTTTCATTCAAATTCGTACTACTGGTAGCGTCAGTTTATGTTATATCTATATTATTCCACTATATTTTCTGTTTTTTTTTCTTTATTTTAGCGATGTTGGGAAGCTGTCGGATTTGTCATCTGATAAACAGCCGCGAAAAAATGGGCGCGGTCCGCATGGGTTAAATCCCAATTTAGTTTGCGTATGTATAGTATACATATACTTATTCTCAGAGATAGCTGCAGCACTAGAAGCACACATTTCTACTATTCAAAAGACTGCCGACGAAAAATCCAATCAAACTTCAAATTTTTTCTGCCTCGAAATAATCTGATATTTTGACAGTTTATTTAGGAAAATTAGTATGTTTTTCATGATGATATTTTTGTAAAATTTGTCAATACTGTTTTTTTTGTTACAAATACTGATACGTAGCCGAAATTTGTCGCGATCATTTTCATTAAAAGTACATCATGTGATTTTATTCACAACTTCATTATACCCTAATATTTAATACTTCAAAAATATTTTAAAATTCTTTTTAGATTTTTGAATTACGTGGTGTTTATCCCATTTTTTTAACCTGACCCACTAGACTAGATCATCTTCAAAATTTTATGTATATATATATATATATATATATATATATATAGAATATTATATAGTCTAATTCACTTACACTGTAATTTTACGACGCACAGTGACGCGATATTTCCTTTTCTTTGGGCCTAAGCTCTAATCTCGTAACATTTCCCGGCTATATTGATATGACAGTCATTTCCATGCTTCAATCAAGATCTTCAGCCTGTATCAAGTTAGAACTTTTAATGGCGATTAAGATACTTGATCGTGATAAAAAGGCTTGTATTACTTATCACAGCAAATTATATAACCTATTGCAAACTAGTAATCGGTGGTGAGTGGTATTTAAAATTAAGGCGTAAAGTGAATAGCGGATATTACATAATTTATTAAAGGCATGTGTTATATTACACTCATAGATGCTAAAAATGTCGTCCGTGCACTTCAGAACAGTGTCTTAACCTAAAAGTCCAAGCTCGTGTAGCGTTATGAAGATTAACTCGTGGGATATCGTTCCAATTCAAACTATACATAAACGTATTTTATTCGTTATGTCATCTGACTTTCAAAGTTTTTTCTTTTCTAGCCACCACCATGTATAATACAATTTTAGCTTATATTAAAAGGTTTACTTAACGGATTTTTATTAAAAATTACCCCATTTGTAAAATAATTTTTTGAATTTTAACAATCTTATAAGAAATTCATATTTATTTCATTATTTATAATAGCCATAACAAAACCACTAAAAATTGATTGACAACGACACTAATTTTCATTCCCCATTGTCAACTCTCTGTATAAGATAACTATATTTTGTTCCGAAACCTTCCAATAAATTCGTCACATTTAACTGCGGTCATTTCAAAAAATAGTTCTTTGTTTCAAAATGTGTTATCAAAACATATTATGGCTCGAAGCTGTCAGATTATTTCAATATCGTCATAAATCTAGACAATAGCGATGTTGTTACTTTTGGCGACTGAAACTGTTCGGAATAGTTTGCAGATGACGGAATACAACGCTATTATCTTATGACATACAAAGTTCTGAGGAATTTTTTGAAGTGTACAACAAAGTTGTAGCCATCCGTCATGCCCGGTATCTTACGATCCCGATACGTTTAAAATTTAGGTTTCAGTTACATTTCTAATCAGTTAGTTACAATCAATGATTACTAGTAATCATTGTAACCAGCTGGTATTTCTGTCTCACATCTGGAAATCTCACCACGACGCAGGTTATGACATAATCGTCTTCTTTCTCATGTCATCAGCAACACTATTCCGATGCTTGTTGGACACGAAGTCGACCTATGGATCGTTTCATCATTTTGTATTCTTATTGTTACAAAAAAAGTTTTTTTTTTATTAAATGCTGGACCAATTTCTATGAAATTACCAGTGGTTAAAGGTTGCTGTTGTCGCTAGAACGTTTGCTTATTCCAAAAATTTCTGTGGGATCTATGGAGTTTGTTTTTCACTTTAAAATTTTTGTGTGCTGACGTTATTGAAAATCGCACCGTGTCGTTTCATAATCTCGTGGTCAGACTGACGGTACTGTGAAAGATTTGATGATTATTTGTTTTGGCCTCAGTGTGTATATTTCAGCATTGCTCTCTTGTTTTATGAAGTTTAATCTTGGAAAATCCAAGCGTAACTCCACATTGTCATGCAATAGCGCTAAATTGTATATAAAAAATGACAAGTTAGAGGGGTTAGTGGAGAATGCAAAATAAGGCTAAAATAATTCATTCCTAACCCTACGGCAAATTGTAGGAGGGCAATTATATTTCATTTACATCTTATTGAGATCAACAGCCCAACTGTCGAACTGACTAAGCAGGAGATAAAAACGAAGCGTTATTGATGGGTGATCATTTTGCCAAATTGTTGTTGCTAGTCATGTTTTTGTTGTGCCTAACTGTTGCTGCTGTGATCAATTCAATTTCAAACTTTATTCGGTGCTTTTTATCCTTTCATTACTAGGCGTCCATGCGGGGCCCGACATTTTGCCCCAAGTTTAGCAAATATCTCCAACTCCCTGTAACTTTATATAACGCAAACTAAAAAGGCATGCGATACACAATTTTCTTTTCTTGATACTATCATCATACTGCGTCCGATTACAGAAGCTTCTTCACTTCGTTATACCCAGTGGTGGTTGGATTCAAAATTATAAAACTGTTCCCATTTTGTATCGACCTCATTAACATCAGATTTCATCATATCAGAGAATATGTAATTGTATGTCACCTAACTGCGTAAGCCGGATTATCATGACACGCTCCACACCAGGGTGGTCCAAGATTGTCCGCTTCGGGGACATTGAAAAAACATTGATCCTTATTTGTCAATTATCCAACGAAAACATGCAAAACACCAAAAAACTCAATAAAACGTGCAAAAAGTCTTTCTACATCTACATTTAGGATCTCAAACTCTTCACAACAGAGAAAGTGCTTCGGCAAATGTAAGTTATCTCGAGCATCTATAAGATCCTCATGGCAAAATCCATTAACTTTGGAAAATTCTCATTGCTCACCAGATTCTCGTTTTAAATTATATTCTTTTGTCATTCATACAACTTGCCGACATATCAAGCAAGCATTGTAGTATTTTCCATCCCATATCCAGTTAAAAATCCATTTGAATTAGTCAGCTTTCTTCTCAAACTCATGTTTACAAAATAGTTATCACAAATAACTGCAGATTGATTGATTACCAAATGTGAGGTACTGACATATAGGCATCATTTTTGTAATACTGTTTCGGCTGATTAATCTTAGGCTATAACAGAGGTGGCCAACACGTCGATCGCGATCGACCGGTCGATCGCCATATCTCGAGCAGTCGATCGCGTCTGATGTGAATTTTATTGAAATGACCCGCAAAATTGTCCCAAACCAGTTGTGTGTTTTGCAATAAGGGAAGGGGAATACAGTACAGCAAGCCCGATAAAGCATATTATTACGTAACAAATGCAAGTTTTTCCGCTGCCAAAGTTTAAAAATGAAGTGCCGAATATCACGTGTCTAGACCAGGCTTGCCATATTGTTTTTTTTAACGTCAAATTTCACGATTTGGGCTTTTTTGAAACACGTTTGGCGTCAGAATTTCCGTTTGGCTTTTTTATGTCCATTCTACTGTCTATTAATAAACTAATTTAAAATACAATACAGGTATTTATTGTGCAACAATAGCAAGCTTAGTTACTCAACATTTAGTTTTTTCCTTAACCACAATCAATCAAAAATAAGCCAACAATGACATGCATGTGCTATCGATTAGGTTGAACTATGAGGAAGTCTGACCTTGGTCAAACGTTACATAAATATATTTGTGTTGGTGTGCAGCAAGACTATTGAATCACTTAGATTTAGAATGACATAACAATTGCAGTTTTTGCAGCCGCTCAGATAGATGTTCAAGCAGCTTCGTTTTCTTAGTTTTGCGTGATTATCTAGGCTAAAATCATCTATCAGTAGACTATCTGTGCAAGCGGCACGTGGTTGAATAATTTTAGCAAAAATGATGCCTTCAAACATGTGAACCAGTTTATAACCGCCAACACTTCAGAACAATCATAAAATAATTTTCAATAGTAAAATATCGGGAGAATTTTCTGAGGTATATTTATATATCGCAATTTTAAGTAGAAACATGTACATTTATCCATCCTAAAGCTGTATACGTGGTGTATTTTGACTTTTTGATGTTTTCAGATTTTATATGCAGATGTCAGCTTGACTGTATCATGTCGGGTATACATTCTAATTCTGCCATTTAATAATCCTTCTTAGTTGTAAACACCCTTGATCGTGCCGAAGTGAAAATCGTCATGATAGCAACCAAAACTACAAATGTTAGTATAGGATTTAGCATTGATGTGCTGGCTCACTAAATCAACTGATGGCTCTAAATCAGCATATTTGCGAACTGTGCAAATCCACAATTGTGCTAGGAGTCCTAAATCATGAGGCTGTTGTACTTGTTGACTCTTTCTGTCTTAATTTGGCTTTTTTTCATCACTGGGATCTGGCAACCCTGGTCTAGAGTCTAGACTAGACTGACAAACGATTCTACAATAACTTCCGCAGTATGCGAAAGTTATCGTCTCACTCCAAGAGTAGTTTGATAAATTTTATTCGCAATGGTAACAGTGGCATCAAAATGCCCAATTTGTTCTAATTCTGAGCAAGCGAAGAATCGCGTTTGGAAAAAATTGTGAATTAGATACTGAAGTTTGAGCAGTCATGTAACATTCATGGTTTGAGAATATTTATTTTTTGCTGTTTGGATAATACTTGGCTTAATTAAGGTTTCTTGAAGAATTTTCAACACTTACGACTAAAAATTAGGCACGGTCTTTATCTGAATTGTATGATTTAAATAATTCCTAAATTAATAATGAAACATTTACATTTACAATTAAATATTCAAATCAACAATTTGAATGGAACATAAAAAATACAAATTGTGTGTCGATTTTGCGAATTTTTTGTATGCATCTGCACATTCAGTGTCCATTCGTTTTTGTGTAGGACCCCATTACCGATCAGTCGATCGCGATCTATTTTGAAGATTTTAGTCGATCGCGGTCGGAAGTAGGTTTGCCGCACCTGGATTATAACATTGATATTTAGTTATCATGCATACGCCAACCTAGGCTAATAGAGTTTGCATTCGATTGGCCCGCGGGTCTTGGTTTGGACCACCATGCCCCACCCAAATCGAATACATAACGAGCAAAACGCCAAACATAACACTAATCGTCAGCTGCGGTGCGCGCGGCTCATTTGTCGCGGCCCTGTAATGTCCAAAACAAACAAAAAACAAGAACGGGCGCGTATTGCCACACAATGAAGGTATGTATATGTAAAGCAAACTGCAAAGAAGACAATTTCAGTTGATGTTTGATCAGAAGTTAGCAAAGTATGAGCTTGTTTTGACACTACTGTGTACTGTACTCATATATATACTGTTATTGAATGAATTTTAATTTAATGAATACACGACTGTCTATGTACTGTTCAACATATCCAATGAATGACCTTTAGCATAATGACCTCTTGTTTGAAAATGATAAAGCACTTGTCCCCATAAAGTTGTTTGCTTTGAGTATCATTGATGTTTACTTCGTACTAGTTTTAACTTTCTGATATAGGGTACAACGATTTTCATTGGTTTCTGCAATATACCACAGATATGTACTGCCTGAAAATCTATAACACCAGTGCGAGTAATTCCATTAATAAGTCGTTATTCGAGTGTTGCAATTCCAGGTGTACGCAGAAAGCTGATGCAGATGTGTGGATTGGACATAGTTTATTTGGGGAATTATGATTTGACTTGTCAAATTGAATTATGTAGCATTTAGTGAATAAAGCTCTCATCGATTGCGCTGAACGGAACGCATATTCAACATGTCATGTTTTTAGGATGTCAAAACTTAATTATTCAAATTCAATCAATGTTTTTATATCCTTTCAAGATCTCAGAACGGTACGGGAGGAAAAAAAATCAATTATTTTTTATTATGAAACCAGATCAAACTGTCAGGGTATGATAAAAGAGAGGTCAATCAACAATGCATAATTTCTTGACGGATGAAGAAAGCTCGTATAATCTGTAAAAGCAACTTTTGTAAAAATTGTTTTAGACAGCTGAGTGATCTGAAACAAGTCTAAATACATATTCTACTGTGATTTTGTGTTATGCAATTGCAGATTTGTAACCATTCTGTTTTCTTTATCTTACCGGAATTTGGGTGGATCCTTCATCACTTTTAGTGAATATAAAAAACATACTCAGTGTGAAAAACTAACCATTTTGAACAGTTGTAACAGGAAACAAGAATAATGTCTCAAAAATTTGTGAGATTGAATACCGGCCACAATATGCCTCTTGCAGCATTTGGAACTTGGAATGTAGGTTTGAATTGCATATATTTTTTAAAGTTTCGCATCGTTCGTTTTTACATACGCTGCGTATCCAACAAAGTCTTACATGTGGAGCATATCAAGTGCTTGAGGATTTAGAATTTCAAGGTGTTATGTTTATATCTACCTTCAAAATTCATTCTATTTGATTCATGATTCTTGCTGCACACTGACACAAATATGTTTCCGCAACGTTGTCTCTATTGGTCTAATAAGTTCTAAACTAAAGTATAAGCATCAACGTTTTTTTATTGAAACACACTCCTATATATGTAAATTATTTAGTTGTTTTGTTTTCTGTTGCTTTTTATTTTATATGATTCCTGGACATACTTTTTTAAAATTTTCACTGTTTATCTTCTTTCGCTTTTCTTTACCTAAATCTACCTTTCACTCTTCAATCTACTAACAGATCGGAAGCATGGACGTTGGCTCGGCAATCAAACAGGCGATAGAAGTCGGATATCGACATATTGATACATCATGGATGTATGGCAATGAGAAAGAAATTGGAAGTACCCTACAGGAATTGTATGATGAGTCAAAACTTCGCAGAAAAGATTTATTCATCACAAGTAAAGTAAGAGCTCACGTTTTGCAGCCAGAAAAAGCTGCTCAACTCTTAATTTCATCTTTTTTATTTAGTTATCTCAATATTTTCACGATAAACAAGAAGTGAGAAATGGATTAATGGAAAGTTTGAAAGATTTACAAACTGACTACCTTGACTTGTTTTTAATGCACAATCCATGTGCCTACGAGGTAGGTGGAGGGTTATCATCAGCGACCATCTTTACTACTCGCACAAATTTTTAACACTGCTTTTAGCATTATAACTCATCATCACAAATGTCATTTTATTACTACTTCTTATTTTACTCTTCCTGGTCCTTTTTTTCTTTTTCACATCACTGGACACAAAGTAGATCTATACATCGTTTTCCAAAATGTTGTTCTTGTTGAGGTTGCTTTTGCTGCAACTAATGAATCAATCGAATTCAAAATTTTGGTATAGCTTTTATTTTCTCAAATTTTTTTTTATTGCTATGGCGTCTTATATTTTACCGTAAATTTGTCAAAGTTTGCGTATATTGCACCACTACGTATCATTCTGACAGGTTAAACTAGCAACCTTTTATGCACTCTGCGATCGGCTGAAAAGTTAGCAGTAACAATATAAATTGCTACAGCGGAAACGAAGAATCGCCGAATTTGAGCCTTATATTAGTCATTCTACTTTCGTGTCCATATATTTGAGCCATTTTTCTGCCATTTAACAACCTTTTTTTTCTATTCAAACCTTTCCTTCACTTTCTGTACGAATATGTTGATACAAATTTCATTTTTCAGAAGGGCGAAGTACCAAAGCCAGGACAGCTGGATTTTGTTCATAATAATGAAGTGCATTATCTTGATACGTGGAAGGTGGCGTTTTTTTTCTTTTTAGTTTTGCTTTTTATTGACATGTAGTAGTGTATGCGATAATTTTGAAATATATTTAAAAGGAAATGGAAAAATTACAAAAGGAAGGATTAGTTTGTAGCATTGGTGTCTCCAACTGCAATGAATACCAAATCAATAAAGTAATCAATGAAAGTTCAACGATTCCAGCCGTTCATCAAACCGAATCGTATCCTTATTTGACAGAAGAAAGTCATGCGCAGTTTTGTTCAAAAAATGGAATTGTAATGGAAGCTTACGCTGTTTTAGGATCACCTGGAAGATTCTGGTTAGGAATTACTTTATTAAATTATTAAATTTAGCTATCATTATAGCACATCAAATTCTTCTTGCTGCTCAGGGCACCCAAAGATGATGAAGACGTTCTTGCAGACAAAGTTTTACGAGACATTGCTAGTAAATATGAAAGAACTACAGCGCAAATTGCAATCAGATTTCAGATTCAACGAGGGGTTGGTGCAGTTGCTAAAAGTGCGAATCCTGACAGAATAAGAACCAATTTCAAAGTGAGAATATTCATTGTACATACGCCTTGTTTTATCACAAACATGTGGAATTTGTTACGTAACTCAATTGCCAAATTTCCGAAAATTCTAAAGGTTTTCATCAAATCGGAAGAAAGTTTAAATAGTTCATATTATACAAATAGAGTTTATAATCCACATACTCGAATAAAATATATTTTCAGGTATTCGATTTTACAATGTCTGTAGAGGATATGAATGCAATCTATGCATTAAACAAAAATTTAAGAAGATTTGCAATGGAGTGGTGAGGATATTAAAAAAATTTCTCATTCATTATTATGCGAAACAAAATAAAATTTTAGTTTATACCATCAGGAACAAAGGGCACAAATATTGGGCGCATCAGGAAAATTACACGGAAGACTGAAATGACAATGAAATCTTCGAAAAAAAGATTCCACGTCATCTTTATCAAAGGTTTCTCGAAAAATGATAGGGACTAAGATTTTATCCGAGAGTTGAAATGATGAACAATGACGTGGCATATTATGCTAATACATATACTGAGTTTCATGAAAAAAATTGCTTTTAGTTGTTAGTTCTGTTTTGATGCTATTTCAGCAAACGGCCTACGTAAGATGATTATATAAAAATGTAGATATTGTGACTTTTTATTCCAGTACAAAGTTTTACGTTAGTATGATGTAGGCTATTTTAGATGGCCATATTTGGTGCGTCACGAAAAGATTAAATTCTTTTGAAGACATTTGAAATTTTCAAGTTGGCGCATTAGCAAATTTTCAATTCGTCACAGATGCCAGTTTAGCTATCCGGAAGGCTTCATCGGATAAACCGATAAAATTAGAAGTAATACCGGACATATTCGTACACCTTGGTTTTTAATAACTTAGCTTTAATGTGTGAGTGCTGGATAAATTTTTAGTAATTTGAAAACTAAATTGAAACACTTATCAGAAATATCATTTTGTTGGGAAAAAATCAGCGTTCAGGAATATGTTAGGATTGTTTTTTCGAAACTTGACATTGAAAATTTTGTTTAAACATTTTGCAATAAATAGCGCTAAAAACTTTATATATCTATATATCAAACTTGGCTATAAAAGTCAAAATAAATAAACACTAGGTAGAAACTTCTAGATATCATCTTGAGATGGAACAAATTATTGAAGAGCCCGCGTCTCTATTTTCGGGTTATCGTGGTGCCATCTTAAATGGCGATATCACGACCCGCAGTTGATGCGTTGTAATGCCGTCGGGAGCAAACTCGTTTATATTTTTCCCTCCTTTTTTTTCTATAAAATTGCTGAAAAACTGGTTTTCTTTTTTCTCTACTAAGTTTTATAATCTAAAAATCGTCAATTTTTATTCTCTCTGCATGAATCAGGTAATTCGTTTAAGTTTTGAATATATATATATTATATATATGCGTTGTCAGTGCAAATCATCAAAATAGGTAACGACAGCCAAACACCCCTTACTCTATTCAATAAATCTAAAATAAACAATATTATTTTTTTTTTCCAATTGGTCATGATTTTTAGGCGGTTTCATTTGTAGGCTGGAATGTGCCGTCATATTTTGTTTCAATGGTTGACATTCGCAATACTATGTTTGGCAGAATTATTTCAGCTTTTGGAGAATATAATTGCGTTCCTGCCATCAGCTTAATTTTTTTAATCCTTGAAATATGTAAAGATGACATACGGGTATAAACTCAAAAACAAAACAATAGCGCCAAAGTTGTAATAAATGGCATTTTTCAAAATTTTGGAACTCATTTAAACTGACAGGACGAGAAGTTAGTATTAGGTATGAACTGAAGGACCAGGTTCGTATATAAAATCCAATAGAAGTAATGAAAATATTATAAAGGTCAATGTTGTCATCTTTATGCGTTGGCTATGACGTGGATTGAATTAACGGCGTTTTATTGAAAATGCTAGTTATTCTGAGTGGCACGATACAACGACCGTAAATATTAAATTTGGAGCTATGAAAATGTTAATCATTTGTTTTATATAATCGACTCGCCCATTTTAGATTTTAATAAATGTATAGCCTCGATCTCCAACAGTTTGAACTGCGCATTACTACCGTGTTTCCCCGAAAATAAGACTGGGTCGTATTTCAATTTTCTTCAGAAAAATAGGACTTATTTTCGGGGGATGTCTTATATTTTATCAAAAAATAAATTACAAAGTAGAGAATTACGATATTTTCAAATATACAAAATATGAAAACCGATATCCATTTATTTTCCACGTTTTTGTTCAAAATAACTGCAAAACATAGATTATCAACCATTTAAAACCTCTGGGACAGATTTCTTGCTATCGGCTCGGTCAAAAAAAAAATTTCGCGTTCTTCACTAGGTCTTATTTTAAGGGGAGGGTTTGTATTGATATCATTTTCATCTAAGGTCTAATTCTCGGGGAAACATGTTAACATGTCAGAATAAGTCATTGCAGAATTGATCAAGAAACAAAATAATAGCATAAAATATGTTTGCCAAATTTGCTAATTTATTGTGAGCCTTTTATATTCTAGCTGTCCTACATACCGTGTTCAGGATTTTTCTAAAATTTGGACTTGTGGTCAATATTTAAGTACAATAGAGCGGAAAAATCTTGCAATGGCATTCGGTTATCGTACAAAGACTGCCAGTACACAGAGATAGTGCATATTCTGAATTCATGTATTGGTATGATGACCTAGTTTACGTCGAAAGTATAAGCAATTCCAAGACAATACAGCGCAATCACGTCCGAGGAAAGGAATCTTCAAATTAAAATGCAATTAAAAGTACATCACGCTTAATTACCTCACCATTAAAATACTTTTACACGGTCAATTAACTCTTAAAACCGTGGGACATAATATTCTATTCAGAGAAGAAGATTATCATATCTGAATGGTGTTCATATCCGAATATTATAGCATTCAAGAATATATTTTGAAATGAGTTCGAATATTATAATCAGTTCTATTGCACTGAAAAATGATATAAGCCATTGCACTGCAAAAATGGTGCACATTATAAAAACAAGTTATATATATCATATCAATTCCATATATGTCTAATATGCAAAGTGAACATTGTTTATAATCCGTGTAGAAACGAAGTATTACCTATGTTGCGAATTTTTTGGAATAGGTTTAAAAATTTCCTTTTCAATATAACAATTCGTTTGACAGAGGCTTTTAGCATCATAGCGAATTTAGCGCAAGTTCAGATACCCACAATATAATGTATAATTCAATATGTTTAGGTTTAAGGTCCGAAATTGCCTGCATTCGATACTTTTCCTTTGGTAATGCTTCATATTTTATTGATAATCGGTGTTTTAGGCTCACCAGTTCATTGCTAAGCATTGCTTGACCTCAAAATACCACGGGTGGGTTTTGAAAGCTACTTGTACGACAATTTTGCATACTTATATCGTGTTGCTTCAATGCATTTTGAGTCTTTTGCGATTGTCGTACGGCACACACCTAAATCGAAGTAAAAACAACAAAACGGTAGCACAATTTGCAAATGTAATCTACCTATATCATCGTTGAACAACTCATGATTATTTTACCAAAACTGACACAAACATGCGAATTGATGCATTTTTTTTGTTTTTTTAAATTTAGGGAACATAACTTGACTCGAAGAAGATGACTTTATTGTCCAATTACCAATCATTATTTTAATACTAATGGGGTTTTCGACATAAAAAATAGATGTGAACTGTAAAATATGGATTAAGGTAGGCTATGTAAACAGATAACGTAATGACTTATAAGTAAATCTTATAAGTTTTACCAGTCTTTCTAAATTGGTTAACTTAAAAGGTTATCATATCTAACTATACATTATGAACTATGATATTCTAAACACCATGTACGACGTTGTACAAGACATTTGAAACCTCAATGGACAACTCATTCCATGCTTTAGGCGTCATACGATCTCGCAATACAACATATCGCATGTCAACAAGATAAACTACCTAAATTACAAACAAACTTTCAACATAGAAAGTTATCACACATGACAGATAGAAAAGGCAATGCTGAAATACACGGTTTAGCCATGGGCCAAAAAAGATAAAAGAAAAGTGATTTATGACCTTGCCACACTTTCTAAGAAAAGAATTTTCATTTACAATCGCCACCTTGACCCTTAGTTACTTCACAGCTGTTTATTATAAGTCCGTTAGAAAACGTTGTTATTGCAATACTTACTGTCATAATTTATTGTAGTCATTCCTATATCGCGGCGAAGATTTATAGTAAGAGAGTTAAAGATACAATAATAACTATTTCGAAAGACTTTAGGCACCCTCTCCATCTGTTTATCACATGTGTTTTCATCTAAAAATGTGTTTGGAGCATGTTAGGAACTTCAGAATAAAGTCGTGAAAACACAAAGTGTTACTTTATCACTTATATAAAAAAAAACGATGCTATATTTTTACACACACCTCGACTTTTATACATTTGCTTAGAGAACAAGCGCAAATAATGATATTCATATTTGGGGAATGAACTGCTCAAAATTTACTTGCCAAGAACGACTCATACTAAATACAATATTTATAAAATTTGCTGTGTATGAAGACGCATTAGTTTATAACTGTTTAAAATTTTCAAAATACCAGTAAAATAGTTGTGTAACATTGTTAGCGTAGCAATAATATATATTTGATATTTTCATGGTTTAAGTGTCTGTAGAAAATTTATTTTGAAAACTTCATAAAAGTGACAAATAAATTTTTGTAACCTAATAAAAAAGAAGATGAACCACAAATTCAATAAAGATTCAATAGGGATGTTCATACAAATATCTCTAATTACCAGTCACTGAACAATATTTTGCTTATAAAAATATAGAAAATATTTAAAAGAAAAAGTAGGTATATATGGTCATCTATTGTTCACTATTGTCATTTACTTCGTTTTATTTCGTGTCATATTGCATAAACTTAATAGTTTCAATCCGGGCACTCACGCTTAATGGGACTATAATATTTCACTGAACCTTGGTGAACTCAAGAGATTTTAAATATTTATAAAAAACATCGAACTTATATAATTTGGCCTGCGCATTGTCATAATTTCGGGTGCGCTATTATAATTTTGGGCGCCAGAGGGGTTTTTGATTAATTTGTATATTTGGATAACGTTGTATCACGATGAAGAAAATAATGTCGTTTTGTAACAATCAGGTACAACAAAAGGAACTGATATAGATGATAAAAACTGATTGTTGAAAATTGCTTTGTCGGAAATGAACCATAGGTGGGTTGAGTTTTTCTCAGATGTCTTAAAATAATTTTTGCTAAAAAATACATTTTTATGTGTTTGCCTATTTTTAAAAAATTATAATACCTTTTTGTTAACAAATTGGATTGAACAATTTAAGGTTTTTAGTGTTTGTGTATTCGGTGATGCTTTTTTTAAATATCTTCTATTTCAATTACCTTTTCAATATGTATGTTTAAATGTATATTAAAAGGAAAAAAAATGCCAAACTTACATTAAATTCTTTTACAGCGACTATTATAAAGGCCGATCCTAGTTAAAATATACGGTAATACGAAAATCGCTTAATTGGTCGAAAACGGACACAACATGTCGTCATATTAATTTCGTCAACAGCGTTCAATTTTGTCATTTGCCAAACAAAATTGCACGGAGGAGGCGCCAATTGAAAATTCAGTATCCTGCTAAGGAGCGCACTTTGTAATTTTTTTATTATTTATTATAGATGAATATCTCCGTAATAAGAAAATTCGCATCGGTTCAGAAATTCAGGTGTACAATTTGCACGTATGAGAGATAGTTACGTCGAAGTAAAAGTGTAGCCTGAGGCGACTCGACTCTTTTGCATTAGCAATTCATATATAATTGGCATACACATTGCGAAACGAATTCATTATGTTGCGATGCTTAGTGAAAAATACTCGTTTCCTCAACTGGAAGCTTCTGGCGTTCCGGAACGATGCAAGAAGCGGGGTACAAGGGAAAAGTGATGCCAAATGCATAGATGCCTTGGCAAATAGATGCCACGGCACATGAAAAAATATCTAGACAGTGGAAGTGTAAAAAAATATCTGGGATATGAAATCGTGTAGCTATTCAGTACAAACTCGATTTTTAAATTTAGGGATTTATTTAGACAAATTCCATTTCCATGTAGAAACTAAAATCGTATTTGATTTACCAAGATAATTTTATATTTCCAATTTTAAGCGCTCCAGTAATCTTTTTTTACCCTGGAAATAATTTTGCTATGCGAAATAACAGAGCTATCAAAATTAAAACGAAAAATTACTAATTGTTTTTAAATTGAATCTAGCTAAATTATTTTGATGAATGTTCATTGATATAATTAGAAAATTTCGATTTCTTAGAGTTTTCACTTTAACTGTGCACTTGAATTAGCTTCCGAAAAAGTTGCGGTTTTTATTTTAATTATTAGATTGCTTAAAAATTGTTACATCAGGCAGACGACAAGATTTTTGACAATGATATGCTTTGTACACAGTTAATCAACAGATTGACTCCAGTAAATTGCATAGCGTAGGAAATGCTCCAGCGAAAAAAAAATTCACTAACGTGCTATTGTATTAGGAACTTTGAAATAATGTTTTTCTTTGTTCTATTTTGAAAACAGGTGCTGAAATAAAGCGTCCGTTAATATACTAATTACTAGCATTTTTTTTATAAAGTATAAAGTTCCAATCACGAGAAAGAAAATCAAAGCCGAACTTTCAGGTAAAATTCTATTTTATTATTTTAAAATAAAACCTAATTTAACATTGATATTTTTGCCTATCAGTTTTCTTAAAACAGTTTCGGTATCCCAAATTCTTGGCACAAAACATATGTGAAAGTACGAAAAACCTTTTTATGATAGAATTATACTCTTTAAATTTCCATTACATGAATAAATTTTTTCGTATATACTTAACTTAAAAATATATTGTTTTTTAAGAGAATAAATAATATATAAATAAAAAGATTAATATTGAAGTGATGACGCTGTTTTGATCGGCATTATCTAAGCACTTGAAAAGTTTTATTTTATTCCACTCGGCAAAACAAAATGCTTAATTAAAGTCTCCATAAACTCCATAAGTATGTATCAGGTCAAATTTACCGTCAAGGTGTATTTCTCAACTTGAATACGTTATTACATAGATAAAGGATGTTATTTTTTTCGTCAAAATGTGAATATTTTCAAATTATGAAAAAGGGAAAATATTTCTCTGATTACATGTCTGATGTAATTAGATTTTATCCGCTAAAGAATTTTTATAAAGCAATGTTTTGCTCATTAACACGATTAGATATGTTATAGGAAACGCACTAAATTCAAGATAACGAGAAAATGTATGAAAACTGTTTTTACTTATATAGGTAATGCTTCGTGGCAAAAGAAGATTAGCGCCATATTGCTACGCCGTGCAATATTTATTCGCCATTTTAACTTATTCTCTTTCATTATGCAATTCCGTCGTTTTACAATTTAATACAACCAGGAAGTCTCTATAATTCGACCATAAATTATTAAAAGTGTCTTTGCCTTTATTTGGCTGCCATAAGCATGAGGTAAAAACTTATCCATAAGTATAATAAAGTGTGACTCTTGTTTGAAATATAAATTATTTAAATTGTTTGATTAGCCTGGAACAAGGTAAAACGAAACGGGCGCGCTGTGAATTTTTACTTGTATTATTGCTCAAAAAAATTATTCGAAATTTTGATGCCTAAAGTATCCATGTTTAATGCATAGCACAGAATATAGAAATTTTCAATGATAATTTTATTGGAATAGGGAAAATTGAAAAATTAATTTCGCTTTTAAATTTGTACGCAAGTCTTTTAACGGTAAAATAATTCTATATTTAAGAATGTTTACCATAATAATGGCATGCTATATATTTTCGTCTTTATAAAAATTCCACCATTTATAACAACGAAATTTTAGTTCAACATTTTCCGATTTTATGACCACAACTGCTATACTTGTTCTTGTATGTCTGTAATTTTTCACAATTGAATTTCAATAATAATGCGCGTAAAAATTGGCGACCAAACAAATCATTAGCCAATAAGTTGTAAAATTAATTTGCTTGCAGATTACAAATTACATTTCAGTGCACAGCGACTAAATAAAAATCAATTTCGCCTTATTAAAACGTGTATTGAAACGTTTTAGGATCACTTCGGAAATGTTTGTATAAACAAAGTTGTTATTGCGCATAATGAATTGTAAACAAATAATAATACAATTTTATTAGTTGTTGTGTATCATATCTGGATAGGGACAAAACAATCTATTGTTATATATTTTGGTATCTGCTTCAGAGGACGGGGATTAACTGATTTGTTTTCTTTCTATTATATAATTAATTCTTTCAAACTTTTCAAATTTTATGAAAACTTGTTAGTGCTCCTGCATTTCTCACACGTTTATTTTCCCAGGCTCATGTTGGAGTGATAAAAACGAATCAAAAAATAGATTTAAAAATGACACGCAAATGAAAAGTTTCAAAAAATAAACGTAAACTCTGTTTAATATTTCGAATCTGACCTGAAAAAAAAATCAACAATACATTGTATTATCTGCCTTAACCACTTATCTCGCAAGTAGAATTAGCCATTTTTACACTCAGGGTCAAAACGTTCGAATCGTAAAAAACTCAAGGCCATTAGATAAGGAAGTTAGGTCAAGGTAATTTCAATTATGGTCAAAAAGGTCCTCGTAAAGATTTGACATACTGTTTATTTTACCACATAGAAAGACATCACTTTAAAAAGCTTAATTAGTAGTAGCTATAAACTATTTGAAGCATTTAAAGTTAATGGATTATTTTTCTTTGCTTGAAGCATGGCTAATGGATATTGATTGTGTCTTATAGTCACACCTATATAGGCACACCTATGGAAACAATTCAATAATCAGCGCGGTAAGGGTGAATACTACAAGAAATCGCAACTCAAAATTTCTAATCACTATTTTAGAAGTTTGACTTCTAGTTTGCGTGTTGCGTTCCAATTCACAAATTTCTAAAATGAGTTGAGAGGTCATATAATCAATCAAGTTTGATGTGCGAAAGTTTTTCAAAATAGATTAGGAACAAATTGGTTCGTAAGTTTTATTACTACTGTATTTCCGATTCGTTATTGATTGATTACAGATTAGAAATCCTTTGTCGAATATCAATGCGCAAAAATGTACTCTGATGATAACAACTTCTAAATATATCACTGAATGAAAGAGAACGACGATCGTGTACAGTCGAAATCTTAACATAACCAGTAAGAAGTATCGAAAATAAAAGATGCCCCCGTGGCATGTGCATCAAGATGGCGCACAACCTGAACGTAGTGTGTGTACCAGGTTAGGGTTATCAGGTTGTGCGCCATCTTGGTGCACATACTACGAAAGCGCCAAATAAAACATATACATATACTGCGCCCTGTAGAGTTTTGTGCGTATAATTTACTAACTTATGATGGACGAAAGTTCCCCCCAGGAAAAAATAACGTTCGTTAAAAATGACTTTCGGGTATTGTTCATTCTGTTAAATCATCAAAAAATGAAAAAGACTTGCCCTGTTATTATTCGCCGATAATCTTTCGTTATTAGTGAGACCACATTTTACAAAACAATAGTCCTTATCGAAACTTTTTCTGATGGAATGCAAATTGGATATCTAAAAGACCGATTACTCATTAAATAAATGAAATTCCACACGCATAAATGTCACGTCTTGGTCAATTTGAAAATACAAAGCAGTATAAAATTACCGAGTGGAATTTGGCTTTTACAAAATGACGCATCAAACGCAGATTAAACCTACAGCCACATATTCAAACCAGACATTTAATGACCGGTTGCCACGATGTTCGGACATTAAAAGACAAAATTGTTAGTTTAACAACATAAAATTAAAAGTTCCTTTCGATAATTGCCGATATTGGTAATATTAGGGGTTGTCGTATTTCAAATCTGTTGTAGCAAAGGAGATTTGAAATTCAAATATATCAAAATCTCCATTGAGTCATTTTACCATCAAAATTTATCATTCTAAAGTTTTCTCGGGATAATATATGCAATTTCACGTCATTTTTTTAACAGAAACTAATATACCTATTTGTCACATAATATTTTCGCAAAGTAAAAAAGTACGTAAATCTCTAAAACGTACTTTTATCAAATTTAATTTGACAATATTTATCACCAAAATTGTCCTCTAGAGATCTGCCTCCAGAGTTATCATGAAATGTCAAATATAAGTCCGATAGGTTAATCCGAGCTAAATAAAATGTCGAAAAAATGTTAAAAGCATCAAAATATGGCTACACAATATGATTGTAATAAAAATGGCGAATTAATAGCGGAAAAGCAAATAAGAACACAGTTGGCATTTTCTTATTTAACAAAAAACCATTGACAGCATTTTTGTACTTGCCTGGGGCCACGTCAATTATCTGTCGATTTATTTTTACACAAAGCGACAAAAAATTTTAAATTGTTGATTTTTGCCAAAAAAGATTCTCGATTCCTGTGATAATATCTATTGTATTCTAAGTGTAAGTCGATGTTATTTCAAACCATTTAACATGAAAAAATTGATTGGATTCTGATTGTAGTCACTCTATGAACAGTTGACATATAGCTTTGTTTTTTTTATTGAATTCTCTATAATTTTTCCAATAAAACCTCCAATGGCTTAGATTTAGAATCTTGAGTCTTAGTGTCATCTTGCGGATTATTATAACTGAATTTTTTTTTTTCAGAATGAAGCTGTTACTCGCAATTATTGGACTCGCTATTACAAGCGTCGTCTCCCAAGGTATGTTAATGGTTGTATTTTTCATTCAGGTTGAATTTCATAATGATTTTCTTAATATATTCAACTAAATATGCAAAATTACAGAAATCCTTGAGGTTACATGCGGCCAAGATGCCATCGTTGCTCGTTTCAACAAGCAGACCGCAGATGCCGCTGATTACAGCATGTCAGAGCTCCATTTCAACGACCCAGAATGTGGTTTTGATGAGGAATTAGATGGCTACTTCATAAAAAGAATGTCACCATTGAACGACTGTGGAACGAAAATTGTGGTATGTAAATCATCGTAAAAAATCGAGGATTTCTGCACATAAAAATTGTTCTGCCTACAACAATAATTTCAATTTTTTTTTTCCTGATTTTCCGATTTGTAATTTTTTGTTTATCATTTAATTGAGACACATTGAACAATCAGTATTACCCAAATTCAAGATATTTGGATAGACCTTTCCAAGTTTTGCTTTATATCTTATTTTATTCAATTCTATAATCAAATGAAATATTCATGTTTGCAGACTGACTAAAATGCCACCCACGTTTCGTTCAATAATTTACTCGTGTCGAATAAAAACGATTTTTTTCGTGCCAAATTCGTAAAATATTCATGGACCAATTTATAAAATGCCAGCAAGTGATGTTAAAAGTTCATCACTTTTGTTGTACTGTGCTACAAATATCTCGTTTTCGGTATATTCTTCCGATTTCGTCCGAAAATAATTTATATATCTAACTCATAATCGTCTACAGATATTTCGAATTAAAGTGTTGCTACGATGCTACCATTGCTTTTAGTTTAATCACATTTCTCTCAGCAGCCATTGTTGTCAACGGGATCTTGTTAAGGCCGAGGGAGGGAGACTGTTTGGTGTAATTTTATTGTCGCTTTTCAAACTTTTGAAGCGTGTAAAATGTTTACACGAGCAAGCTGACATTTTTTTTCTGTTTGCAAGTGTTCAAAATACATCTCTGATAACGTTTTGAAATCATTATAGTATTCCGATAATTTGAAGAGGAAAGGGGTCAATTTTATTCGAAAATCCTCAAATGTGGATATCATTGGGTAATCCTCGATAGTGTAGAAATGATGGACTCAGTAACTGCCCAGCAAAATAACAGCATATCCCACACCTGAAGCTAAAGCCGTGTTATGTCCGTCTCTACGTTCTGATTGGAACACGAATGATTGGAAATGGCGTCGATAATCGTGCTATTGTGGTGGGAGATCTTATCGTGTCGCAAGCCAGCGAGGCGCTTCTTGTGATATTTAGCAACATTTGAATGCCAAAATCGTAACTTATAAGCCAATTCGCGCGTCATTGCTCTTTATCGCCATCGTGCGCATTACAGTTTCAAAAACCTTTATTTCAAATTTCTCTTTAGGCCAACGACACCCACGCCGTTTTTGTCAACTCCATTTCTTCTGGAGACATTGAGACCGGATTAACCTTCCCTCATGGAATCATCGTTGGTCAACCAGAAAACACAGACCTGATCAGCGTTTCCTATGAATGCACCTACGAAATTGATTTGAGAGCCAGCGCCGCTTTCATCCCCAATATCACCGTACTGTGAGTAATATTCAGTTGTAATAATAAACCATTACCCGTTTTGATAAAATTTTTTTTTTGATTTCTACGCTGCAAAATACCATTTTCAAGTTTCTCAACGAATTATTTTAGTCTAGCAGACGACCTGTACGAGTCCTTAAATTTCATTTGTAACACCCCTGCTCTATCTCACTTGACTATTTAATGCTGTGGCTATGAAAACTTTTTCGAAAAACAAACAAAAACTTTTGCAAATATTCGGAGCTTTGGGGATTGCTCAGATCAACCAAAAATGATCGGCTTAATACCGTGGTGTAAACTGTAAATCACTTATGCTGCAATGCTAGGAAGTGCGTAGTTTCACTCCTACACACAGTTAAGCAATTTGAATGATTTTTTAAAAACCATTGACGTAAAAATGCCAATAATGTCTGGTTTTTCAATAATAGCGACTAATGCTTGTCATCGTGATCAAAACAAACTGAGTTGTAACTGCGGTGAAATATAATAGTTGATAAATGCTACACCAGTTCTGTTTGTTGCATGTGTATTATAATATTTATGCTTGAATGCAATATTGTGACGCACCTTATTTCCTCTATCTCGCGACCCTATAAATATTTTCCTATTAACACACAGCTGTATCTAATATATATATATATGAAATAGGGCAGGGTTTTTTACAAAGTGAAATATTTTTATCCGAACTATATCCAGCTAGACTATTCCCCATTACAGGAGGATCGAAATTCCCGACGCAATCGGAACTGGAGAATTCCAAGTTGCCATGGCCATTTACAGATCAGAAGCTTACAGAGAAATCTTGGAAGGAACTCCCACTCTTCAACCAGATGAGACCGTTTTCGTCGGTACGTATCTGCGTGGAGATAGAATTTCAAGATCGTTTTTATTTACAAAATGTGGCCTGGTCTATAAGCGTGGAAGCTAGCATTATGAGGCTGTAACTTTTTTCCGTTTGGTGATTGGTCAAGTTTCAGCATTTTTGACAAACAAAATAGTAGTTAAGTTCATAATATACTTACATACTCGCGCACTGATATAAATTGAAGCAAGCATGAAGCAACTTTTTCGCCTGTTGCGTTATTCTAAAGAAAATTCATGAAATTGCCGATTGTCTGCCAGTCGGGGATCAGGTGGACTGAATGGTATTGTGATATGTGTTTAAAGAAGTTGAACAAAATATTCGTATTTTAATGTGTTATCTCGTACATGCAATACAGTTAACATGTGCTATATTTGCATGTGGGAACACGATTTTTTTGTTCCATTCAACGTTAAATCCGTGAGAATGACTTTTACATCGTAATATTTCAGTAAATTATCATCAAACAAAACTGACTTCAAAATACAACAAAAATAAACTTGTACACGAACTACTAAATATTTATACTTTGTGTTCTTGGGAACAAGTTATATAATTTGAGTTCCTCCATGTTCTCGGGTATCCGGAATAAACAAAATACTCACATTGTAAATATTTGAATAAAGGAGTCACCTTCATTGGCGAAGACCCAAGCGAGGAATTGTACCTTCTTCTGAGAAGATGTTGGGCAACCGTATTTGAAGATCCGGAAAGTCTGCCAAGCTACGATCTCATTACTGACTCGTAAGTATTTTCCCTCGCTGCATTCCAGCACGCTAAGCAAACCGTCGTTTACAGTTTTTGCCTCGGTACCGTTGATGTTTAAGTCATTGCTCTATTTGTTTTTAATTCAAGTACATACATACTATATAATCTTTGCCTAGTGTATAACAGGTGTATATGGCAAACAATTATATTAGTTTGTATTTGTGCACTGCGACCAGATTTATCTCAATCAGACCTTCAGTTGAAAAATCAATCATTTTATATTAAAAAAGGCGCCCCCCGACTTATTTTCTTTTCTGTATATAATTGTGTTGATCATGAATAATTCAATTAACTTCTGATTAGCTCTCGATGCTTTGATAAAGCAATTGAACATTTAGAAACTGACTTATTAACAAATTGGCCGATAACCCGTATTATAACTGCTTTGTTAGTCGTTAAATTTTTTGAATAAAGCAAGAATTTCAAAAGAAAAATTTCGATGAAACATGATATATTTACCCGTTCACCCATGGTTAAGACTGTTATCAATCGGATACAAAGAACAGCGTGATTATGATTTGATTTACAGGTGCCCAACGGGTTAACAGATTTGTGATAGCCCGAGGGTAGTGACTTAAATTGGTGGTCTCGTTTTTTCTGATTAGAAGATTTCTAATATTAACCCTCAATACTCCGCGGATAATGAATGTTTTAATCATACCGAGATCTCCTACCAAAGCGTTACATTCATGCAACTTTATTTTTTGAATACATATAAACACATTAGATAGGAAAGATGTTTCACATTGATTTCCAATAATATTTTAGCGTCCACACAGACTCAGCTTATCATATTATCATATTGTGATCGCGATACAACAATATATTTTGAGTCGTCACTAAGTTAACAGAATATTTCAGTTTTATCAAAAACTTAGAATTTGACTTGCGATTTCGGAGCGTCTTATATCATAATTGATATATAACGTTGGCAAATTGCACACTGTAACGTGACAAACAATAAATGCTGAATGACGATGACGTGATGGTTGTTAACGAGTTAATGCGTTTCTTGTATTTTCGAATCAAAATGCGTGACGTTGCCCCGGGCTGTTGAAAAGTGGTGAGTGGTAATTAAAAGTGCGCCTAACTTTGTGATTGTCGGGCTAACAGTCTCCGCATTCCGATAAGTACGAGATGAGAGAAGGTACTGTTTACTGGAAGGCTGTGATTGTGTTTACAGATGCGCTGTCGACGGAGCGGTTGAAGACACCGTAAGAGTTACTCAGAACGGCATAAATCACCAAGCTCTATGGAGAACAGAGGTCTTCAAATTTGTTGGTAATGAAGATGAGTACAATACCGTCTGGCTTCATTGCGACATCACGATCTGCGTTGAAGGCACCTGTGAACCGGTAAGTTACTTTACCAAACTGACTAAATACGTACGTAGTTTCGGAATTTCATGATTTGACAACACATGTAATACTTTCAGGAATGTGGTGCCCGGCGTAAAAGACGTAGCAGTGGACAATTCATCGACAACAACGAGCACATCGTTACGGCCGGACCAATTAGCAGATTCCCAACTGTGCAGATTCACTTTACTGGTGGCAATACAGGAGAGGCTACTGTTATAATCAAGAACGAAACCATTTCGCACGAGAAATCCCGTGGTAAGTAGAAAAAACGTTCGCAGTTTCAGCGATCGGGTTGTTTGTTTCACAATTTTTGACACGTCACACCGCTTCGTATGTAACAGCACCTCCGGCAACGCTTCAGCATGTGCTAATCTTTTTGTTGAAGAATTGCAGGTGGTAGGTGTTCATACGACCTGGCAACATTCTCCCGTGACTCTATTAGTATTAAGAATATACTCCTCGTTCATCAGTATATATATTTAATCAATGTGGTGGTCTCTTAGGGACAAAACAGTTCCCAGTTGCTCCACTCTTTTATTGTTGAAACTTTTCAATTTTATTTCTTGAAGGGGAACCCCAAGACGGCATCACCGACCACAACCTTCTCATCATCATTGGAGTGTTCTCAGGTTTCTGCCTGTTGTGTCTCAGCATGGCCTTGATGATTGTGATGATGCGCCTCAAAAGGTCAAACGAGCGCTCTGGCGAAGTTACTGCCACCGGCACCATCAACAAAGGCTTCAGCATATAATTAGAATGAAGCGTGGTTTATCATGTCAGTTCATCACTCATTTCAAGAAAACTAGCTAATTATGTATATAGTCATCAATTGATATACTTATCATTCAAACGATAATATGTATTTGTACCGACAATTGTCGGATATTTCGACTGAATAGCATTCCCTGGACTTTGCTGAATGTGCTTAAAAGCTCACAAAAAGTGAAATAGATGTCTTGTCATAAAGTCGCGTTTCAGCTTTCGCTGATAATAAAGTATGAGAAGTGATTATGGGTTCGTGGATAATAGTTTGAAGGCTTTTGTTGAACTTTGTTCAAAAACGTGGTAATGTGGTTTTATGGACACTGCGGCTTTTCTTTGTAGCGCTTCTAACTGTTATAATGCTAAAAAATGATTTGATTAATCATGATGAAACGGTTTTGCAAACAAATGCCTTAATATCTTGAGCATAAGTGATTCGTGGACAGCATTTTTGTCCGACCGTTCCATTAATCCGGCAGCTTTGCCAACTTTTGCCATTTTGTTGTAACTTGTGTGTAAAACAGTTATTTGTTTAGTTTGTTTTTGTGTACTGCTTTGCCTTTTCGTTAAATTTTTTTGTACTTGTCTCGTACATCTCCTTTCCGCCTGAGGATGCACTTCATTACCAGTATGTACTAAAACGAGTGATGCTGAGCATTTACAATAAACTGGTTGAGTAGTAAATGTGATTTCACGTGGAACTTTTTTGGTGGTTGGGCGTGAGCTGATAGCTATCTTTATGGCGCCTCTAGCTGTTTTGCGCCATGTCAATGTGATCATAAACGTGGCATTGGCCCCGAGGGCAAGTCGGTATGTTCGGGAACAACGTCTCCATTCTACACTTGTTGAAATGTTTATCGGCTCGAGGAGGCGTGGCTGTTTCGCGAGCGGTCCCCAATCCCGAACTACGCTGCTGCTGCCAGGCCTGCTTCCTCAGCGAAAGACAAATTAGTCGAGATTGCGGAAAGAGGCAAAAGGCGTGCGAAAATACCACCCATACCTATAGCTAAAATTTATCGAACTGTGAGACCATGTCTAACAGACCTCTTCTGTTTAATTATGTTTGTTGGCCTGTTCACCCACATAATACATATCAGCAGTTTTAGACAAGTAAATTCTAAACTTCGTTCTGGGATGATTGTAGTCGGCTGTTTTATGGTGCGTTTCTCTATGCGAAACCTTATCACTGCCAAGCAAGATTTCTCTCGTATCGTGCCTTGGATATTTCAACTATTCTCAATTGTTGAAGTTAATTATGTCATAGCTTCGTGGTGAATTCCAAATGTAGGGCGTTGCTTTCAAAAACTTGAAAGTAATTAACAACGCCCTGTGGCGGTTTAGTCATACCAATGAGAACGCGCCAATAAAGAGCGCACTTACCAACAACAGAGCGATGTTCAAAGCGAAGCAGTAGTCTACCTTACAATTTACAGTACCGATACCGTTGAAAAACTTTGTCTTTCGCGTAGTATGGGAGTAGCACGAGAGAAGAACCGCTACAAATAGTTTTGATTAAATTTCAATAGGTCATCACATAAAATTTTGAAGTGAAAAACGAATCACATGGATCCTACAAAAAGTTATTAAAATAAATAAAATTGATAGCTATTTAGCAATAAATACAATCTTTAACCACTAGCAATTGATCCAGTAGTTAATGAGAAAAACGATCCATTGAGCCACTTCGTGTGACAACCATAATAATAACTAGCTCATGTTGAATGCCGTTATGGGACTAATTTGTGCTATGTGGACGTACGTACAGCGGCTCCTGATTCCTGCTTATCTAATGGTGCAAGCTGAAACTTCATACTGTTTGTAGTATATTTACTTCGGCACAAAGTCTTGTTCGAAAAACAGTGATAACTTCTAGTTTTGTTAGACCCATTTTTTGAGACATGATAACAACGCAATAATTAAATAACCAATAATGGCGTCTTTATCGAAGAGATGCTCCCATAATCACAAGAAGGTTGGGTAGTTAAAACAATCTTCACGTTGGTCTTCACTCTGTACACTGTACAGTATACAGCGAATGAAACTAATTAGGCTATTATGATACTTTGGCCTAAATAGTACAGGCAGAAAAATGCAGTTACCGGTATACTATTTTCTTTATTATTGTTCACCTGCGTAGCCCTCCGGAGAAAATTTTGCACAACAGTTGAATTTCTCATGAAGTTTGATATTGGAAAGAATATCTGTAAAATGGTCCAAAGACTGTTTATGACAAAAAAGTCAATTAAACTGGAAGTGGAGAGTCGCCTCCCCCCCCCCCCCCTTGAAATGTAAAACAAAAATCTGTATCACACGTAGCAATAGTTTGTAGACTGAACCGCTTTTTAGACCCTCAAGCCTCTTGAACCCCCATCCCCCCATCCCCCCCTCCCCCTTTATAAATTAATGGCTATGCCCCTGGTGCTATAAAAACGTTTTTTGGATTTAAAATAATTTTCAAGATAAGACATTTTTGAAAATGGTAGAAAATATTAAAGTTGTTCAATTCATGCTGATATTGACACGCTACAAGAGCAAAACGTTTGTGATTCTATATTTGCCAAGTGAGATAGATTTGTGGCCTATCCTATACTAAAGGATGAGTGTTCAATTTTTCTGTGGAAAATAAATATAAAGTGCGCATTTGCATGGTTTGAAGTAAGAAGTGCACGAATTTTAGATTACTGTCATTGGTTTCGGCCATACTCTTCACCGCATGTTTACCGTATTTCTTTAAATAAAGCTTAATTAATGCAACCCTTTACCGCCATCTTTCTTTTTTATACAATTCTCAGTGAAATTTTTTTCAACCAGTAAAAAATCAATCGAACACAAAAGTAGGGGGGAAATGAACACACTGCTTCCTCGAAGAATGGAAGTCTAACCTGGTTATGGAGAAGCGAAAACCAAGTCCCTAATATATATCTGATTGCATTTTTAAAGGTCGGTAATTTTAGTCTTAGAGTACTTTTAATAATATGGGGTGTATCATGTATGGCTTTGGCCAACCTGTCCACCAGCATTCTTATTAGCATATATAATACAATATTACCATATCAATACAGTTTATTACAGCATATTTATATTATTCACAAAAGGATCATATCTTATACTCTATTTCAAAACTTTATTCTAGTGGAACTCTGTGCTACAACATTGAGAAAAGTTTTGATTCCAAGTACAAAAAATTGATATGGATATTTTAACCTTTATTGACAAAAAATCGCCATGGTTATTATCTATGCATTCCTCGGGCAAATTAGAGTCGGAACATGTGAATGGTGCAGTACATAATCACTAACGGATCCAAGTATCGTTCTCCGAACAAGACCTTGTCCTCGGTTACCAAGCAAAATCATATCCACTCCTCTTTTCTTAGCTTCGGCAACAATTGGCGCGCCGATACCGTTATTATTCTCTGACAGAAGAACGAATTCGTGTGAAATCCCGTGTTTTTCACACTTTGCATTGTATTTAGCTTTTATCTCTTCGCTTTTTTTCTTTTCGTTTTCCATGAATTGACTTGCCACTGCTGGTGACGGGTTTATTCCTCCTGGAGGGTCGTATATTGCCCCAGTGTATGTATAATCTAATGGGTAGACCATATTCGTGACATGAACCAGAAATACTTTGTTTCTTGGTTTATGAATACAAGAAACATAATAATTGAAAGCTTGGTAGGCATTTTTGCTTCCATCTACACATAACAAAACTTGAAATGCATTTTCCTCTGCTTCTTCTAAAGTCGGTTCGTTCATTTTTCTTCAAATATAACAATTCAGAATACTTTTCACTATACTGTTCTAGCAATATTTCAATAAAAAATATTTGAGTAATCTAGTCTGCAGGAAGAGGTTGTTATATTATATTATGATGTCCTTATTTTCTAGTATAGGCTATATGATATTTGTACCCCTACATTGCACCCTGGGTTTAATGAGCCAGTACTAGTTTTTCAATTTCTCACTTTCTGGATTTTATCGCCAAAACAACTCACGTGTCGGTGTCTTAATTGCTGAATGTTGACAAGTCAACAACTATCGCAACATACCTTATTGATACACTTAAAAAGCTTGAGTTCTTTTCGGCCCCTTCGACTACAAATGCTACAAAGATACGTACGTATCCCCAATTCAAATCCATAAAACGTGCTCAAGGAAGCCGATGAATGGGGTTTGTGTGCACTGCGCTTCAAGTAAACATGTCGTACAAATTGTAAGTCCGGTATCTAAACAAGATATATTACTTGCTTCTTTGTTGTTGTGATTAAAACTTTACAAACATTCCATTCAATTCAAATTTATTCACCTATCATAACTATACTTTTGGGTTTCTGAGCATTTGTATATGTGCCGTATATATGGTATAATTCTAAGAACTGACAAAGTTTCAAATATCTAGCAAATGCAATTGAGGCCTAAATTGTCGGATTTTCTACAGTTTATCTTTGTGTCCACTTGCGTCGTTATGTTGACCGTTTCCTTCTGTCAGAGTATTTTTAGGAGTAGTTGAATAATGTAAAAGTCGATATGCAAAAATAATTGATGAAGTTACAATTGCGAAAATAAATTAATTCGCGATATGCGCGATGTCTTGGCGTCGTTAGACTGCATTTTTACCCGTTGCATTTGATGATCTATCTATACCTCAAATTAACTCATGTTTTATAAAGTTTACAACAGTAGGACTAGGACTAAACCGTCTCCATTATATATATCCTTCATTAACGCAGAATTTTACTTGCGATGAAAACTGCTTCAAATACAAATAAGATGTACTGCAGATTTTCAATTTGTAGTTCGTTTTATAGCATGCTTGTTTGTTTTCCGAAGAAAAGGAAAATAATAGGAAAAAAGTGAAATATATTAGGAAAACAACACCCTAAATTAGCGGTGACAAAACGCCCATTTCAAAAAGCCAATCGGCATGCAATTTGTAAACAGTATTTTTGTTTTCAATTGGTACATATAGCCCGGGGAAATAATAATCAAATCAGGCTGAAATGTTTTCACTTCGAGCTGTATAAGCGTAGTGCGGTTGGTCACGTACGCCGGTAAAATGGGCATAAAACTACCTTGCCAACTTCAAGAGATCTTTTTAGATCAATATATTTTCAGAATTAATTGATATATACTAGTTCATGTGTGGGAGCATGTCTACTTCAGTATATATATACATAATAATCAAAATCATATTGAAATGTTTTCACCTCTAACTTCATGGCGTTGTGCGGTTGGTCACGTACGCCGGTAAAATAGGCATAAAACTCCATTGCTAACTTGAAGTGATCATATTAAAATCTTGGATCAACAAGTTTCCAATAATAATTGATATATATATGTACTAGTTGATGGGTGGGAGCATTTCTACTTCAGTATAATATACTTTCTATATCGGTGATAAACTGCATCCATGGGCAAAGTACGGCCCGCGGGCCAAATTCAGTTCTGGCACGAGGACTATTGTTTTCCACTGTTGCTTTTGTAACCTGTATATATGTCATAAAATGTACCTTTTTACGTAATACTTACATTGCCCGCGAGTCTAAGTGGGAAACTTTTTTGGCCCCTGGTCTAAAAATCTTGCCCACCCATGTGTTAAAGCGCATTGTGTTGATATGTGCGATTGACGTATACCTTGATACGCTGGTTAGCGAGTGGGTGGGTAAGAGATCTGGTTTTAAAATTGAGCCTTGCTCATAAGGATAGAGTTCTAGTGAAGCCCACCATATTACATACAGTATAACACATTTTTAGCAATTCCAAAATGCTTGTCTATATGACCCTCATTGTTGCATATTATATATATATATATTGTATTTCCCAAAATACAATTGAAATAAAGTCAATTTTATTTTGGCCGTACACAACTCCCGATTCTCCTTCAGCTATACATTCAGTATTTTTGACGCGTTCGTGACTCTTAACAAAAATGTGGGTAGTCCAATCGTTTGCGAATCAATAACATGCATGTGTAACAAAATGTGCCGATAACCACTGGTTACAGCTGTAGCTGAAAACGAAATGTGAATGGCTATTAATGGATATATATCTGTTAATCGGATTACTATTCTAAACCGAGATAAAAATAATTAGGTGTTTAAACTGATCAGCAATTGGCTATTATTGGACACGAAATGTATACATACGCTTTGTTATTAGGTTGTTGTTGTTGGTGGTATTCTTCTTCTTGTTGTTATGAAAAAATAAATCTCATAAAAAATAAATCTCATCTAAAGCTACTGGATCAATTGCTTTGAAATTGTCAGTGGTTAAAGATTGCTAGAAGGCTTTACTTTTATTTATTTCGAAACTTCTCTGTGGGTTCTATGTGATTCGTTTTTAACTTGAAATTTTGTATGATGATCCCTTCAGTATTATTAAGAATTATTTGTAGCGGATTCGCGACCTCCCTCGTGCTACTCCCGTGCTACGCGAAATTCTGTAGTCGTTACCGTACAAGAGACAAGGTGAGATAAAGTACTGAATATATACTAATATATATGGTAAGGTAGGCTTCGTTAGGGCTTCCGTGCCCATATCCTTAATCATCGTTCTCTTGTATTTTATTTATATCATATTGGTTGTGCAGAAACGCAAATTGGGTAACCATAACCAGCCTGCGAAGTTTGCCTATCCAGTCAGCTGTTGTGGTGGCTAGGATGCCACTACGCATGCCTTCGGAAGCCTGTACTATCATCATCAAATCAATGTTTTTATCGGCTCAATCGATGGTTTCTCCGACATTCGTTTTACATTTATAACAAGTTAGTTTCGAGAACCGATTTTAAAAACCTCACACTGACAACGACTGATATGCGACTGGTTGCTGTTGTTTTGATATAAAATCCTGTACCGGCATGACATTGTGTAAGTTAAAAGGAGGAACATTTTTATATTTGAATGTATAAACCAAACCAAACTTTATGAACCAAATTCAAATAATCAGTATTCGTAAATTCCTAAATATTTAAAGATCTTCAGGGAAAGTTTTAAGGGGTATGACGGGCACCACTGACAGTAATCCACTGTTTTATAATATAAGACAATAACAATAAGTCCAACAAGCCACCCCTTCTCAGAAAATGACATTGGTTTCTTAGTTTACTTCTGTCAAACAGATTTTTATTCAGAAAAGTTTTTACACATGAAGAAAAAAGCAAGGCAAATTTTACAGCATAATTTTCAAGTCTTCATAAATAACATATAATACATGAAAGGCTTCTGGGGAAAATCATCAAAACAGTCAATATCTTTCCCGTGTCGAGTGAATAATGATACAATTATATATTGGAGGAACTCACAAACTTATAGTTAGTCATTGCTAATATTGATAACACAACTATTTCAGTAAGTTTTTGCAGATAAACGATATCCAGCATCGTCCGGCATTTTTCATAGCTAAATATTGGTTTTACAATCTGGTGAGGCAAGACCACCACACATACCAGGTGTAAAATTATGTAAGATATGCTCAAACTAGGCTTGCACGTAATTTACGGATTTACGGAATTACGTAATTATTTTGAGTTACGGAAGGGAAGTTACGAATTCCGTAAAGTCGTAATTATTGCATTGAAACGAGCTTTCTTCAAAGCAGTCAATTTCGTCGATTGCGAAAAATGAAAGCTCAACAAGTAGAAGTTAGAGTTCCGGTATTCGCAGCCGTTTTTCTCTCTCTTGTTACGTAGGTGAAGGAGGGCATGACGCGTGCCAATGTAAATTATTAACGTAGTTAAGGGGGAAGAACTGAGTAGGGCCGTTTGACGCCAACACACCTGGTTTTAACTTCTCCCGTAACTTAACCGTAGATAAGAGATAGAATTGCGTTGAAACCGATTGACGCTAACACACCTGGTTTTAACATCTCCCGTAACTTAACCGTAGGTAGGGGATAGAATTGCGTTAAGACCGTTTGACGCCAACACACCTGGTTTTAACTTCTCCCGTAACTTAACCGTAGATAAGGGATAGAATTGCGTTAAGACCGATTGACGCCAACACACCTGGTTTCAACTTCTCTCGCATCTTATCTAGCATGGCCATGGCCAATGTACATAATAACCGTAGATAGGGGGAAGAATTGTGTTAAGACCGATGGACGCTAACACGCCCGGTTTCAACTTCTTCGGGTGAAATGACTAATGAACGCAGGAGATCAATCTTTCAAACATGGTCTATCAAACATTTGTATCCATTTTACTTTTATTTAATATTTACTTGTTCCAGTTTTCCGTTACTTATGGTATATATGTTCCGTTTCTATTTCATTTTATAGTCACGCGTTTAAATAGTGGGAATTCCCCACCAAGTGTGGATTAGCAATGCTTAACCATTCTTTAATGTTAATATCAACACTTGATATATGAACATGGAATATCATACTGTTTTTGGCTGTTTTATTTCATACTTAGGGTATAAACAGGAAAATATCCATAACCTTTCAACACGACGATTTTGTGAAATTTAACGAAGAGCTTTCGCGACGAATTGGAACCAAATAAGCCAAAAGAGCGATTGATCACTCGCGCCAATACCTCGCCGTGATAATTAATGTCGCGCTTATCAAATAGCAATATGACGACAAAAGAGAGATTGCGTAATGAACCAACGCAACTTCGTCTTCTCGGCATCGGTAAAGCGATTGAGACGGCAGAGAAACAGCAAAACGACGGATTCCTCGCGGACCGCAAAAAAATTTAACTGCTATCATATATAATCAAATATGAGCCAGTGTGTTTATTCTGTGCGAGATCCATTTTCTATTACAAAATCTTGATGTTCTGTTAACGGTTTTATCGTTATATATCAGTCCGGACTTGGCCTTGCGCATGATGTTTTTCACAATTCCTCTCAATATTTCGGCCATGTATGATTAACTGTCTTACCAAATGCGGCAACTTATTTTGATTTATCGTCTACTTGAATACCACCGGCACTCGACCAAACTTGTGTCAATCTTGGCCGATAGGATCGCCGACTTGAGTTAGCAAATTAATGTCGTGAGTGTAAAATAAATGTCACAAAATGCATTGTTTTGCGATATAACTTTTGTATTTTCGGAGAAGGCATATCATATAAGTTCGATATTTAAACTATACTCAAATAAATAATATTTAATCTAAATTTATCGCAAATAATGTTTTGAACATTCAGTCCGCGAATGATTAAATGTAAAATGAAGCATGGTAATCGGAATATCGTCAATTAAGTCGACATCAATAATTATTATTATAAAATGCTAACAAGGCAGTAATGTCGGATAATGCAGAAGACGCCTGCAAAAACAAGTCTTCGTCGCGAGGAAATCGCAAGTATAATCAAATGAGTGAATACGCTCGTCGTTGGTTAATAAATTAGAAACCCTTAATTTTTATTCAGTACTAAGGTGGTTTTAAAAAACTATCGTTTCCATAAATAACCGTATACCAGTGTCGGTAATGATAAAATAAAATTGATCGCATAAAAATGGGACGGTTAATTTGCGAAGGTGATAAAGGAAATCAAAGCTAACACAAAAGATAAAAATCAGAATAAAATTAATTTGAATTCACTCCTTGATATTTGTCTTTAACATCTGCCGATGGCGTGTAGTACTGCCAAGAATATGAAAACCCAACTTCAATGTCCCATTCGGAAAAGAAGTGGATTCAATTGGTTGTTATGATAGGTTTAAATGCGTGGAAAAATATCACAATTACGGGGTCATTACGTAATTGATTTTGCCGTAATTACGGAATTGATTTTTGTCAATTACGTGCAAGCCTAGCTCAAACGGATATATCCGTGTCCGTCCAAACTTTTTAGCTTTTCTGTCTACAAGGGTGACTCTCGTCTACTTGAACCGAGTCTCGTTCGGGCGATAAAATAAAAACACCTCACTTTTACAAGAGTTCGTATACCGTATTTTTGTGTTATTACTTTTGTACAGACAAACGCATCGACTCTCTAAGAAATAACAGAAAGCTAAAGAACGTAATTTTTGTCCACCAATATCCTGCTCAAAGATACAAATAATATGTAGTGCGTAAAAATTTCCATTAAATGTGAACTGTGTGAATTTTTCATATTCGTCGCAGGAAACCCGGCAAAACACCTGGGATATGGTCGGGTATAGGTTACTACCCCCACTATCTGTGAGTGGCATTGCTACTGTATATAGAAATCAAAAGTAAATATTGTTTAAGCTTAAAGCTTCTCCAAAATAAGAGTTAAATTCAAGATTCGAACAATAGATCATATAGTAGAAGTTGTGTGAATGTGTTGATTGAGGAAATCTGAAGAATTGTTTGGAGCATGAAAGCTACACGAGTCGCTTTCGGTCATTTTTTCAAGCTGTATTTTTCTTATTTTTAGAAGATGCTTTCGGAATAACTTTGCGTGATATGTAGTAATCATATAATTCAACCAAATATCCCTGATCTCCATAGTGTTGCTTGTAACTTGGAAATTTCTCGTATGCCCATTGAAAAAAGTCTTTCAAATGATTGCCTGTTGTGAAATGGGTTTGTGATTGCGCTAAGAATCCTCCATATAGTCTGGAAAGATATCGTTGATCACCATACGTTTTTCTGTATGAAGGCTTTGTTTTGTATAACCAGGAGAAAAAATTCTTGAGTGTTTTCGTGCCAATTTTAACAGACGGAGCCGTAACGGTCGGATAAAAGTCTTTTGGTCTGCAAGTACCTGGCCGACCTCCTTTGACACCAAAACTGCGAACGGCCATAGATTCACCTGTATATAAGACAAAAGTGAGATTTGAAGCAAACCATGAGTTTTTTTTTTTTATAGAAAATCAGTAATACTCTATATCAGGGTGGTCCAAGGTTGCGAGGTTGGAGGGCCCGCAAAAACTTTTGAGGAGGTCTCGCGGGCTGCAGTCGGAGAAAACCCAAAAGTGATCAAAACATCGCGAGTTTACTCACTTGAAATATATTCAAGAATGAGAGTTCATCGCAGATATTACTTGAAAACACACAAAAAAAATGTGGTTTAACGTTGTTATGGGTAAGGAAATACATTTCCGCCCAGTTCACTTCGGTCACCTTCTTTCTACACTCATTGTATATATGATGATTTTTTTACTTGTAGCGTGAGCAAGCCTAGTGCTACCGTCGAAAAACAACCAAGTCCGTCTAAGTTGGGACCTCGGACCCAGATAAACAAAAACTGTATCGCGCGGCGCTAAGTCAGCTCTACGGTTCGTCACTGCTGTCACATGGTCAACGCTTGAAAATAGAGGAGTGTTTTGACTAAAATAAAGGCACAAAACGTCTCTTCAAATGAGGAGTTACTTGACGCGAGCTCATCTCATACAAATATCTGTCAATGGCTTAGTCTTCTAGAAACCGCAGGAGCAGAAAAAATTGAATTTACTTTTTATATATCCATGTGTAAAATAAGCTGTTTGGAAAGGTAAAATTATAGGTAATTTGCCCTGCATGTAAATAAGTCTTGTTGGCGTTCTTCTACTTTTTATAATTGCATTTTGTATTGCAAATAATTACAAATCAGTCTCACTTAGTGGGAATTCTTATGAAATTAAAAATTAATACATTACCTTTTTTAGCAATTTCTATTAGCATTTTCATTCCTAAATCTTGTCTCAGTAAGTTGTGACTTGTAATCAACACTTTTCCAATAAAATCACGAGGAATAAATCGAATCTAAAAGTAATATTTTAAATTAGAAACGAATCAAAGCGCTGTGGGAAATCGAGTATATTCTCATTATAAAACCATGACTTACCGTGACATTTGATAAAGGTGGTAAAATGATCGTGTTTCTCCAATCTCCCACTAAAGCAAAACCTTTTCCGTTGTAAGGCATATATTTTCTACGCCTTACGCCGACCTTTTTCATTGCGAAAACCTTCGGTAGAGATGCTCCTGTAACATAAATCAGATGTGAAATCATATGCAAAAATAGAGTATTTTGGAAACTCAATATTTAAGGAATTTAATAAAAGCGATTTGCTGTCGAATCAAATAATATATATCAGAAAAAAAAATAAATAAATTTGTAATTTCACTTTAGAAAAAAAATCAGCATTGTGCAAAGTGCGTAATCCAGAAAGTAGAAAATTCCATATATAGCCCATTCTCTACTTCTTGATCTTAGGAATCCTTCTTACAAAACGCACAAGCGTAAATACATAAAGCTTCTTATAAGCAATACTTTTTTTAAGCGAAGCGATAGAAACGCGAATTTCTAACGATCGAGTGATTGAAATCTATACGACTATACCCTCTCCATAATCACTGAAAGTTAAGAAGGAATAGGTGGAATAAAAGATGAGGAAGATGTGAGAAAAAGGGAACGGAACTAGTATAAACGAAAAACTTACTTGGAGCGAAGGGTCTTAAGTTCCTACAGAAACTTCCTTTTTGATCAACCATACGATGACCACCACCGACCGTCAGTATTGAAATTGGTCCTCTGTATTCGTTGTAGCTAATAATCTGTTGAAATGAACAAACAGTTCCTAAACAATATACACCATGTGATGAAAAACCGCTGGTAAGTTCTTGTGTCAATATAACTAACCTGAAACGGATTGCCTTGTATTGAAAGAGTGTGCGCGCTCGAAGAATCTGAGTTTAGGAGAGTCCACTCCTGCACTCCATCCAAAGGAATTTTGTGTCTGAAATATCAATACAAATGTTATCATCTACTAAAACTACATATAAATACACTGGTCAACACGACCAAGAAGAAGCATTTGTTGAAACTTGTAATTTGTGAAATTGAATATATATCATCAAATGATGATATTATCAATACCGGCTAAAATGAACGCGATATAGCTCAATGCCTGCCAAGTTATATATTTATATATGTATATTGTCGTTTTATCTCACTTATTTTTATGTATAAAACTGGGTCATTGGAACTGGAAAAGTTATTTTAATCAAATTTTTTTTTTTAAATAAATATTCCCAAAACTAATATAAATAATATTTTCAAACCTTCTTACTTATACATGCACTACTTACCCTATTGCACGTTTTGATATTGAAATAAACTTTTCTCTATTTAGCAAATTGTTGCTAGCTGCCTCAACCACAAATTTTCCAACAATAGATGTTTCCATAACATTTCTTAAATCTGTCATCTTCCTTGACCTAGTTGGTAACACTATAGGAGTGTTTTCTTCCAAGGTTGCACCAACAAACATTGACTTTCTATAATTTGATTTACTTGATCTGATAACTTCCAAATTTGCGAGAAGTCCGCGAAATCGGATGTGGCCAGTCAATGCCGAATTATGCATGGAAAGAGGGTTTGACTCAATCTGTAGAATAAATATCAGAATTCGTAATCAAAGTGCAGAAAGGGAAAACAACATAGGGTGGGCAATATCAGCAAAATTTAACGACTTACATCCTTTAGTATATTGTCAATTCGCACTACGAGAATGTAGAGAGATCGTGTATTCTCTATACAAGCCTTTCTCAAACTGTGTTCCGCGGAAGAGTGATCGAAATTGTGACTAAATTGGTTGTCATGGCGATCTCGGTCGTACTTTGGCGACTCTGGGTTGTAAATTTGTAAACTGGCGACAAATAGGCGAACAGGCCTTGTGTCAGCCTGGAAAGCATGTCGTTTTCTTTAACCGTTTGATATTGTCCACTGTCGTCCTAACTTTTCAATTGTCAAGTTTGCACCCATCAATTTTACCTTCTAATTTCTTGAGAGTTCCGCGAAGCGAAAAAAAAAGCGTAGATGTTCCGGGGCAAACATATTTGAGAAACGCTGCTCTATACAATCTCAATAAATTGCGTTAGCAATGTCATATATATATCGTGTTATCGAATGAAATATCGCCTTCAAATATTACTTGGCTCAATTTTGCAAAATGACTTATTAATATTTTATATATAGCTGAATCAACTAGTGTATTTTATGAATTTCTTTGTTATATTTTGCTTGGATATTTGTAAACTTTTAAAATTGTTGAAAAAAAAACGTCCAGCCGATTAGTTTTATTACACTGATGTAAATCCAAATTACCTTGTAATTTCCAGGCACGTCACATCGGATCAACCAATCAGCGGTCCCTCCTTGAGCAATGATTGTCTGTCCATGCTGAAGTTCTCGTGGATGCTCTAAATAAATTCCATCTCTAGCAATCTCATGTACTACACATGGAACTCCAGTTTCTGTTCTAGGAAGACTAATCTCCAATACATGTATCCCACCAGCGTTTGCCATTCTGATAAAAAAAATTTGGCTGATGAATACAATATTGCCACTAGTGTTGGTAAAGTCTTACTACAGCATTAAATCATTGCATGATAGAGCTACGTCGAATCAAAGTATTTATCATTCAACGTATCTTGTGGAATATCCGTTCTCGGCATTCATCACAACCAAAATGTTTAAAAAAGATAAGATTTTACAGATAGAAAAGGGCGGAAAATATATCACATAACGATATTGTTGCCATAAAATTTTTGCGTTTATTTCCCAGTTGTGTTTCGTTTTATATACGACAAATATACGAAGCAATATGAATTAAGACTGAAACGACTTAAAATCAGCCATGAGTCTGTTTAAAGAATAATAACTTTGACTCACTATTGTTCCTGATTCTCACTAAATAAACATCGGTACCGGTAAGGCCATAACTGAGCACCAGGGTTAGCGAAAAGAGCGGTGGACTACACTAGCCGGTCGGAATACCACGTGATGTCGCAATATACGTAACACCAGCGAAATCTATGCTGAATTATCGATCCCTAAAGGTCTCGGCAAAGATTTGAAATGTAGGTTGCGGTAAAAGGCAATTTAAAAAAAAAATACATTTCGTGTCCAATAATGCTAACAATTATCTCTACGAGATTCATGATTCATTTGTTATTGGCAATTTATTTTCCGTGATAAATATTTAAAATTATATGTCATTGGGTCCATAATCTTTTTGAAAAACAAAGATCTGCAAAAATAAACTTTATGCAGTAAAACTATGCATTATTTTTCACATTTTCGTTAAATCGTGTATACAAGCTTTTTACCTCAGGCAATAACTCACTAACTTCGCGTGCAAAGCGAATCTATTAACAAACGAACAATCAATTTCTCGATCTATTATAATTTTTCGTGTTAACTTTGATTGAAATTTTTTGATCACAAATATTCGATTTATTTTTATGCAATTTACTTATGGAACAGAATAATTCAAGTCGTTGGATCAATATGGTAAATTAATTCGTCAAATCGCTGATTATTTCTTTTTTTTGTTTTTGTTTACATACATTATTAATTGCAAACGATTTTTTTTTGCAGAATTACAATAAATACATGTTCTTCGAAATAGATTATCAAACCACATGATATGTTGTGGATAAAACAAAAATCCGATTTATGGAAAAAGAAATTTTTTATTATTAGAATTTTATAGTAATAATAAGAGTATATATTGGTTCCAGATTACTGAAATTTATTTTTTGTAATCCTGTTGCTCTAAAAATATTGGTGGTTGCTAAAGTCTGCTCTCAAAACCATTTTGGGTTTTTATTCTTTGTTTTTGAGGATTTGAATTATTATGTTAGTGTAATGTTACCGGATAAACACTTTTTTGGCGACTCAACAAATTATTCGCTTGTTTATCGCTTGATCAACATTTTTTTCTTCACGTTTATACCTGATATGAGACATCTCTGTCGATTTGCAAGTTTTGAGAGTGACACAAAGTCATCATTATCTTTTATAGTTTGATAACATCAGACTTTGTTTAAATTCACATATGAATATGCTGCTTTGAATACCAGTTGGGACCATGAACGACCAATTTCCAACTTTGATTGAACAAAATGATGTTGATGATATCGGCCACGCGGAAATGATTTGCTATTTCAAGAATTCGTAAACGACAAACAATTATTTAAAAACATACAATTATTTGAAACATAGAAATGGCAAGAAATATAACATAGAAATTTTTAGTTGATGGTTGTTTAATATAAGTCCATTGATAAATATACTAATAAATTTTAGTGATTGGATTTACAACGAACCTGAATCTCATTGTTTTTCCTGACTCTATCCGAATGCGGGGTTGGAGTTGACCATTTGTTGTAAAAAATTGCACGTGATTATCTTTCTTTGTTAACCAGTTTTCAAGTGTTTCCCCGCCGCGAAGTTCTTCAAGATTTCTGGAAAATATCACAATCATTAGTTTAAAATAATATGTTTATTCGATAAGGTTGGCTCATCAAAAGTAAATATGAGTATTTACTTATTTCATGGTTCTATTGATTTAAATTTAATCAAATTTCACATTATAATTACCGGGAACCATCATGCTCTAGTATCAGTTACTAGTAATCCATGGTTGCGCCTATAGAATGTTTTAAAAACACGAAAAAAGTTTCTTACCTGAATTTTCCAGCATCGCGTATCCTTTTCTGTATTCTCACAAATGAAAATCCGTCGTCTGCGGTTTTATACAACATGGTTGGTTGAAATAGAAGTTGAATTTCATGATCACAATTATTTGGACAAGAGTAGGAAGATATCGGGTTTGTTGTGACCGGATCTTCCACTACAATCATGCCAGACATTCCGCTCAATGTCTAGATAGGACGTAGTATTATGTTATATACAAAGAGATGTGGCAAAGTTGGGAACTTGAAAAGATATATGAGGATAGCATTTCATACTTATCACAATCAAAATGAAACCCAACAAGAGACTCATTCTATTCAGTATTTCAGTGCCGCAAAATCATCTTTGAACATACCCATCCCAACCAAATTTAAATGTGCAACGGTAGTCAGAGATGTATTGATCTGCGTTTATATGACGTTGCACTTGCTTCTTTTGGACGAGTCCAATCTAATTCGAAATGCAATCAATGGTGGGATTTGAGAGGATCGTATGGATTCTAGCGAACCCGTTCTTGGAATGTCTCTATGTGAGCGAGCCTGTTCTTATGTTGGACGTTCGATTACCACAGCTTACAACTAGTGTCTTATTGGGCGTTCAAAAAATTTATGTATCAGATTTATGTAAAGCGTGCCATGTTTAATGCACCTTATGTGGGACATACATATATTTTTAAAATGATGGAGCCCGTGTTTTTGAGTTAGGCACCCTTTTTTTATTTTTTATTTTTTTATTTAAAAAGTGAAATAAAAAGCACTTCGCAAAATAGCATTTCGTGCTGAACAATGGAAAATCTGTCACTAAAATGTTGTGAAAAAAACAAAACACTTCACACTATTCAATGAATATATATATATGCTCTTTGCACTATTCTATTGCAGTAAAATTGCACACACTTTACCAATTCGCTACAGCCATTTTTTGTCGTCATGGCGTGAACCTGCTTGTCAACAACTCGGTTGTGCTTTCAGTTTTGTTTGGATTCTCAGATTGGTAAGTATAGTATTTTGTAATGTGTTCAAAGTTTTCTTCCAGTTTGAATGATGAACCAATTTATGGCATTTCTAAATTTCACCTCATATAGTATGTTTTCACATGTAAATGGTACATTTTTTCTTCTGCAAAGATTTCGAATGTTGGTTCGATATTGTTCATTGAATGAGGAATAGGCACCCTATTCCTCATTAACATGCTTACAAGTCATGTTTTTATGCGATAGAGCAAAACTATGTTTTATATACCTGAAACATTGTAGATCCATGTACATTCGGATGATACCAGAAAGTCCCAGCTGGGTGTTTGCAACCAATCTTGAACTTGTAAGTCTTTATTTGACCTGGGTTCACTCGAATCATGGCATCGTTATCCTGAAAAATAATATTTTAAAATTGTTTTAACTGCATTTGCCATTGTTAACTATGACGTCAATCAAACATATTTTATTGAAGGCGATATCGAACAACAATAAAAGTTGAATAAAATAATAACCATATTATTTTTTATTAAAATTGTCTTATAAAGATTGAGTGGGATGTGATTTTTTAATGACAGTACGTCGGCCTAACTATTTTGATAGAGATACTTAATTATCTATTCTCATACTGCGAGAATTGGCCAAACACGTGGGTGTGTATATTCCAATGAGAGTAGTACAAAATAAATCAAAAATTAATTAAGTGATGAATGGTAGTTGACTCGATGCCATCGAAATAGGTCGAATTCGGAACAATTTAAGTAATTAATGTCAGAGCATCAAATACGCTTTTGTTGCGTGTTCATGGGCTTTTCATTACTCGACGTGATAGAAAAAAAATGAGCGTGTGAGATTTAGGCGGGGTCGGTTACAGACATCGTTACGGTTACATTGGATAAATAAGGGTCGAACCCGAATGATATCAGTAAAGTTAAACTTGATAGATTCCTCTACGCCAAATGAATGGCAACTAGAGCCAAGTACAAAGATAAAATATAGAAGAGGCCCCAATTCACCTCCTTGGTAGCGTACAGTCTTTGATTATATTGCAAACATTGCAATATGGAAAAAGATATTCTATTACCATTTTCCTATTAACGCAAAGTTCAGAAAGTCGTAGTTTAGAACGTCGTAGGAAGATTCTAAAATAATACCCTTGAGGGTTTATTTTGCATTCATATATAAATTATATAAAAAAAGATAAAATTTTCGAATTTTTTGCGTGATGGTTAGGTGATTCATACTTGTGATCTTTGACATCTTAACATTTTCAAATAATAATTTCCCAGCAATCACAGACCTGCATGACCTGCATTAAATGTTTCGTGTGCAAATACGGGCTCGATTCCAAAATTTCCAACATAGCAAAACGAAAATGAATAGATTTAATAGAGCAGATGTATGGTATATTTTAACGTGTAATTTATATCTGGTTTAAACTAATTCCCCACAAAACCAACCAATGGTAGGATATATGCCTAAGATTTGGGGTCCCTTAAAAACATAGAAGACCCATAAATGTAAACTTTTCCAAAACTCTTACTTGAAATGAAAACGTAAAACATCACATAAAAACACTACCACATACAAGAACTTTGCGTAAAATAACTGTCGTATTTAAATGCTACATATCTATACTAAATTAGTAAAAACTTAAAATATAATTTTCGGTCATTTTATTTCATAAAAAGACCGGTCTATTTTGTGGAAAATGCATACTATATGTAGTATAATCGAAATGTGTATTATTTTAAATACAACTGACAAGAATAAATAGTACAGCAATACATTCCGTGCATTTGTTGAGTCTTCAAAATGATTACTATATATGTCGAACAGTATAACACTAATATCTGAAATACGAGACATATGTATTGTCATCGGAATGCGCGTATCCATAACAAGAAAGCCCATATAGTAAACAATGCATCGCACAATTGATTAGTTGTTTCTGTGATTTGAACTAAAAATTATCATCGTAAACCAGAATTGGTTACCGACACTAAAATTGTTCTTTCGATACATCTTATTCATTTATTGTAGACTAGATTCCAATTAAATATTTTCGTCTCGCCTCTAGCTGATTATACACCACAAAAAAATTTACTCCGCAGGTTAAGTTTGCAGTAAATCTATTCAATATATAAATTATCTACGTAATGAATAACTCCAAACCGGATGTGCTCTGGCCAAAATTGATTTAATAACAGTTTCGAATGCTTTCAACATAAAGCATGTTCTTGTCAGGCGTGTTTTTGTCAAAAATCACATTCGACTTCTGTATATTTGATTGGTTGAAGATTCCTCGAAAAAATGTGGAATTGTGTATGATAATTAAATACCCAAATGATATCGTGACAAACTTTCATGGTCAATTTAAGATTTTCATTTCCTAAAACAATACAAATTTAAAATTACGAAGCAATGTCGGAAGATAGAAATATGAAGGTCGTTTTATAATTTGTGTCTCTGGGCCTTTTTGGTCAGGAATGCAAAAAAATTAAATTAGACTACTATTTGAAAAAAAAATTGATAATTTGAAATGAATTATTTGGAATTGAGATAATGAAGATATTACTGATGATTTAACAATAAAATATGTTTCATTTTGACGATACTCCCAGTGATAAATAATATATATATATTAAAATTGCATATGGTGACATCTCATCCAGCATTTAAGTGAAAACAGATTTAGAAACGTACATACACTATTCATATATGTACTTTTATTATAATTTTTATTTTGCAACTAGCCTATTTTATTGAAAGGATATATTGACATAACACGGACCGATGTTTAAGAAACAAGTGTATCTCATTAATGCGGATTTATAGCTTTATGAGGATTTACTAAGCTTGCATGCTTTGAAACGAAAGCAGCATAATAATATCTTATGTTCACAAATTACAAAAAAATATATTTTACAAGTTAACAAATACATTATTATTAACCATGCAATTTCAACTATTTTTTATTGCTTGTTACATGAACCGACAAATGTCCAGCAATTACGTTACCTTTTTACGTGAATGCGGAAAAATACCAAAATTAAACCGGAAGGGCCGAAAGATTGTGATCGTTATTGACAGGTGTGAAATTTGTCACGATTTTTCTAAATTGGGCTTTTGTTATTACCGAAACAATAATGTTTTCCGCTTTTTGACATTTGCAAAATAGAGAGATTTGGGTATTAATCTTTATTACGAAATCCGGGCGAGATTTAAAAAAATAGCATTCTCCAACACGACAACCCTAAATTTGATAACTGTTCGATACCAAACTAATTAAATCAACAATTATAGATTAGTAGATTTTATGGCAAGTTAGAATCAAATATTCCATGAAACGATTACTTCATATTATTAACCTTAAAAAAGTACTAAATACACCGACCGACCTCTGTTAAACTTAAAAAGTCCAGCCAAAACTAACACTGAAAATCGATATTTTAGTGACACTTGGCGCCAAATGTATACACAATATTTCCATGATATTATTATTATCAGCCGAGCCTAGGAAACGGCATGATTTTTACTTGAGATAATGATCCTTTGATTACGTAAATTGGCAATGGCAAGACGTATAGGAGCTATTATATATTTTTAAATTATTTTCAAAAAACCCAATAAAATTTTTGCATATACATTTCTCGCCATTGCTTGATAAACGTCTTCACTTTCATAATCGTGACGTCTTATTACGTTTATAGATCACGCACGGCATAAGACAAATGTACGGAGGTATATTATTATTGAAAGATCATTGATTATATGTTTTTGGGCATCAGATGAATAGGTAATTACTTACTATGCTTCAAAAATTGAACATTGTTAAATTATCTAAACGTTTCAACGGCGTGATTTGATGCGTATGTTGCATATCTGAACGAATTAAAGATACCCACTGCAAGGTTGAATTTTCAAATATATATACTGCATTTATAATTTTGGGTAATTGCGAATGTATGGTAAATTAAAAGGGCTGATGCTATAATGGAAATGGTAATGCCAATGGCGCTCTAGAAGTGTGTGTATCAATATGGAGGTAACTAATTTTGTTAGCCTACTTTACATGAAGTAGTGTAAAGGGACGGAAGCCTGTGGGCGTAGGGTATATTCACTGGGCTAACACATACAGTCCCCGAACTCGTAATAAAACCAAAATATAGAAAATCGAAGACCCACCAACCTTCACCTGGTATACACACACTACACGAGTACCATGCCAATTAAATATACGAATTTGATTTTTGAAGCAATTTTGTATTTAATAATTCTTTGTTCCGAAATATATGTTCAAACATCTATGTGAGGTATAAATAGCAGTTTCTGAATCACGACATATTTTGAAAAAAGGCAATCACAAATGCCGATCTTGAATTCCATTATTGGTTGAATTCACGCAATTACCAAAACTCGTGAAGCTTTCGAACTTGAATTAAATTACCTATGACTCAGATAGGCAGACCATGAGTTGGCTTACCTGAAGCTCAGATTTCAAATGCGAGGTTATTATTAATCAAAAACCAGACTTTTGCTTAGCTATAGATAATTCATAATCCATTTTTGAGAAAAGCTACAACATAAAAATAATTACAAAACTTTTATTACAATACATTTTCTAGTATTATCATGTTCTTACCTCAGGCGATACATGAAGTCCATGTAAAAATATATTTGTTGAGTTGGCAAATTTCAGCAGCTTATTCGAGTTTTCAGGTGCGTTTTTCCCCAATTTGTTGATCTGTGAAACGAGATCAGTTTATTTTATCATATTTTATATATTATAATTGTGAATAATATACAATTTTACATGTTATTTAAATAAGCAATCGTTTAATGATTTTACAATTTAAATAGCGAATAATATTTTTTAACTCAGTATTGTCATCATAGATTTTTTTTACAGGACGAAATACCATACCACTTCGCTCGCCCGAGTTATGAAAATTGTCAAGGCAATATCGAACCATTATATCGTGAATTTGCCAAAAAATATTTGGTGCTTTGTATGAGCATAATAGTTTACTCGCCCAGAGCCTTGTTCGGAACGGGAGTGCCCATTTTGGTATTAGAAGTACAATTGGATATGAACTAGATGAAGAAAAATTTATAATCCTACCAAGTTAACAGTTACAGTATCTCCTGCTTTAACTCTCCACGTCGGTCCACCTATCTGACCATTGTAAGTTCTTCTCCAGAGATTTAGCCATCCACCCAATGTTATTTTTGACATTTGTACTTTCAAATTTACTTCAAGATTATGATTTTTTGACACCAATTGTGTCGGATATTGAAGCTCCTCATTTGCTATAAAATAAAAACGTGATTTTTTGCTTTAATTACTCAAACTTATGGTAAATAACTTGGAAAAGTAATAGTTTGCGAAATTCCAGTTGTGTTGTGATTAGAACGATGTGTGTTATCTAGAAATGAACGAAATTAAGGCTAATGTTGAGTCTCACTGAAACAGTAAACAACTTGAGTATTATGATGGCATTCGTGGTAAACCCGTCCTGTAAACAAATTTCATTATTGTTATGCCAAGCCGAAGTTGAGGTAACAGATTAGAAATTTAGAGTCCAAGTCAAATGACATGTAGTATCCACGGAATGAATGGAGCCCATATCAAAACATTCGTAACCCTTGGGGGTGCTTTTAAACCAGAAGTCCACATTACCCGGAGATTTTTAAAAACCCCAACGATACGAACCTATATTATAAATTATACATGCCTACGGAAATATTGCATTATTAGCCATACAATTAAAATGCTATATTTAAAACTTATAATTATGTCGTGTTTTCGACATTGTACTTGAAACCGCATACAAAGTATTTTCTACGTTATGTTTGAGAATTTAATAACGTAGCGTGCAGACAATAACTCTTGCGTAGGATGTGAGGCACTTACAAAGCGGATTAAGTATTAGATCATCAGAGTCAAAAATAAATATACTTCTGTTTTTCAAAATTAAATATATTAGTGATACATTGGAAAAAAAATTGATGAAAGTCTCTTTATCCACTTATATATTTTTCATTGGTATTTACGTATTTTCTCCTAAGACATATGTAAGAAATCTAATCCAATTCTGACTTTTCTGCATAATCGTCGAGACTGTTCTAAAATATATCGGAGGTGAAATAAAAATACGATCGATCCATAGGACAGTTATAGTTAAGGAACAAATTTTTGGATTTATTAAACCATCGTTCAGATTAAACTGCGCAATAAGGTACATGATCTTCTGAAGCGAAGTTAATTTGATGGAAAATATAATAGCAAATAATAGTACAAAAAAAATGAAACATTTTCTTGCAAAATATATCATCTATGCTGATTGATAAACTTTATTTTTGAATTTTAATGTCATTCAGATTATTAAAGATTGGCGAATGATGGATTTTGTCCGTTTTTGTAGTTGGATATTTTTTTTAACTGTGTATTCTGAAAATAAAACACAAGCCTGTCCGCATACCAAGAGTGCACACAGAATTACTAATTTTAACAAAATCGATCACGCCCTCACGATCGAAACGTAAACAAAAAACGATCATGTCTTCACGTTTTACAATACCATGATATACTAGTTTCGGGCTCGGATCAGCTATGAAATAATACACATCGGACGTTTGAATTTATGTTGTGAAAGTTTGTGGTCTTGTCTACAAATAGTTGCCTTAGCCTCAAACTTCTTATCGTGCATGTTTTGTCGTCCAGAATGCTATTTCAGTATAAACAGAGTATTATCTTACTTTAGGATTGTACAGGGCGTTGCCAGCGTGAAAAAATGTAGTAAATAACGTAATTTAATTTTCAAATTTGTATATTTCGCCTATAATTGAAAAGAAAAACCGAACAAAAATATAGTGATATTTGTTCTTAGTGTAAAAAAAATTAAAAATTCATAAATTATATGCTGTGGTTGAAATTTATAAATATATATATATTACTTTGAAATGTAGTTGACAGAAATGATATTCAGATATCAAAAGTTCAGAAATTCAAAATGAATCCTTTGTGTGACTAAAGTTTTTTTCGTAGTCAACCATTTGTAATTAATTTTGAGGGTTTTCAATAGTTTACTTCCGAAAATTCAAATCAACACCACAGAAAAATATATAATACATCAAACTATGCGTATACGGAAAGCCAAAGAAAAAATTTAACCGTATAATCTGTTTTGAATACAAATAACAAGAAACCAAAAACCGAAAAATATTTCGGTGAAATTTACCACATATATGGCAATTGGATAAAAATAAAATATATCATTCATTTCTTATGAAAGTATATAATCATCTGTGGTATCGATGTAGAATTTTATTCAAAAATCGAAGTTATGTATATATTGTTATATTTATAGATTATTGCGAATATATATTTCTAGCAAACTGAACCATACAGAATATGGAACAAAGTTTATGTCAAGACTTCTTGATTAATCACTTCCGAAAGTATTTAGTATTTCGAAGTATCGATAACCAGAATCGAATTAAAAAGTATGATATTGTAGTCGGTCACTGCAGGATTTCTTCACGATTTCCAACCTATTGCGTAAAATGGCGCAACACTTTTCATTTCTCTGAAATGAAGTAAATGCTATCAAAATTCTAATTAGAATGAATGGGTCAAGATCAAGTGTGACGTGCGTACTTGATAAAGTGACCGGTCATTAGATTCATGTGATATATTAGTTACGGCATCGTCCACTTTGTATGATGACAAGGCATTTTCAGATCTATATTTTGGACTTGACAATATAAATGAGACCTTAACAATGATCAATGCATGACACCGGTATTTTCCCTGAATAGAATTGCACAAAGTTTAATGATCGCAAGATTATTGCCAATTTCAAGTACAAGAAAGCATGAGACCGTTAATTATAAGTCCAAAACAACGGAGATTTCAGATGCTCACATTTACATTTGACCAACGATGGAATGAAACCATTGTAGAGCTAAATTATACGACTAAACACGTAACTGGGTAACGTTCAATGTCTCCGTTTGACGTATGCGAATGATAGAGGTAGTAATAAATGAGGAACAATTTGTGAAGAAGCAAGTTATAATAGCAGGATACAGCCATCCTATTACATATACTGTACAACTTTTAATTAAGCATCACAGATCACACATTGACCTGCTTTTTGTAGGCAAAACAGTTCAAACATAACTGTACTTACTTTTGAATTCACATGGACTTGAGTTTTCACATTTTCGTTGTTCTATGGATAAAGCTGAAGTTGAAATAAAACAGACACAAACAAATAATATTTTCTTCGTATATTCCATTGGTGATATATTATTATTGACAATAAATAACTTTCTGAGAGTAAATAATAATAGCAGTATTTAAAAAATATCACGTTATCAATAAAATCGCTAACTGATAGTAAACTAACAAATTTTAATATACCTACTCAAAAAAGAGTGCTACATAAAACAATAAACATGGAAAATACGTTCCAACAAATAGGCGTTTTCTAAATCATGAAAAAAAACTTTTAAACCTGTTAAAAATAGTATATTATAAAACAACGAAAAAGGCCGACACACCAAAATCTCTGCTGAATCAGGTTGCGCTGATCGGACAATTTAAAATAAACATCAAAATGTTGAATTCGAATCGAAAGTTTACGAAAATTTAATCACGTATATTTCTCCTTAATCACTTATAGAACATTTGCATACTCCACTTGAAACATTTTAGCTATGACTAGCATCATTTAAAATATTTGTACACAATGTTTTCCAAACGAGAAGTACCGCCTGGAATTTTCTATGACTTCAAAAAACAACTGAAATGGCTATCTATGGTCGCCGAACTACGGTTTCTGAATTTCGTGATGTCAAACTGAAACAGCTTCATTTTTTTCTGATTTTATCGAAAATTTTGTAACCTGTTATGACCGGAAGATTTTATCTCCATCGTCGCCGATTAGGATGAACTCTGAAGTACATTATGATTTATCCCTGAGGCTGCGTTTTATATATATAAGGGTAACTGATGTCATATTTATACATAACTAACATCCAAAAATTTACACTTGTTCCGGATATATTCTACGTAATATACTATTTATATAATCGGCACAAAAGTTCCGCTTAAAGCTGCATATGATGAGATTGCAGTATAAACATAAGCTTGAAATAAATGAAAAAGTTGCCCTCCCGCATTGAAACATATATTGTTGAATGTGGTGTATACCAGGGTTCCATTATATGCCCCCTATTTTTTCTCATGAATATATACGCATTTTGTATTATGTAACTTACTAAATTCGATTGTGGCCATGTGATCATATGATAATTTAGATCAGGGTCAGTAATTTTCACTATACTGTGACATTGTTGAACCTGATCAATATCTAATTTTCAAATTTGATCGTTTTTCAAATCCTCGAATTCATATTTCTCTTATTATGCACAGTTGGTGACATTGAAAAGGTCCATATTTTCTGGCAAAATCTTGACCAAAAAGTCATTTTTATTTCTACAACTTCTGCTTTGAGTAATTATCTCTCTGTGTGCGATGACTCTACCTGCTTGTTTAAAATATAACACAATCTGTCATAGTTTTACACCTTGTTTCCGTTAACAAATAACCAAAATGGATACAGAAATACATTACACAACTTACGTCCAACCAAATTGATCTGAAACAGTTGACATTAAATAGTCACTCACTTAAAACCTGCCACATAGCTAAAAAAAATTACACAATTATTTCTTTCGACATCTTGCCAAGAGGAAGTACTTTCCAATATAATTTATGGCCTAAGACGTGTTAAAAATCAGGCATCTGGTCACGTTTTTCTGTGCGCAATAATAAGTATTTCTATTGTTTCGAACAAACTGGCGATGTTATTTATCGATGTCACAGCTTGAACTCAACTTGTATTCATAATGTTGAAACTTGCGGACGAGAGACTTTTTAGAAAAATACAGTTAAAACCCCGGAATGTAGAAAATCCATTTTTTGTTGTTCTACACTTTTATTCCAAACAAAACACTTGAGAACGAATTACCTACTGATCCAAATAACATATTCTTTGTGAGAATAATTAAAAGTTAAATTTTCTTATTAAGACTCAACTTTATACAAGGCATTAGAGAGAAACGCCCTTTTCATTGACTCTTAATGTTAATACCAGTGCAAAAAGTCGTTTGTCATATACTCAACAGGAAATATTCATAAACTACAAGCTCAAATTATTAACGATCTCGCTCAAACAGGGCGTATTTAGAAATCTTCTGCATGATCTTATTCCAGTCACGAAATCTTGGGATTAAATCAAATTTTAGAGAAAAAAAGACATTAAGTATATATTTTTTCGTTTCTTACTACCGCCCGCAGCTAATTACAAGGATTATGGTGCAAATTAATTTAAGTGAGAATTTTACGTTGCCAAAAATATAATATGTCTTGTGTTGTCACGCAAACGAATTTTTGCGGCCACGTGACGATCTGAAGTATAATATAATATCTCTTATTATTAATGGTCAGCAATTTGGATATGTTTGCCGGTATAGGAAAAATATTGGTTTCACTTGAGAAAAGAAATAATTTGATTGGTAATTGATTTATAATAGAAACAGCTGTAAAATTATACTTGACTGCATAAATCGTCAGTTCCAAGAGTAACTAATGAAATATTACTGACAAAATATACTGACTGCTACCAATACTCAAACAAACTATTATATTTCAGAACTACAACTAACTGTTTGAACTTTTCTGACAAAGTACAATATATCACGTGATGTATTATAACACTCGATTCTCGGTGAAAGGTGGTTTATGATTGAAAGACATATGTAATTGGCATAAGATCAATATAAAATTAATACAAACAATTGAATGCGACACGGTAAACGATGAAAGATTGAATTATATCATATTTAATTGTGCATTGTGCATATATGTCAAGCATGTCTCGTGTTCCGATATCTCTGCTTATTAATTAATATGATAGATATTCACACGACAATGTTGATAAATGCACAGGCAACAAAACTCACTAATGAGGGGCAAAATGTCAATTTCATAATTCTTTTCTGTCTGTTTCACGTGATAGGCCAAAAAAATTATTCTCTAGTACAGATCAATACAAAAAATTAAATGTGAGGCTCCCACTTACCAAAAGGTATTGATTGAACGTATATGAAGGATTTCTTAAAATGTCTTAATATCAAATGTTGTATCAAAAACCTAGCTTGCTTGATTTGTAACCATTTTTTTCTGAATGTGATTACTCTTTTAGATAGTCATATCTCGGAAGATGTTTTTGTTTTAACGTCGAAGAAAATTTAAATTTCACCCCGTATAGCCTATATGAATAGTTGTGACAAGTATGCTGCTGGGTAATTAACGGTTTTATATTTCGGTTCCAATGGGAATCGAAAATTCAAAGCAAATTCGATTCAAGCGAGTAAATGTAATTTACAATCATATTCGTACAATTAAGTAGTAGAACACTTTTATACAAAAATGTTGTTCATAAATCATGAACTGAACTTCCAAGACGGTAATGCCGGGGAATATCTAAACTTGAATTTGATTTTGCAGACCCAACACTACAAATAACTTCAGCTTTAATTAGGCTCATTTTTAGTGCCATAAATGAGTCTCAAAAATGCCATATCCTATTTGTCCACACATCTTCCCGCCAAAAATTGTATCAATACTCTAACTTTCTTCCGAAGTATTATATCTACCCTACTCCAGAGCATATCATGATTTCCACTTTATATGCCTATTCTGATCTTGTTTCTCACAAGATATATTTATTCCAACTAAGAATAGCGTGACAGTGGGACAGGTTTGGGGCATAGGGGACACGACATTCTGAGATAGTTCCCGCATTTTTCAAACACATGTCCGAGTCCGACTCGAACTAGCTCTGCTCTCTAGCATTCATTGTAAAAAGTTAAAATGGAGTAATACAGCCCTATACTGTAATATGTAATAATACTGTAAAATGGACTAATACAGACAACTACGCGAACTACGTCAATAGTTCGAGTTCGACAGAAATACAACACATTGTGGGTAAAATCGTCGCCTAGAAATGACATTGTTACACATGACAGGGAAGAAAAACGTCGTTTATCTGGAGAAAAAAAAAATTGCGAGTTTTTCATTGGGGTTATCGGGGTATTGAGGTCATTTTTGGGAATACTAGACTATTGAAAATAATAGATAGTGTTCTGACAGACATAACAGCGCTAGATTCAGAGGATTGGTGGACAATACCGTTACGTTGTAAACTTCTTATGGTCAAAATCCACAAAAACATTAGATATAAATTTAGATTCAAATACGGGGTATATTTTTCTGGTTACATTAATCTTATCAAGTTTTAAAAACCCTTCGAAACAAAAAAAAATCTACAATTTTTCCCCCTCATATCTAAAGCTTTTTAAACAAATTTATGACGCGAATGTAGCGACTGTGTGTGCTGTTTACAATTGTTTGTTATCTGTTATGCCATCGGAAAGGTCAGAAACAGGTTTGTTACAATGACGTGAAATTGCTGAAATTTGTTGTCGTGCCCATAATTTTGCAATTTGAAGCTTTAGAATATATGAACTGTGAGACAATTGGTTGCCCTTCGTAATTTTTGTCGGATTAAAAAAAATGAATTCTAGACTGTTGTTGCGTTAATAAAAATTATTAATAGAAAAGAATCATTTTATTTCTTATGTTCGTTTAAGATTAACCAACAGATTTCCACACGAGAGCTGCAATTAATAACTAAACTTTGATGAAATCCTTGATCCCAGTCGTATGAGTTTATAAATTATGCTATTTCTATTTTTTTTACTAATAGTTGTTAGCCCATGCTCTTTATGGCATGCCAATCACTTCGGAATGACATCCTATGTGTGCTGATGGCCTTGCCTTGACATAAACTTTTTACATATAACTTGGCTGCTTTTATAGAACTTTGTTCATATCAGAGGTAAAAGTCTCAATATAATGATAGATTTGCTTTCCATTCAATTTTTTCAGAAGGAATTAGAATAATATTTCATTGATTGTTTGCAGTTGTAACAAAGTAAATACGTTAGCAAGATTAAAGGTTTAACAACTATTTCTGGTAAATAAAAATGCGTTGTGACGTATTGTATGAAAATAAACGCAACTGATAATTTAGTTTTGTATGGCATGAAAATGCATAATCGGCGATAAAACTGGGTACGAAATCTGAAAAGGGTCGTTTAAAGCAAAGCAAGGAAGTAAAAATATGTTCCAATCTGATTTAAATTCTTATTAAACATTTGTTGTAGAAAGAGTGCTGTGCAGCAGT